AGCAAAAATCAAAGCGGTGAAAAATTGGCTGGTTCCGAAGAACGTGCAACAAGTGCAGCAGTTCCTAGGATTTAGCAACTACTATCGACGGTTCATTAAGGACTTCACCACCATCGCTAAACCGTTGCACGAGCTCACTAAGAAGGAGGAGCAATTCGTATGGAACGAGAAAAGGCAGGAAGCTTTTGAGAAGCTTAAAACATTATTTACGGAGGAACCGATCCTGGTGCTACCAGACACGGATCGAGAAATGAAGATCGAGGCGGACTCGTCCAACTACGCATCGGGAGCAGTGCTCTCCATGTTATGCGAAGACGAAAAGTGGAGACCCTGCGCTTTCCTTTCGAAAGGGTTCTCGGAGACGGAGAGAAATTATGACATTCACGACAAGGAGATGCTAGCCATCATTCGCGCCCTGGAGGCCTGGAGACATTACCTAGAAGGAAACAGCCGTCAGTTCACTATTTGGACGGACCATAAAAATCTGGAGTACTTCATGACGACCAAAAAATTGAACAGACGCCAGGCGCGCTGGGCATTATACTTGTCAAGGTTTAATTTTATTCTAAAACACAAGCCAGGAGCTTCAAATATGAAGGCAGACGTCCTGTCGAGACGACCGGATCTTGACAGGGGGGAGGACGACAACACGATGGTCCTTCTGAAGCCAGAATATTTTTGAATCAAGGCCATGCAGCAGGGTCATGTTCTAATTGATGGTGCAGAGTCGCCCATTCTATCGAAAATCAGAAAATCAAAAAACTATGATGAATCAGTAGTCAAGGCAGTGACCGAACTAAAGAGGTCGCCGACCAAGGTGCTGAGAGAAGCGGAATGGTCAGAAGAGCAGGACCTCGTATTATACCACGGGAAGGTGTATGTACCTAAGGATGTTGACATCAGAAGGGAAATCGAAAAATTACACCATGACTCAACCGTTGCAGGACACCCAGGAAGGTGGAAAACCATTGAGTTGGTCTCGCGTAATTATTGGTGGCCAGGAATGAACAGGTTCATTGCGGAATACGTCAAGGGATGCGACCAGTGCCAACGAAGCAAGGCCTATTCCCGACAACTGCAAGCTCCAACCAAACCCCATCCCATCTGAACCGTGGACAGACATATCTGCGGACTTTATCGTTAAACTCCCCAAGTCGGCAGGATATGATGGAATCCTAGTAGTCGTTGACCGATTCACCAAGATGGTTCGCCTTGTACCAACGACCGAAGAGTTATCAGCCCTCGGACTTGCTAAATTATACCGGGACAACGTCTGGAAACTCCACGGACTCCCTAACACCATTGTAAGGGCAACCTCAAGATAGCCGCACAGTGCAAGCCTAGCAGAGGGAGAATCCAAAGAGATGAATAAGACTAACTGCAATACATGAGAGAGCTGCTCACCTAGCAGAGGGAGAATCCAAAGAGAACAGGATAAGGATTCTCCATGCTAGGAAGCGAAGTATATACTGTAGTAGCGTGGGAGGAATGAAAGGTAACTGTACAGTACACCAGCCACAGGTACGAACGAATATCACAAGGTACGAGGGGGCATGTGATAATGAAGTGGAAGGGGAATGTACAGGAGTTGTGCCAGCGACCTGGGGAAGTGGGGACAAGGAGTAATGAAGTGGGAAAGGAGGATAGAGGTAGCCCGGACGAGCCCGAAGTGTATCTACGAGTCCGAGCGAGTCCGAGGCGTCCGAGCGAGTCCGAGGCGAGTCCGAAGCGCGGGAAGACTTCGGAGTCACCGGACGGGGCTCGGATGCAAAGGGAGTGAACGGAAGGGAAGCAGAAAGGTAAGGGGGCGAGAGGGAAGGAAAGGGAATGTAGATAATAGTCCATGGGATGAAGGAAGGGAGAAAGGAAACGAAGGAGGAAGGGAGAGGGACAGGGGAATAGGAGAAAATAGGAGTGTCCCCTTACAACCATCATATCGGATCGAGGACCTCAGTTCGCGTCGCAAGTAATGAGAGAACTGAATAACCTATTGGGAATTCAAACGAAGCTGTCCACAGCCTTCCACCCCCAGACGGATGGACAGACGGAGCGAGCGAATCGAGATATCGAAACCTACCTCCAAATGTTCATCAACCACAGACAGGACGACTGGGCAGAATGGCTGGCCATCTGCAAGTTCTCACTAAACAACAAAACCCAGACGAGCTCCAGGCAGAGCCCGTTTTACCTTAATTATGGGAAACACCCCCGGATGGGAGTCGAGCTGCGGAAAGAGTCCAAGATAGAGGCAGTGGACAAATTCGTGAAGCGGATGAAGCAGACGTGGGAAGAAGCGCGATCCGCATTAGTAAAAGCAGGAGAAGAGGTATGCGGACTGACGAGTAGGAGAAACGCCAGAGTACCGAGTCGGGGACAAGGCGTTTATTTTCACCAATAACTTAAACACGACCAGGCCGTCGCGCAAGTTAGAGCAAAAGAAAATCGGACCGTACAAGGTGATCGCGGTGCCAACAAAAAACGCAATAACATTAAAACTCCCAAAAAAATTATCTATTCACCCCACCATCTCCACTCATCGCACCAAAAAGGCGAACCAGCCCACCATCCCAGGGCAACAAGTGCCGCCACCTCCACCAGTACAAGTGCGAGGAGAAGAGGAGTACGAGGTTGAGGAGGTGCTGGACAGTCGAATGAGGCGGGGACGCCTCGAATATTTAGTTAGGTGGAAAGGCTATACGATGGAGCACAACTCATGGGAGCCAGAGAAGAATCTTGAGAACGCGCCGGAGCAAATTGAGGCGTTCCGCTCCCGACATTCTGGAGCTCCACGGCGCATCTCTCGAGCTCTCTTTGAACAGCTCGCCTGGAAATCAAAGTATGTATTTACGTCACCCACCTATACCACAAAAACAAAAATATACGAACTGGGTATGGAGGCGGAAGCCGGCAACGAGCAACCCGGCCAGCACCACGACCACCACCATATGTAGCAATGATCCCATTGCGTTCGTTGGTGCTAAGACCGTTCCAGGTAGCGAAGTAGGGGATGGTAGTGTTCATATCAAGGAGGTGCTGTCGTCAAGTGGAATTGACGAGCTGTAAGAGGGGGGTGATGTTATGGACTAACGTTTCTTTTCTTTTTCAACTATCTTTTCTCATCTTATCGGGCACATGATGTATTACAATACACTACTTACATCATCCGGGCCGTCTTACTAATAGTCTCAGTCAGTGCCTCGCCGCTACTGCATGGGCGCAGTCAACAAGCATCATACCTCATGCAGCTGAGCTAACCATTCCATGGAAAGACGGTAGGATACAGCATGTAGATGGACATGAGGACGTAGCATGTATAGTAGTATATAAGTACCCTAATAAACACCCAGAGACGTTAACTCGTTCTCTTGGGACTACCACTAGTATTAGTGCCTAAGTCAGCGTCTTCGTGCTCAACCCTCTCCCCTCAACTCTCAAACTCTTTATTTCTTACTCTGATTCTTGTTGGGTCTGTTGCTGGAATGTTTGTGAATGTGCCCCTAGTAGCCCCTGAGGGGCCCTCCTGGATGCGCCTATAACAACAGGAGTCATGCCAGTGACCTGTACTGCGGGAACACTTCAGAGTCATTGGATATGACCTGTATGTATATGACCTGTATGTGAGGGTGTGAGGGGAGTGGGCAGAAGGGAAAGGAAGGGAAAGGGAAAAGGGAACACGGAAACAAGGGAACAAGGAAAATGTAAATATGAGTCCGTGGAAAGAAAGGAAAAAGGAAAAGGAATGGAATGGAATGATGGGGAAGGGGGAAGGGGTGGGGACAGGGGAAATAGGAGAGAATAGAAGAAAATAGGAGTGTCCTCTTACACCTTACGCACATCAAGTACCAAGCACCACATACTGTATTGTATCATTGTATCATTGTATCATTGTATCAACCTGAGCAAACAAGGCCAGTGAGTATGCCAAAGCACTAAACACCCAAAGCGACTCAAGTGACTCAAGTGACTCAATGTTCAAGGGTGGGGAATCAGAAATCAGGAAATAGGGGTCAGGAATCAGGAAATGGTCAGGAATCAGGGGGGTTGCGGGAACTGGTTGTTGGTTGTTAGTCGCATCAAGAAGTTTCAACGTTTCAACATTTCAACATTGAACCTCATAACAGGGCTCCTAGAGAACCCCTTTCCCCTTTCCCTTCCACTTTCTACTTTCAAGTACTCAGGAGCACTAGTAAGTGCGCCGAAAGTCTTTGAAATTGAATCCAGGTACGTCACAGTCTTGCAGAAACTCTGTTGGACGTCGAGTCGTCCAGTCACCGAGTCGTCCAGCCACCGAGTCGTCGATAATCGATTTTCGGGGATAGGGGATCCGTCGATTCATCAACTCGCAACTCGCAACTCGCAACTCACAACTCACGCACTCACGCACTCACGCATTCACGGATGCACACACTCACGGATGCACACACGCATTCAGACACAGGAGGACAGGAGGACGGGAGACGGACGATTGATTGCAAGTAATTAATAGTCGGTACATACAATAAAGATACACTGCGTAGATACACACTGCGTAGATACACGATAGACGATAGACGAAACGATACACAATAGAAACGAAACGAAACGAAACGGGGGGAAACGATACATTGAGGTATACACGGAAAGCGAACATGTGAACGGATACAGGGATACAAGGATACAGTGATACACGATCGTGATGATGATGATGAGGGCGATGAGGCAAGGGAAAGGGGAGAGGGAGGTACACAGCACAGCGCACAGCGCGCCGCGCCGCGCCGTGCGTTCTAACAAGATACACCAAAACGACGAAGGGAGACATCTACAACAAGAAAACAAAACAAGCAAGATAACAAGCAAGGGAGAGGAAAGAACGTGGAGGAAAGAACGTCGAGCGTCGAGTGTCGAGTTGGGGAGTATGAAGTGTAGTGAAGCGTCGCAAGAGTTTCGTAGAGGAGCGGATGCGGGCGTCGCAAAAGTTTCGTAGCGATGAGCGTGAGGAGCGTGAGGAGAGTGTGGAAGACTCAGATCGCCCAGAACCCAAGCCCGGCCATACCCATCCTCTTCTCCCTCCTCTCCTCCACATCCCCGCTCTCCCTCCTCTCCCCGTTCATCTCCATATCACTATCAGCATCCTCCACATCCTCCTCCTGATTAGCCGTAGAGGGCGTAGAGGGCGTAGAGTAATCAGAGTACGGTGTAGGCATCCGCTTCACGACCGACCCGCGCCTCCCCAGCCGACGCACACCGAACTCCCGGCGCATCGAGTCCCGCTTTCCGAGCGACGTCCTCCGTCTGGTGCGCCGCGAGCACTTAGTAGAGGTGGAAGATGCCGACGAAGCCGAAGCCGAAGCTGACGCTGAGGGGAAAGAGGGCGACGAGGGCGAGTAGGCCGTGAACGTGATCCACGTCTGTTTCTCCGCGAACACGCCCCTCAAAGGCGTAGACGGGAACAACCCCCCGCTCAACCCCCCGCTCAACGGAGAAGACGGCGTCTTCGGACCCCCGCTCAAAGGTGTAGCCGGGAAGGAGATAGAAACGATCGAGAACGCGGGCGAGCACGGCGACGCCTTGCCCCAGCACGCCGAATAACTCGCCGAATAACTCGTCGAACAACTCGTCGAATAACTCGGAGAACAAGGAGAATAAGGAGACGTCGGGGAGGGCGCGAGGAGGTGGGCGTACTCGAGGGCCTCGTCCGCGTCGCGCCACACACCCCCGTGCGCGTCGGTGTACACCCACTCGCCCCCACACCCCACACCGTTACTACTCGCCGTGAATTTAGCATGTTGGGTGGTATGGGCGTTATGGGTGGTATGGGTATTGGAATGAGAATGGGTGGAGGAGTGGGTGGAGTGTGAATGGGCGTGGGAATGGGCGTTGAGGTGGGCGATATTGTCCGCGAGCGACCCGCCGTCGAGGAACTGCATGAGCGCGAGCTCGGCCGCGAGCGTCGGCGGGAGCGCGTGTTTTCTCTCCTTCGTTTTCTTCGATTTCTCCTTCTTCGTTTTCTCCTTCGTTTTCACATCCTTGTTCACGTCCTTTTTATCCTTCGTTTTCTCCTTCTGTACCTTCATGTCCTTGCTCGATTTGGCGTCCTTCGTATCCTTTTTAGATTTGGGAGTGAAGGGCGAAGCGGACGCGGGAGCGGCGAGGTATTTCGCGGGTATGGCAGGCACGGGCGGGACGTCCGTACCATAGGAGGTATCGTGAGATGCAGGGTTAAAAGGTGAAGGCGAAGCTGAACCTGAACCTGAAGGTGAGAGTGAAGGAGAGGGAGAGGGAGAAGGAGCAGAGGGAGAAGGAGGGGTAGAAGGAGAGGAGGAGCACGCCTTGCGGGGGCGCAGCAGCGCAGAGAACGAGCGCGATCTGAGGCGCGCGAAAGCAGCCTTGAACGTCCCATGCGCCGCCTTCTGGTGGGCGCTATCATCAGCGGGAGCGGTAGTGGTGCTATTATCCTTCTCCGTAGTGGAGATATCATTAGTCGCAGTGGTCGACGAGTTATTGTTATTAGCAGGGAGATTAGTAGGGAGATTAGCAGGGAGGTTAGAGTGGTGATTATGGGGGTGAGTAGAGTGGAGGGTATGGGGAAGGGTAGGAATGGGGGTAGGGTAGTGCGGTGTCGCGGGCGTGGGGAGGCGCAGGAAGAGGGACGTGTACCCGAGCGCGGTGAGGTCGAACGCGTTGTTGTGCTCGGCGTCGGCGGTGTGAGGGGAGGATTTAGGGGTCGGCGGGGTCTACGGGTATCACGAAAGTAAGGGGTCAGTCGGGTATACGGAGGGAAAGGGTGAATGTATGCGTACATTAACATTAGCATTAGCATTAACATTAGCGTTCATCGACACCCCATTTGTGAGAGCGTTCCTAGTGGGCGACACCCCGCTCCCTCCTCCTCCTCCTCCTCCTCCTCCGGTGGAGGGCGTATCGAGGATATGGAGGAAGGACGCCGAGCCGGAGCGCGCGCGTGCGTGTTTTGGGAGTGCGGGGGTGAGGTTGAGGTGGAGGCGCGAGATGGAGGGGCGGCGGTGCTTGCGCGTCCTCGGCGCAGCGGGTTGGTGAGAGGGTTGGTGGGTGGATGGGTGGTTAGGATGGGAGGGGGAGGAGGGGGAGCCCGGGTGGACGTGGGCTGCCCAGGTCGTGATTGCAGAGGCAGAGGACATTGTCGATTGTCGATGGAGGGGTCGTGTCGCGGGTGATGTTGATTGCAGTAGCGAGCGGAGAGTATGCGTATGCGAAGTCGTCGAGGGTAGGCGTGGAGAGTAGGCAAGTCGAGGAGTAGAATCGAGGAGTCGAGGCGTAGAGAGAGAGAACCAGCTCAGCTGTCTGGCTGCCCACACTGCGGCCGTCTCTATATATACACCACCCATCACTCCGCCCATGACCTGCCACCTATTATCGGTATTATCACCTACTACATGGGATAATAGAGCATAATAGCGAACGACAATGAGCGAGGACAATGACAATGACTCTGTGGTTGGAATGCAAACAGAGGCAAACAACCGCCTATGCTCGCCACAATAGCGACAGCGATTGAAAGTCCGCTGCGAGGCATTAGGTCATTAGTGATGTAATGTCCACAATTGAAAGATTGAGAGATTGAGAGATTGAAATTTTGACGGTGTAACGATGGGGCGTGCTGCTAGACGAAGTCGGTCTACGCAGGCTCCCCACTCGTCCGTGCATACAACGACGATTAGTTCCTCTACATTGCCCATCAGTCACACATATTCCGCAACGCTCTCCGCAAACTGACCCGACCCGTCCACCGCGTCCAACCTAGGTCTCCCCGTCTGATATATGATATATGATACTCCATGCTCGTCCTCTTCACCCAGATCACCTAGGACCTACGTCACCCACACAAATGCCACACCCACACCCGCATCTGTACCAGCACGACGACGCGTATCCTAGCTCCTCCATTCCTCTGCCCCGACGTAGTGAATCTACGACGCATTGATGCATGATGCATGATGGGGTAGACGAGCACAGAGTCGACACTCAGAGAAGCATAGAGAGCGGGCGTGCTCCTCCACTCGCATCGCACTACCACACCGCTACACCACTACAACGTACACCACCCTCCCGCTCCCCACTCATCCCAAGCGCCCACTCCGGACCAACCCGCCTCCCTTCCCCCTTCCCCCGTCTCCCCATCTCCTGTCTCCCCATCTCCCGCTCCCACTCCCGACACCTCCACCTCCACCTCGCGAGTGTGATCTATTATCTTGGACGCTTCGCGTTGTAACTTGTTTGTCTTGACTCTTCAAGGTGTTGAAATGATATCTATTATCAGGTCGCGCCGCGGAGCAAACGCGCTCATACGCTCTTCTAAGTTCTGGGCGCTACCTACTCAGTACTCAGCGACACAACCCTGTTACGCGCCGTCGCCGCCTGAACTCAGAGCGTGGCAGCGTGCTGTAGCTGGATTCCGGACATACACAAACGCAAACCGGGCGAGATGCGTGCAATCTGCAGACTGCGGAAAATGTCTGATGATCATCTCTCTTTTATCGACTGTCTGCGAGAGCATCGGTAATCACGGTGGTATTGTACGATACACGTTGGGGATAAACCAGCGGTATATAGCATCGATACAAAGTCACGCGTAGATGTTACGTGTTACGCCTGCGACGCCAACACCTAACACCTAACAACCTAACACACAAGTAGAGTCGGAGTGAGAGTCGTGGGTGGCACGTCGCGATGAAGAACGCATATGGGGAGCGCGAAACGCAGGTGCAGGAGCATGGTGGATGATGGATGATGGATGGTGGATGATGGATGGACGCCCGAAAACGCAGCATGATATCAAAGCGTCGGGCATCCCGGTTGAACAGCCAACGGGCGGACTACGTACGAGTACGAGTACGAGGAGTATGAGCCCGCTCGCCCGCCCCCCCCCGCCTCAGGTAACGGCGATTTCTCAGCCATGGCCTGGAATTGGGGTTGGGGTTGGGGTGCTTCAGCAGCAGTGGTAGCGGTGGTGCGACGCGCTTGTCGCTCGCGTGCCTAACGAGAACAAGATATCGACATATCAGACATATACACTCTATACACGCGACGCAGAAGAAGGCGGGATCAGCGCACGCACAGCTCCGTCAAGCGCATCGCCCACATTCTCGAAGAACTCAACTAGCGGTTCCGTCACTTTAGAGAGCTACGTAGACAGTTAGCGCGAGACGAGGGAGATAAGCAAGCGATTCCATGAACACGGGAGAACGTTACCTTACGCACCGATCGACGAAATGCACCTCCACCGCGCTCTCCGGTTCCAGTGCCTCGCGCTCTTGAATCTTGTCGCAAGTCCCGTTCTTGCTGCTGCTGCTGCTGCTTGCGGCCGACGTGCTCGATACCGCGAATATCACCGGTACCGGTACCGGGGTTGCCAGGGTTGCCGGTAGCGTTCCTCTCCCTCTCGCGCATCCGATCGCCGTAATATACATCCTCCCCGTCCTCGTACAGGGGGTCCCGCCGGCGGCGCGCGAGGTAGGTCGCCAGCCCAGCGCCCGTCAGGAAACACAGGATATGGCACATCGTCGTCGTGGTGCCTCGTGTGTAGCGCGAAGTTTCAGTAAGTTTATGTTTAAGTAAGTTTCAGTGGTAGAGTGGTAGAGAGGTGATTGTTTGTGATATGATATGATATGTTGGGGAAGAGGAGGGGGGGCAATACCGCCGACGAACGGTCCATTTTATACTCGGCGCCGAATCACGAATCACGATTCACGGTTCATGTTCATGAGAGTTCAATAAGCTTGAAGTTGAACGATACAACGGCGACTTGTGACTTGTGACTTGTAACTGTGGGCCGTGGCACAGTCCATGACTCCACACCATACATGCGTCGCGACTCGCCTCCGCTTCGCTTTGAGGGCATTCGAGGTCGCGGTCGCGCTGAGGGAGGCAATGCATGTACGGCTACGGCGCAGGTCTGCACAAGCTCCGCGTCCGGCCTGCGAGAACCTACGGCAAGGGCAAGTCGAAGAACGTTTGTACATAGAAGGAAGAAGAACGTAGAAGGAAGAACTGGAAGCGGGCGAGCCCTTGACTGCGATCGGAGGGAGCTCGATCAGGCACCTTGCTGTAATACGCATAGGACATATGCATAGGACATATGCATAGGGGCTTAGGGGGCTTAGGAGCGCTTCGAGGGCCTCGGGTAGTGTGTAGTGTACGGGATGGTACTGCACCATACACCATACACCATACAAAGTCGACGCGACTACGATCCATAAACCCAGACCCAGACCCAGGCCCAGGACAAAGACTTTGTCAATCCACGTCTCCAGTGGTGAGCATTATAACGAAACTAACTAATTTTTGACCAGCCTTGCAGTGATCGGGAACGGCGCCAGACCAGCGTCAGACTGAGTTAGATTAATGAATTACTTCGATTTCGAAGCTCAAAGATCAAAGTTGCTCCCCGAGGTCCTTGGGTACATGTACCCAAGCTGGCGCTCGACGCAAAGTTAAGTATGTAACGTTATCTAACGTCAAACATCACAATTAATTCGATCATGATGCACGGTCTTGCCTATGCGGCCGCATCCGCAGGTCGAAAACACATAAACATATCATTCACGCAACTGCGCTACAATGCATGTTTAAACATATATACTAGCGAAGAAGCTCGCGGTCGCGGTGGGACGGTAATCATAACATGAGTCCCGGGACTCCGGCGCTCATGGAGCTTTGCAACACCCTGAGAAAAACATGGTGACAAAATACCAAGGGTGGGCGCGACCGTGACAACGCTCGCGCCAACACCAACCCAACAACCAAGACCCCCCTGCTCGACCGTTCCTGCTGCCAGCAGATGCTGGTGAACCACCCCGGCCTATAGTCAGTGCGCATTACCCACGTCTGGTGAGTTTTTTCTGAAGTCTCCGTGATGATTGAGGAATAACGGCATGTGACAGATCCTGACATTGACATAGACAACACAATCATCTGCTCGCCTTCCCGCACCCCCACTCGCACCCGCACCCATAAATATCGATGTCGATGTCGCTGTCAAGTCCTAGCACGAGCAGCGGCAGTATATATCAGCGCGGAGTCCGACGTCCACCACCGCCTTCCGGGCCCCGACTTCGAGGAAGGCAATCGTCAGCGCTAGCCACCCCGATCACTCTCTTCGATAGTAGCTATAGTACCAGCGGCTTGAGTTACAATGGGAGTGATACTGGGTCGCCGCCGGGTACGCCGGTGCCGTTTAGTCCTCCTCCAAGCTATCAGCAGCACTCCCAGCCTCCTTCATCACCTGCTGTTTCGACCCATTCGAATTCGAGTTCATTCCGTGCTGCTGCTGTAGCTAAAACACCTGCCACTTCGACGCTGGCGACGAGGGAGCGGGAGGAGGAGGAGGAGGAGGGGATGGAGACGAATCTCATGAGGCCGAGGGTCGGCAGCTACATAGCAACATCATCGACAACCTCAACCCCCAGTCACGTATTCCCGTCGACTCTCTACACAAGCAGCCCAACGTCCTCGCCTTCACCGCCACCACAGTCTACCAGCACCTCACCGACGTCAGCGTCAAGCGTCAACGACAATGGTGCGAACGGGAATGGCAAGGGACTACCAACGTCGCTGTCGGCAATCGAGGAGCGTGACTCTGAGTACCCAAGAATGAAATTGGGAGATATCGGTGAGGAGGAAGATAGTGATGGTGTCGGTGTACAAGTCGAGGAACGACGTGGAGGAGCCAGGGTGCGTCCGCCTTCGGCACTACAGTCACCTCTCTCCCCGATCTCCCCGCTCTCCCCACCCCCGCTGGTTGACTCCGATGATGATGATTTAACCGATCACCGTCCCCCTCTTTCGCCTTCACCCTCACCCTCGCCACCGCACCCTCCAACTCCTCCCCCTCTGCATTCGTATCCGCATTCGCCCCAATCAATCCCTTCGAGATCTGCCACAACGCCGACCCCGACGACAGCCACCACACCAGTACCCAAACCCTCTATCCAACACCTTTCACCCCCGCCACCGATCAACTACGACTCCGTCCCTCTGAAATGGAAATCGCTACCGCTAGAAGCTGCTATGTGTACGTGCAAATATCCCTTCCCCTTCTTCTCATCTTACCTCTCCCTTTCGTCCGACAGGGACATTCACATCCAAGGAACTACAACACATCGTCTCCCGCGCAATCCGTACGTCTGCACGCGAATCCTTCATCCGTCTCCTCTCCCTCAACATCCTCGACAACGAACTCCCGAACGAGCTCCAGCGCCTCGACCACGCCAAGCTCACTGCCCAAGCCCGATATCGGTTTTGCGTCCACAGACGCACGATGCTCTTGCAAGCCGTTAACGCTTGTTCAATGCAGCAACACAGCAGCTCGAACACCGGAGCAGGAGGGAGTGGGGGACATATTGCGCAACTGGCAGCCCAGTTATCCGAAACTACGGCCGAGTGCGATCAGTTGTTGGAGCAGATGATGCGGATAGTCGATCAACAGGCGCAGTGCGTGAAACTGCAGGATGTGCATTGGGCCAGTGCATTAGCGGTTGCTCTTCGTAAGGTATGTGTGTTGTTTGTTATACCACTCCTTTTGTCCCGCGAGGCTTTTATCTAACTGATTGACGTTCCATTCTTATGCATTCCATTCTCCGCCGTGGTATCATTCTGCTATTTGAATGATCTGCATTTGCTGTGCACGTTGATCCTCGTGCTGAATGATCGTGGTGATGCTGGCAACGATTGATATCCGTTGTGTGGATGTCAGTTGAATACAAGTTACGGGAAGCGGACGGCTGAGCTCAAGGCCGCGAAGGAGCGAATATCACAGCTGGAGGCCGAACTCGAGGAGGCGTGGAAAGAGGCTGAGACAATTGCGCGGGAGCTGGATGATCAAGAGGAGGAGCTCGAGGAGGAGGAAGGGGAGGTGACCGCAGATATCACGGGAGAGGTTCATCAGCAAGCGGGAGAAGATTTAACGGAGGATCTCACGGGTAGCGTGGACCGCGGAGGCGAAGGAAGCGATACGGGAGAGCTCACAGGAGATGACGAAGACCAGGAAGAAGCGCATGTAATCGTTGCCGAGCATCTCACAATCCTCAAATCACCGCCTGCAGTTTTACACGACCTTCCTTCCCTCGTCGACCTCAAGGCCAGCGCCAGCGCCAATTCGAGCTCGAATCCCTCGTCGCCAGTCTCCACGTCATATGTCCATGTATTCTCGTCACCTCCGAACACGCCGACACCCTATGCACAGGACGGCCAGCCTAACACGCCCCGCCCAACGCAGCATACGCGATATCCTTCTGCTATCGCGTCGGAGATGAGTTACCAGATCGCAAACTCAATGGATTCGAGGGTTCTTGCCGCTTCGCCTCCGCCTCTTCCAACTGCTACAACTGCAATCGTAGCGCAGGCGGATGCCCCCATTCCTCCGGCCAAAGACGACGATGCCGCTACAATCCACAGCGTCCACAGCACTCGAAGCCTCCGGAGCACTAAAAGCGCGAAGAGTACGAAAAGCACCAAAAGTGTGCGTCCCCCTGGGACGAGCCGTGTCAGTCAGGTGTTCGCTGCGAGGAGACGGAGTATACGCGCGTCGTTGGGGAGCTTGAGGATTCCTAAACTGCGTCATGGTTCGAGACATGCGAGCTCAATGAGCGCAGGAGGTATTGCGGATGTGGGTGTTGGCGACGGTGATGGTGGTTCAGAAGGAAAGAGCAACCGTCCACCTGTCCCAGAGCTTCCAAGCGCATATATCCGGAAACCTTCCGTTTCGATCACAACGATGGCATCCAATCACTCAAAATCACCCTCAACCACGCTTCCGCCTTCCTCCTCGTCTTCGTCAGTAGTGTCCCCCGCGTCTGTACGCAGGGTGTTCTCCTTCGGTCGACACGGTAAAGCCCAGCACCCAAATCTACTCTTACAATCCCAGCCCCAAGCCCAACAACCGCATGCAACACTTCCAGAAGCAGGCGCGAGTCCAGGAGTGCCAGCGTCGTTGAGGTCGCGTAAACCCCGGATGAGCGTAGATGATATTCAGGTTGTACCACGTTCTCCGCGATACGATGTTACCCCGAGTCGGCCGAGTGCCGTGGATGACATTGGTATTGATGCGCGCAGTGGGGCACACATGAGGAGGCGGATGAGCGGCGTTGGGGGTATTGGGGGAGTCAGTGGGTTGATGAAGAGGCTGGAGTGGGTGATGGGAGGCGAGGCTGAGGGTTCTGAGGAGGTGCGTGCAGAAGGCGCGCCGGGCGGCAGTGGTGGTGACGACAAGGGGAAGGAGGAAGCGAAGCAAGAGAGTAGCCACCACCCTCTTAGCGCTACCTCAAAAGCTCTCCACTCACTTAAAACCTCCCCCGAACGACTATTCCACCGTGTGAACGGCTCTTCATCCTCCTCCACTTCTGCCTCCAGTACCACCACCACATCGACGCCCAGTCCAGGCGGAATCCTTCACAGCGCACGAAAACGATACACAATGTCCTTCCCTCTCTTTACTGGATCAAACACAGCAGCTTCTTCAACAACAATCCCTGATTCGACGCCGCCATCCGCGTCGACGTCAAGGCTGGGTTTAGGGCCGAAAATGAGGCCTGCGTCGTCGGCGCAGTATTCGAATTGATGCTATTGCACATTCACGATGTTGCTACACCCTTGCTTTCGCGTACTATGTATGTCGTATGTACGTTCCCCATGTCGTTATCATATATCTATATCATCGCTCTGTCGAGTCTTTCTTGGTTACATTACTGTTATACCATGTTGTCTGTTCCGATTTATCCATTCATTCGACGGTCCACATACCCAGACGAGCCCAAGTTTGTGTTGGTCGCTACTACTCATGCTAAGTACCATGGATCCAAGAGACACGCGTTGTCGTTGACCGGAGTCCGTGAAATTGAAGTGCCAAAAAGTATTGGGTCTGGCATCTTCGTATTCTATGTGGATTGGTATCGGGTAACACCTCTCTGACAACACACTAGCAAGATAACCAACTGCTATGGATGTCACGAATGACAGCTACTTTCCTATCGCGCCGGTGGCGTAAACTGAAGTTGGCATGTTCGACAACTGTCAGCTATCTACATCGACCCACCGGGGAGGAACGGTTAGATGCTATTCAAACACTCGTATTGAGATAGCTACATTGCACCGCGTAAGCAACATCAGCAACTGCCAAAGGAGACACCTGAGAGACCATGTGAGTATATCATTAAACGAATCAACGAAACCACCCACTTCCATAAGGCCCACTATGGTCATCCAACCCGCCCGTGAACGCTAGGAGACATCACACAACCCCAGCATAAGTGATCTCATACAGTAATATATAAATATATAGAGAGAGACATACCTGAAAAGATACTCGCACCACTACCGTCCGAGCACTCTGCAGACGGGTTTTCCTGGCCGGCGCATTTGTACCATTTTCTGTCTTTGTTAGAAATGTGCTGTTCGAGGTGCCGTAACAAGTGTAAGCACAGGTACCTTTCTTTCATGACAAGGAGAAGACCAGAAGTGGACGTACGATTTCGCCTGAGGGATGTCGATACCCGGATGATGCATCTACGAATCAAACTTCGTATTAGTCTATGAATTCAAGATGGCTATAAGACAATGCATACCAGGCATGATTGGCACTGGATCTTCTCTATTGCACAATGCTCCGTCAACACAAAAGCACTCATGATAGAGGAAATGAAACGAAAATAGCAGGAAAATTAGTTGAATACATAGGATGTGCTACGTACCCGTTATTTATCCGCACGAGGGATTTGACATGAGCGTCGACGTAGTCAGCGAACGCTTTGTTTCCAACCTAAAAGGTGATCAATGTCAAGGCGCATGATATGAGAAGGAGCGGAGGCTTACACGCGGCATTCCGTAGCCTATGACTGAGAACGTGATCCCCGGAAGGTGGAGAGGGAGGTATATGCCGTCCAGAAGCGACAGTGCTGCTCCTACCAACGTGTAAAACATACATCCACGTCAACGAGTGCGAGTGGGGCGAGTGGTGTATGTACACTCACCCAGAGAATGTCCGACGAGCGTTACGTGTTTCGTCGTACCAGGTTCCTTGAGGGTCTTCTGCACAGCTGCCAATACCGCAGACGCAGACCTGGTATAGCCTGAGATAAGTCGGCGGTTCTAACGATAGCGCTCACTACTGAATTCGGCTTACCTAGAATGAGACTCGGCGAATCCTTTGTGGACCAACATATTTGCAGTGACACCAGGGAAGAGTGACTTGCTGGGATGAACTTGGGCGATGTCCATTATAGTCGCTACAGCACCGCTGCGAGATGATCCATTAGCACCGTGTTGATAGCCAATGGACGCGAAAGCATCGGGGCCCTACTGAATTGAACGCACCTCTTGGACCTGTCTGTCCCCTGGTGGGCTACGATAACCGTCTTCAAGGTTGGATCGTAGCCAACATACCCTAGCAGAAAGGGTCACTTTGTCAGTCATCGCCCCTTACGGATACTCAAGAAACTCGAGCTCACAATATTGTGTCAGGTTGCCATCCCCACCGGCGGCAGTCAACTTGAACGTCGGGTTCTTCGTACAGCTCTCTGTAATATGGAGATGTACGTGATGTGATCATCAAGCGAAAGTAACGTTCAGTTCTGAGTCGTGAAACGAGACGAGAGTCAGAGGAGGAGCAACTTACCTCCGCAATTCCACTTCTTCGTTGAGACGCCACAGTATGTTGCGCGGGCAAAATACGTGTAGGGCGTGTACTTATTGATTTCCGCCTCCGTCAGGGCACTTGGGCTCGTCTGCGGTGCGGCGCGGACGTTCAGGACGCCTAGCAGCAGCAAAAACAATAAGCTAGCGATGACGGAAACCATCGTGGCTGCCCGACTCCGTTCAGACCGGCGTAGACGAAGGCTGCAACAAAGCAGACTCCGGTGGGCGGAACAATGGGGGTCTTGGAAGTCTGATCATGGCTTATATATATCCTATAGCTTGACATTAGCTTTTCGCAAACAGCATGCTGCGAAGTCACCCAGTTCTCGATTGCGTAGTGCTAGCGACACCCTTCCCACGCTACTACTTCTACGTATAATGGTGGCGTACTACATTGTGCCTGTTCGTCACGGAGACACTTCGACTGATCAAGAAAATATGAATACACGCAAGCTATTACTATACGGTAAAGTGAGAGTTCCATGGATGCAATGTCTGCGATCATAGCTCGCTGTCTTTAGTGGAGAAAATATGAGATGAGCCAGCAGGGTCTTGTTCCACGAGCTTTGGTACTTCTGGCGTAGATGCGTTAATTTCTCCTTGAGGCGTCGAGTCAGAATCAGCCGGCGATAGTATATCTGCCAGCGTGGATGGACCACAGCCGAAAACAACGCCTGTTACACGCGATGGGTAAGCGTCTAAGTTGCAAGGAATGGAGGACAGAGATGAGCATACCATCGTATGGGCCAGAGTGGTCTGTTATAGCGCCTGCGAACATATGTTCTACGGCGCCGGCCGAGCATGTCCCATCGTTACTTTCCTGACCTGTTGGCTGCTAAGCATAGGGAAAGACAAGCATGATTAATGGCTTTACCTGGACAGACTACCCAGTCTCCAGTTTCGAGGATGTGCTAAATAGAGAGAGGGGGTATCAGCTGTTTGCCTGAGAATGATAATTATAGCACGGACGATCTCGCCGGACGGGTGGTAATAACCATATTCCGTAGCTAGAAGGGGTTGGCGTCAACGAATGTCGAAATCTAGTTGAATAGAAGAAACATACGAGGTACGATGGGGATGGGGTCGAGTCTATTAGAGCAACGTAAATATATGGGTATAGTAGGGTGAAGGAGAACTTACTTATTGTTGATACGAGTGACTTTAATTTTCTCGTCAATGTAATCAGCGAATGCAGTGTTCCCGACCTGAGCGGAACGTAAGAATTCGTAGTTCACAGCCATGGTAATGGAACAACTAACCCGAGGCATGCCGTACCCAATTACCCTGATGTTGAGGCTGGGGTCTTGCAACGACAACTGAACAGCGTCCAGCGAACCAAGTGCAGCGCCTTAGAGGCTATTAGTATCTAGGAAATACGAACGGCATAGCGATACATACCCAAGGAGTGACCAACGAATGTCACGTTCTTAGTGTTGTGCTTTTCGGTGGCTTGTTTTACGGCGGCCATCACATCAGCGGCCGAACTATGTGTCCATGAGCCCGAGCACAGACAACTGAATGATGCATCCTCTTACGAAGCGTGTGCTCTCATGAATCCAGCATGCATCGCTACACCTTTCTTAATCATACCAGGAAACATGACTGGATCTGGATCAACAATGTCGATATCCATTACTGTCATTATGACATGTCTAAAAGAAGATGAAATCAGTCTGAGAGTATGATTTTGATAAGTGGATACATACTCTAAGTTGATGTCGGCTCCTTGGTGTCCAACGATGACCGAGTCGATTTTGGGATCGTAACCCGCATACCCTAAAGCCGCACATTTTACTTCACAGACAAAGGGCTGTTTCGAATGATAACCTACAGTACTGGGTCGCATTCCCATCGCCTCCCGAGGCAAAGGGCTGGAACTGGGCGTTTGCTTCGCAGTTCTCTACGGTTCGTCGAATTTAGAGCGTGTAAACGCGGTGAATCGCTGAAAATATACCTCCACACTTCCATGTCAAAGTATCTTCAGGTTTACAGTACCCGGCACTCGCGTAATATGTATAAGGTTTCAGCGCCGCGATATCTTCCGAAGGATATATCTTCATCGACATCACGAGGGACAGTGGCTGGGAAATATAGGCAGCCGCCAGAGTCAGAGCCAGGGATCGAAGCGCCATTATGTTATGCGGTAGGTGTAGTAGAGGAAGCTTGAGGCAAAGGAAGCTTCTCTAGCGCGTATTATAGCAAGCCTGGGACACGTAGCAACTTTGACTGTCGGCTGTCATTCCAGCTGACACTGACTATAACGACGTGTTCGACATGATATTTGCAAGTAACGGAAAATTGATATGGCAGCTAGAGGGTAGACAATTCTGAGTCAAGAGACCTCCTGTTGCAATCAGACATCGTGAACACAGTGGCGGAAAGAGGGAAAGGGATTGCCGCAAGGAGCTCGCTGTTGTGTGACACTAGTGACCAGACGTGCCCGTGACTACACAGGGTAAGCGCGCCTGTTTGGGCGACTCATGAGGACACCACCATGAGGTTCGCCTCATTTCAGCGATGTACGGCAGGACGAGCGAGCAGCTGGCCACACTGCGTATCAGAAGACTGACAATCCTACTCTCATGACCTCTATGGGCCCTCGTAGAAGTCAATACCACACGTCGCAATCGTGTTCGGGTTGGTCCACGTCGCACACCATGCAAAACGAAGCTAGTGTCGTGCCAGCCGCCGACCAATATCATAATATCTGATAGTGATTCTTACTGCTTATCCAGCCAGCCCGTGCCTAACCTCATCTGTACTAAAGCAATGCCCGAGCAGGCTGTCTTGAAACCTTGTCTATTTCGTTCGCCCCATGTTTGCTTCTCGATTTTTGTCTGCGGCTTTGTTCCTTTCGTTTCTGAGGATTGTCCTCGCCGGTTTACCCAAGAAAATATATGGCGTCAACCTTGGTTCTTGGTTAGCGCACTAGCTTTGCAGTCGTAACCTCCCAGAACACCTTCTCAAACTAGTTCACTTCTAGGCTACTCCTCGAGCCGTGGATGCTACCAGCAGGTATGCCTATCAGTGATAGGGAATCAGGTTCTGCCTGTATCTTACATGGATCTAGGATGGTTGGCCATGGGTGGAGAGATGTGTTCAGACTGTTCGACGTGCATAGCGAGTGAATCGTATGTCCTAAACACACTCATAACGATATCCTTGGTTAATTGAAAGCGGTTCCGTGGTAGCGCTTTTGCTGAAGCATATCCTGAGAAAAAGGTCTCCGCAGAATTCAATAAACATTGGTAAGATACCGCTTTGATGAGCACATCCTGACTTCACGAAATTCACATTGATTTACGGTCAACAGGGCCACTTGGTTTAACCAAGATGATGTCAACGAACTTGCCTCCCTCGGCATCAACACAGTTCGCATTCCTGTAGGGTTTCATTTTCGATATAAACAATGAATTAGTGCTGACGAGGCTCCCCTAGCTAGGATACTGGATAATAGAACAATTAGTCGATAAAGGCGAATTCTTTCCAAAAGGTGGCCTCAAACATCTGGTTTGCTACTCCGTTAATTCAGTGCATGTCTATCGGCTCAGTCTGTCTTCGTAGCGGAGAGGGCTGCGTCAACTCCATGATGCTGGTATCGTCGCGATTTTGGTAGCTACATCTCCCCTCCTTCAACAATATACCCTTCATTTGGAAGTATAGGACCATCACGCTTTACCCGGTGTTCAGACCGCTCAGCAAATGTTCACGGGAAGGTTAGCCTCACTAGAAGGACTTTGATCCATATTTGACCCTCGACGAGCAGATGCACGAGAGATGTCGAGTTCTATGTGAGCGAATCTCAACTTTAGATGATGGAGGAGAGAACTCAAGTAGTTTTAGACTGACTACAACTATCACCGTGCTTTGGTGTGGACGGCCGTAATGACCGGCATGGCACATCTTGATCCAATGTTCAAAGGCGCCGTCTCAATCCAGGCAGTCAACGAGCCTATCATGGATGCGACCTTGACTCCCGGATATGGTGAATGTATGGCTCCGTGCCTGCATGATCTTTTCCCCTTCGCTGACCCTCGTGTAACCAGTCCAAAAGAACTTCGTCTTGACTGTTCGTGCGGTCGAAGCACTCTTAGGAATCGGTGTACACGCTAGATTTCCCCACTTCCCCTCAGCCAACTTCACAGCAGTGTTGACGGAAGCATCGAATACGAACCAATTCAACCCTGAAGTCCAGGATGCACTCGCTGCTGCGGGCCCGATCCTCCTTCAGATAGCGGCGGAATTTAATATCCAGCCGGTGTTCAACGTGCACGCTCAAGACGGTGGCCAGCGAGAGCCACTCACTACAAAGTGAGGTCACGTCGGTCCCTTCGCTACGGCAGATGGCTGATCATTGATCATCGTCCTGTGCAATTTTTTAGTTTCATGGATATCAATTGGCAGTTCAACGACCCACCTAATCCTGCCGATGCCACTCTCGGTCCTCAGGGTTACGACAACCATTTATATTATTCGTGAGTTACTTCTATCCAGTCATTTTGCATTCTCATTCGTATTTTTCGATTAGGTTTGGGGTGAGTTTTGATCAGCCCGACATCAGTTTCTTGCGTCCTCATGATCCCACAGGGAGTAGCTGATCCCAACCCAGACGCTTACTTGATAAGCATTTGCAGTATGTCTCTCGCTATTTGCCCACTATTCCTCAAGCTCACTTCAAGTTATATAGATTTACGCCGCGTAGAGAACGACGCGGCGGTGGGCAATTCTCCCCTTTGGTTCGGAGAGTGGGCACTCTCTACCCAATTCGACGCTTCCGACGATTTCCTTCGTGACTGGGCAGATGCCCAGAAATTGGCGTATAGCAAGGGCCAAGGCTGGATAGTGCGTCGCTTCCTTGCTTGCGTAGGAGTTATAATGTATGGCTGATCTTTGTAGTTCTGGAGCTTCAAGATCGAAATCTCGCCAGAGGCCGGTGATACGGCGCGTCAGTGGTGGGTTCCTTCTAATCATCTAATTTATCATCCAAAGCTGCTTCTTACATCCTGTCTTTCTCAGGTCCTATACAGAAGGCGTGAAGCGTGGATATCTTACTCGGAAACCAGCCGAGCTTCACAACCCACATGTGTGCGATGACTTTGTGGAGCAGTAGAGGTATTTTCTCTTCCGTTTTGAAACGTTCGAGCCTAGTAGCACGTTCTTTTGGTGCCCCGCATGTGCCATCTTCTTTCCGGCATGTCGTTCGTCGCGATAGGTTTCTTTCACTTTACGAATTCAGTGATTGGGTAGCCCCTAACCGGAACCGGTTCTCACACGAAAGTCAATTATGAACCTATCTTTAGTCCAGCAACTCAGCCTGTCCATGCTCAAAGTGTTCTGTTCTTCTGATCCTTGACATATTGCAGATATCATCATATGGGGCTGTCAGAGTGCTCTTACAGTCATCCACCGTGACTACCGCCTGGCTCATGGTCCCAATGTTCCCTCTTCCCACCATATCGGTTCTTGATAGCATGGGTCCTGGAATGGTATATTGCGAGATGTTATAAAGGGCACAGATGGAGGGTATTGTTACAGGCAGCTTTCCAGAAACACTGGTGGGCGGGTAACTAGGCAACGATACGATGAAGACCGCATCCAGCCTACTTCAAACCATCGCCTTCGTCGCGACGTTCGTCTCGGCGGCCCCGACGCTAGAGACCTCTTTGTTCGCCCGCCAGGCCATAAGCACTTTGTCCACAGCGCAGATTGCTTCATTCAAACCATTCTCGTTTTTTGCGAGTGCGGCATATTGCCAGCCAGCCAGAACTTTGGCGTGGTCTTGCGGAGGTATGTATGTACCATGGCCGGGATGGAGCACTATATCTAATATTTATTTATAACCAGCTAACTGTAACGCGAACGCTGATTTCATCCCAACTGCATCCGGCGGTGACGGCTCTTCGACACAGTTTTGTACGTACTTGTTTGCTACACGAAATCTTTTGCTGATGTTGTACTATGATTAGGGTATGTTGGCTTCTCGCCCTCGCAGAACTCGGTCATCGTAGCCCATCAAGGGACGGATACCTCTAAAATGTGAGTACTCTCCTACTTGGGAATTTACATATTCTCACTCCATTACCACGTAGCCAAGCTCTGCTCACTGACGCGGAGGCCGTTCGAGGGAAACTAGATGCTTCTCTCTTTCCGGGTGTTCCGAGTGCAGTTACCGTCCACGATGGTTTCCGTAACGAGCACGCGAAGTAAGCCACTTTCATATGCTGAGAGCCAATTCGTGACACATCCGTTATTGCAGGACCGCACCAACAATTCTCGCTGCTGTTCAACGTACTTTGTCTGCTCATCCTGCGTCGAAGCGAGTCACCGTTGTCGGCCACTCCTTGGGTACGCCCCGTTCATTTTTCCTGCTCCAGTGATTAAATACCGGCGCAGGCGCTGCTCTGGCTCTCTTGGACGGAGTTTACTTACCACTTCACATTTCTGGTGTCACATTCCGCACCATTGGGTACGGCATGCCGAGGGTAATCAAACTTGCCTCATCAACGAATATTACTGACGGGACTGGGAATAGGTCGGAAACCAGGATTTTGCCAACTACGTTGACTCTCACATCTCTCTGACCCATATTAACAATAGGTACGTGCTACTAGCCCTCCTGCTAAAGGCAACATCACCTTGACTTGAGTAGGGAGGACTTCGTACCCATCCTGCCGGGAAGATTCTTAGGTTACAGTCACCCGGCGGGTGAAGTTGTATGTTCCTTGGTTCCGTTTTCACGATCAGTCCCTGACCTCTTTCAAGCATATCCAAGATTCGGGCGCTTGGACTTCTTGTTCAGGTCAGTACTGCTGCAGATAACCACATGCCGGTCTCATGCCTGTCCACAGGGCAAGATAATACGAATAGTGCTTGCACAGTTGGTGATGTTGGTAACATATTCGAGGGACACGCAGGTGATCACAGTGGTCCGTACGATGGTGAGCTATCTGCTATCTCCGTATCAGATGATCAGCTCGATTGATATTGACCCACTTTGAAAGGCGTCAACATGGGTTGCTAGGTGGACGCTTGTAAGATAACTCCGTTGCTCGCGCCGTCAATTCATGTCAGTTCAGCAATGATGCTCGTTCATCAACGCAACTCGCAACTACACGTACTTGAACGTGCCTGCTCGGCAGTTGTAAGATAAACATAGCCGTGCAAAACACGGAACTAATCCTGCGAAGCCTGCCAAAATGTCTGCTGCTCCACATGAGAAGACCCATGTATACGCTTAATTGTGAGAGCCCACCATTCTATAAAGAGAATGACCATATGTCCCAGGGTACAAATCTGCACGTTCGGAGATGTTCATCTTTGGTGAAGTTGTTCCAATCATTGCCTAGTGACAGAACACCGCATGCCTCCACTACTTGGTAAGTACTGTGTTGGATCTTCCATGCCACACTCGGCTTCTTGTGTCAGCTTGGTACAAAGCTATTCTGGCCTGATGATCGCAGCATAGTGCTAACGCTTTTCCCGATAAAGTTCATCAAGCTATGTTAGGTGTTACGACATTGGAGGCGCTGGACTGTGTCTCGGTTGAGATGCTCGCCAAGTGAACCATCCTGCCTTCTCTTGTCAGGCTTCTGTCACAGAACAGGTGGCTGTCGGCAGACTGGAATCCCATCCCGGTTCATTGAAGTATTTAATGGATGATGCGGGGTTGAATCAGTCCAAGCGGGCAACTCTCAGTCAAGATGGTCCTCTCCCTTCTCTCTCTCGCGGTTGTTGTATTCATCTCAGCCGTCGTTGCTATACCGGTGCTCGAGACCCGCCAGAGTATCACCGTCCTTTCGAGTGCGCAAATCTCGGTATTCAAACCCTACTCGTTCTACGCGTCTACGGCGTATTGCAAACCTGCAACGACAAAAACGTGGACCTGTGGCGGTAAGGACCGTCTATCTCGTTAAAGCTATAAACTTCACTGACGTCGTTCGCAGCTAATTGCAACGCCAACTCTGGGTTCCAACCTGTTGCCTCTGGGGGCGACGGCTCGATCGTCCAGTTCTGTTAGTTCCTTGTAACCATTCAGCTAGTGAACCTCTCACAAATAGATCCTAGGGTATGTTGGATACGACGCCAGTCTGAAGTCCGTCATCGTGGCGCACCAAGGCACAGATACCTCAAAATTGTGGGGATGCTCTACCTTCCTGTTAAGGATGACGCTGATCTGACACCGTAAACCCAGAATACCCCTGCTCACAGATGCAGATTTCTTCTTTGACAGCCTTAATCCAACCCTATTCCCTGGAATCAGCAGATCCATCCAGGTACACAATGGCTTCTCTGAAGCACAGGCGCGGTATGTTATCATTGCTTCTCCTTTTCTGGCACTTTCTGAGGATATTTCTGTGGTAAGAGCTGCGCCTGCTGTCCTCGCAGCTGTTAAAACCGCGATGTCCCAATTCTCAGCCACCCGTGTCACTATCGTTGGCCATTCTCTAGGTGGAGCCATTGCCTTGATTGACGCGGTCTACTTGCCTTTGCACTTGCCGTCTGGAACCACCTTCAGGACCGTCACGTTTGGCATGCCTCGAGTAAGAAGACCCATTTGTGATGTGATTCCACCTCAGCTCTGTTGAACCAGGTCGGAAACCAAGCCTTTGCAAACTACGTTGACTCCCATGACACTTCCCTTACACATATCAACAACAAGTTAGTCGATCTCCTTTCCTCAGTCGAATGAGACGCCAACTTATCGTATGTAGGGGAGATATTGTTCCTATCGTTCCGGGGCGTTTTCTGGGTTTCCACCACCCGAAGGGAGAAGTGGTTAGTCTGATCACTGTACCGTTCAACCAGAAAACTAAGCAGTCCTATCTATCGCGTAGCATATCCGGAGATCAGATGCAGCGTGGCTGTCTTGTTCAGGTGATTTTAGTTGACAAATGTTGCATAAGATATGTATTGATGTCCCGCCAGGCCAGGACAATACAGGTGATGGGTGTACGATCGACGAGGTGCCTAATATCTTTGAAGGTGAACCGTCAGACCACCCCGGCCCTTATAACGGTGCGTTGGTTGTTCTGTTACCTCTTGATGATACACGGCTCAAGTATCTGATTTCTAGGCGTCACGATGGGTTGCTAGACGGTATCGAAACCGGTCTCAGGCTCCATTGCGTAGTTTCATCTTGTTTTGTCGTATCGGCCAGTACCCAGTACGTCCAATGTGGCTCAATCGCCAATCTATTGCGCGTCATCAATGTGACGCACTTCGATCATCGACCCCAGACCGACCCTGAGCAACCTACCTTGTGTCCCCAAGCAATCGAAAGTGACGTCCACAGCGTCCACATGGTATTTGATGGAGCGTACAAGTTGAACCACCCGGCCGAATTTCAGGATGGGATGTCCAACTTAACTACCCACATGCAACGTGTCAATATCTGAGTTTCGCCGGTCACTTGTCAGCTCTACTCTTGTGCTGCATCGTGCAAGAGGCTTCGCTCCCGCATCACCTGATGGTCAGTCCCCATGTCTACTCTACGCAGGGAGCGTTCGCTTATCAACCTCTCTGGATAATAAGGTTGTGGATTGACCTGAACGTTCGCTCAACTACCGATCTACAGGGATTTTTTGCGCCTAATGCTCCGGCGCGTCGGGTAGGTGGCTGCTCATACGACTGTACCACACGCGCCGCCTTTCAGCTTAGGAAAAGCCTGGAGAGCACCCTTATCGCAAGGTGGGACGAGCATACGTTGCACGTTGCTCTACCCCAGCGTGCTGTGTAAGCGACGACAACACTCTTTGCAGCATACTTAATGAGATAGAGGGAGGACGAGGAAGATCAACCTGCACCCCATATCTGCAGCTCCGCTAGTATGTCCCTTCAGTTTCTGGCAGCTGTCGCGGTGTTCTCCGCCCTCATTACATCCGTGGCCGCTGCACCCCTGCTGGAACCGCGACAGGGGGGCGTCACTGTCCTACAGAGCCACGAAATATCGAAGTTCAAGACGTACACGCATTTCGCCTCGGCCGCGTACTGTCAGCCTTCAACAACGCTGACATGGACGTGCGGAAGTGTGTACTCCATAGCTTCGTAGCGCCACTAGTGCTGATTAAGATCCTCCTTTACCAATCAGCCAACTGCGAAGGCAACCCGGGGTTCACCCCAGTCGCTAATGGTGGCGACGGGGAGATGATCCAATTCTGTACGTTCGCGTCTTCGTAGTTCTTCAAAATACTAACTCGGATAACTAAACAGGGTTTGTGGGATACGATAGCCTCCTTGAGTCTGTCATCGTCGCACATCAAGGGACGGATACTTCGAAGCTGTGGGTTCAACTTCTCCGTCTTCTTCATGGCACGCCGTTGACTTGGAAATGGCGCTTGTATATAGGACATCTATCCTAGTCAGTGCAGACATAGGCTTGGACGGACTCGACCCGAAGCTGTTTCCCGGACTCAGCGATGATATTCAGGTGCACAGTGGTTTTGCAGATGCTCATGCAAGGTCGGTCCTCCGAGAGACATTCTTGGATAGGTTTCTTACTCGCTTGATTTCGCACCGTTCTCAGGGCAGCGCCAGCTATTCTAGCAGCCGTGGAGAAAACCATGCAGGAGTTCTCCTCGAACCGAGTGACTTTGGTCGGCCACTCACTGGGCGGCGCTCTAGCCCTACTGGATGCCGTCTACTTGCCATTGCATCTTCCCTTGGACACGCGGTTTAAGACGGTGACGTACGGGATGCCTCGGGTGAGAATTTACTCAGCAGTTCACTCACCAACAAGTGCTCATTGCTGCGAATGAAGGTGGGTAATCGGGCCTTTGCCGACTATGTGGACAAGAATGTTTCTTCTTTGACGCGTATCAACTACAAGTAAGGCCCTCACCCACTCCACTAAGCTATAGCTCCCATGCTGATGGCAATGTGAATAGGAAAGACATAGTGACCATCTTGCCAGGTCGGTTCTTGGGCTTCCGACACACTAGCGGCGAGGTGGTACGTATACCATTGCCCAGGACTAGAGTTTTTGATTGATGTTAACTCCTTTCTTCACACTCCAGCACGTCAGGAACTCAGACTCAGCATGGGTTTCCTGTCCAGGCCAAGACAGCACAGCAGCTGGTTGTACCATTGACGAAGTCCCTAATATCTTCAGCAGTAATTCCGGTGATCACTTCGGGCCATTTGATGGTAAGCACGGTGACTGCGAGTCTTTATGATACGATGCTAATAGTGTTCCACTTCTAGGTGTCATGCTGCGGTGTTAGTTCGTTCGTTTCATGAATCGTGTACCACTTCATGTACTATTGTATTTTTTGTCGATTGTATTTTAGTTCTTGCGTCCCACCTTTGTTCTTCCAGCATCTTACTGGCTAAAGCTCGCTGCTGCAAAGACGGATTTATATGCCAGGTTATTGTACCAACCGTAAGCAATGATACGTAAATAGCCCGTTAAATTTGACAACGGTCCATTACAGCAGGTCCTATGAATGGGGCGCTGCGTGGATAATCAGCTCGGACAGATCTTGAAACAAATTAAAATGAATACATACCGTTCAAACGGTATCAGTAGGTGCGTCAGTGCTAGCAGCAGGGTCAGCTGCCGGAGCGGCAGTCTTCTTCTTCTTGCCCTTGTCACTGGATGGGTTGGCGACGACGAGCACAGCGGCGAAAGCGAGGAGGATGAGTGCTGCGCGCATTGTGAATAGGGTGGCTGACGTTAAGCCTGCAAGTCAAATCAGTATCGCTTGCAAAATATGGGAGAAGAGAGAGCTTACTACTGAAGAGTGGCTAAAGGTTGCTGAGAAAATGTCGTTGAGTTATGTGGTCTTTTATATGTTTCTGTGTCGGTAAATCCACGTAGTCTTTGTGTGTTCTCTGCGCACAAGCCTCATTTCGACCATGCATGCCATCCATCAAAGCCAGTGTATGATTCTCGTAGCCCAGGGTTTACTCCACTTTATTGGAGTGTTGACAAACTATCATGGAATTGAAGGTGCTGAATCGCTCTAAAGTGACTATTCGGCGGCAACAAATCCACGCATTAGCCTGGCCCTAACGACAGGCAAGCATCCATTCATCGCCTCTCCTATTATCTCCTATTTCACGATCTATTTTTGGAATATCGACTACTCTATTCAGACTCCATCCCAGACTACACCATCGATCCTTCTGTTAGTCGAGTTTTATTTCCGGTTCAACATCTAGACAAAAGAGTTTAGCATAATTCACTTGGTAAGAGTAACAGGAGCTATAGCGGGTTTAATCAAGGCTACTAGCAGTCCAACGACCGTTCCTAATATCGAGGCGTTGATGACTCCATTGTCTCTTAGTTAGCTGTCCGAACGAGCTCGGAAAATCAAAATGTGGTCACCTGGCGAAAAGGATGATCCATAGTGGGAGTTGGAGAGCCAGCAACATTCAGCCTCTCCAGCAACCCAACCAAGATAAAACCTATTATTTTAGATTGTTGCTCAATTCATAGACATGTACGGGATGCTGGGCAAATGTTTAGTGTTTTTGGCGCATCCCTTATCTTCAATTTTTCCGGTGTAGTTGCTTCGTAAAAAGATATAGGACTGATCAGAAAAACTATCAGATGCTGCCCCGGAGAGACTTGAACTCTCGATCTTCCGATGCCTTATGGAAATAACAGTCGGACGCCGTAACCAACTAAGCCACGGGGCACACATTTCGATCGTTCTCACAAGCTTACTTGGTCTGTCAAAATCACCAAGTCTGCTTCGACTCCGCAAGTTCAAGCAGTTCTTCCTAGTATAAGATCAATGGAAGAAGGCACCGTCACCGCAAAAAAGACAGTCTTCGTAGGAGGTATTGGCGACGAGGTTGATGAAGCGATCATATACGAGACTTTCTCAACGTTCGGTTTGTCCATAACTTGACATCGACGCGACATGTCCTTGATGACCTCCGTTTAGGTGATATTTTGGAAGTACAGCTCCCCCCGGCCAATACAAACCCGAATCAGCCACCTGGTGCGTGTCGTTCGAAGCTGAAGCATGCGAGGGCTTATCAGACCCTCTTGTTGCTGTTGGACGTTTGGGAACAGACGGGAAACACCGTGGCTTCGCATTCGTGACGTTCTCTTCTGGTGCAGATGCTCAGGATGCCATAGACAACATGGATCTTAACGAACTCCGTGGTCGCGTCCTCAAGGTCAATCTTGCCAGACCAATAAAGGCCCAAGTGCAACCAGGACAAAATCGGGCTAGTGCGTGCTTTTTTCCCTCAATAACTACTTGTCTGAGCCTCGTCGTCTTTCTATGTTCGCGTATCCGCAGTTTGGGAGTCAGAGGAATGGCTTCAAACGTATGTCAAGCCTCTAGCACAGAGTGGAGGTGTTCAAGGACGAAGAGGGGGGTCAGAGGACGCAGACGGCCAGGACGCGAGCGAACAAAAGGCAGACGGAGATGGGGATGCTATGGAGGAATAGACGAACACGAACAATTGAAGACTTTCAGTAGTGTGGGTACTCTTGATCCCCCTCGAGACGACACATTGTTTCTTTTTAATGAGGTACGCTCGCCATAGCTGTCGCTCCCTCAAGGGGTTCCTCATGCGCCCGATGTATGTTTACGACTTGGTCTACGTGGATACACGGATAATATATGTAAAAGTACAATACGATAGCAATGTTGTGTATTGTCCGTACTTACCAGCGGGACAAGACAGAAGATTTTCATCATCAGCCACTCAGAAGGCCTTACCACCGCCCTGCATCTCGTTATCGTCGAATTCTGCTCTAGCTCGTTTGATATCTTCCTGCATGAAGAGCAACTCCTCCATTCTTGCTAGCTTCTTCGCGTCTGCGGGTCTCGACAAAACATGTCGTAGATCTTCTATAGATAACCGCGCCTTTCTGTTTGAGGAGCTGTGCTGGGATGCTTGCGTACACTGATGCAGACGCAATGTGGGAGTTAATTGTAAAACGGGTGATAGTCACAGGACGCAAAAATAATATAAGAGGGGAGGTACGCACCACATCTAAGATGAACTCCACTAGTATCTCCTCCATGACATTGACGGTATCGCTAGCTGGGTTGCGATCGTCACCAAATCCGTACATCAAATTTTTTACTGTGCAACACGACAAAGGACTCATCAAGTAGAAGCTACACAGAGAAAGGGAAACGCACTCACGTTCTTTCGTGAACAATCCCTTATAGCTAGCTCCCCTCCTCGCATTTCGCCCTCCGCCTGTCCCAGCACTAGAAGTAGTAGCGTACGTATCCCTCGCATATGGGGAGAACGTAGAGAACGTCCCCGTATTCGTCCGATTAACAGATCCCGCCATCGTGTTCGTCGTGGGCGCAGACGCCAATGTCGAAGTAGATGTAGTAGGGTGCATCGTCATCGTCGTCGAATTCGAGGTCGCAGGTGTTGAAGATTGAGCAGTAGCATTCTGTGCGCTCCCACTTGCCTGTGTTTGAGTTTGCCCTGCGGCAGGTGTAGCTGTAGGCGTCGGTGTCCCTGCTTGTCTCGCTGGTGGTTGGGGCATAGGATATCCATATGGATACGGCCACCCATACCCAGTCACACCCGCCTGGTATGCGTTCGCTCCATACGCCGCAGTTCCAGTTCCATACGCAGTCGTACCTGTGGTATGTGTTAGACTTAAGACTGATCCCGAATAGAAAGACAAACCAGTTGTTGGATACGGCGTTCCTGGAGGATATGTAGCAGCGTATGCACCTGCTTGGGTCGCATAGGGCCCTGGAACGAAGTAAGTCCCGTATGGATACTGATTCGACGTCGGTGGCTGCGGCGATGGAGTGTACGACATGGTGGAAAGTAGAAAGCGTGACCGCGCACTTTGAAGCCACTCAGAGAAAGAATAGGCGTGGGAATGTATTCAAGAAGTCTATCCGTCCACAAAGAGAAATAGCAGAATGAGTTCCACAGCAAAGAAATGTTGTTATATACATGGAGAGCAATGCAAAAACGATAAGTTCGATATATCAAAACGTAAGTAACTGGTCCATAGATCGTGAGTTTCATCCCCTCCATCCAGAAGGACCAGCTGTCGGCAACATTTGAGGAGATCGTGGGGGGGACATCGACTGGGGGAAATAGGTTGTCGTAGACGGTGATGCTAAAGATCCAGGAAGGTATAGGGGAATCGTTGGAATGAGTTCGAAGATGTGCTGGGCCACAGCTCTGGGCTGCCTTCCCGCCATACCGCCAACTCCTGGTATGATGGTCTCCGTGGCATTCATTACACCGTGAACTCTCGCCTCTTGGACAACCGCTTCCCCTGAAGGGCCAACCATAGGTGTAACGGAGGCATTGGAGTTCAGTCCACGGCCATCCCATATGCAGCGGATGTCGTTTCCGGGGATGATTTGCGCTAGGCGACCAGTCTCGACATGGCGTACCTCGATGAATCGTGGGTCGAATAGGAGGATGTAAGGAAGGTGGAGAGCAACGCGTTCGGCGGAGCCTTCCCATTCAATCTGACCCATCCCTCGACTCGGGTCACCGTGCTTATTGACGTACAGACCAAACGCTGAAGAAAGTTAGGGATAGCGCCTTCGGAGCACCGAGACAAACTCACCGTCATAGACCAAGAGGAATTCGTCGTCTTTGGACCGGAACATCCCAAGGGGTCGAGACGATTCACAACGCTTTGCAAGCTTCTCCATGCGGGGATCATCCCGTTGAGGGATGGTCACACTCTTGAAGCTGTAGAGCAACGTTGATCAACAGGATCAACAAAGTTAAGGTGAACATACTCGGCGAGGTCCATGATCTCAAAGCCTTTGGTGCACAAAATGGCGATCTTTGCCTTCAGGAAAATGAGATCAAACGACTCTGATGGTAAGAAGAAGTCCTGCAAAAAGATTAGTATGCGGTAGACGTTGTATATAGAATGTGCGCCAGTACCCTGTAGATACGGAACCATTCCGACTTCGCAGGGCGGAAGCCCAAGAGACCGCTCAACCCTCCTGGTGCCTTTGCTCTTTCATTGATCTTGTCTACCACCGGTTCAAGCACACGGAACACGCTGTCGAGCTGCGATGTGCTTAGTGCGTGAAGGTAAAAAGAACAGGAATAAATACATACCCCTTTCTTCTTCATGTAAATGACCAATGTACGCTCACGAAGCTGCCCAACACTGAAGAAGTGAACGTCCTTGGTCCCATTCAGCTTCTGTGGTGTCTGGGAAGCGTGTGTACTTTGAGGCGACGACGGCACCAAAGCTTCGATATGATAGGCAAAGAGAGATTTATCAGCTAGGACCAGGAATATCCCGAAGTCTTCAAGCATGGCACATTGCGTGACCTGCTTGAGATGAAGCACGCGTCGCAAAGCTAGGATCGAAATCAGCAGTGATCATAGCGTTAAGTGCTAGTGAGCTAGTGAACTCACATCGTGAATCGTGTCGGAAGCCAATCCATACCCCTTCGGCGCAACCGATGGCAACGAGTCCTCTTCCATCAGCAGTGGCTGAAAGTGCAATTGTTATGTTAGCAGACAGTGATCAAGGAATCCAACGCACTAAACGGCACAGAGCAAGAGACCTTTCCGGTGAACGAGTTCTCCGTGGTCCATGCAGGTGATGTCGTACCATTCACGAGCGATGGCACCAAGAAGGTGTCGGCACTAAGTGTTTCCACTTCGAACACCTTATTAGACTCTTGAACTACCTTGCGCAGACCAAGTGCTTCTTCCAACTTCTGCTTCCACTCTAACCTCGTCTGCTGCGATTCTGCATATAAAATGTAAGGTCCTCCAAGACGACCGTTGTGGTGCAAAGTCAGTGGATAGACCGAGCGGGAATCCGTTGCCGACTCTGGCGACGCTCCGTTGGGACCTGCTTGAGGAGCCGTGTCGTGTCGTTCACCACCACGCAGGCCACGCAGAATACCGGTACCGCGTTGCGTAGGAGGGTCATTAAAGTTGACCAGAGTCAAAAGATCAAGGGGAATAGGCTATAGAGGGCCGTAAGGAGCAATAAGGATCGAGCCACGCGCGTTACTCACACGTCGGTTGACATGATATTTGGTGATATTATCCCTCTCTTTGGTCTTCGTCATAACCACTATACAAAATAGTGAGACCAGTGGCTGATAGAAAATCGATGTACCCACAGTAGTTATCAAACAGAAGCACGAAGAGCTCGCTCCAGCCGTTCCATTCAAAGCCGGTCTCAGGTTGACGGAGAAGTTTTCCGGTATGAATCAGCGAACGGTGTTCGTCAAGGAGGTCCATATCCTTCGAGGGGTAAGAAACACACAAAGGGTAGATGAACCATACGTACTATGACTTCCCCAGCCTTGAAGACGAGATTGGAGTTGTACCTCCATAGTTCAACCTTCTGCTTGGCAGATTCTACACCAGGCTCCGTCTCTTTACCTAAGGATTTGATGATCTCTAATACTTGAGGAATCGATTCGCGGTCTTCGTGGGTGGGAGAGGATTCTTCCATGATTCCCTTCAGTAGTAATTCATACCGAAGTAATCGAGGAATGGGTCGATTAACGAAACTCTTCATATCCAATCTATGAGCATCAGGATGTTTGACGCATTGCTAACAAATATGTTAGGGTATATTGCCATCGTATCGGTCCAATAGTGATTAACATACCTCCACGAACTCCTTGAACGCAGGGTTGTTGTTCATTTCTTCGTCGATTCGATAGGCTGCTATAGGGTAATTTGGGATGTACTCCATGTAGGCGTCACGGAAGTTTAGGGCAGCGTCGAGCATAGCCTCTGTAACACTTCTGATTACTGGATGCTGCTCTCGCTGAATCTCGTGGAACTTCTCGACGAGTCGACGATGGTGCGCGTGCAACTCTGCAAAGTTGTGGAAGACATCGATGATAAATTGCTGTAATCTCTCCTTCTCGATGATCGGAGGGTCCGCAGCCCGTAGAGGACGGATGTACATCTGATAAAACTATGAGAACAACGAGGGGGACACAGGGCACATTACTTACCACCTCAATATTCTCGAGATCCTTGACGTACGCCATTTCTCCTTTGATCAACTCAAATATGATGCTACGGGAGCGATGTCACGATGAGCTCGTAAGAGACCGCGACGAACTCACGATTGTCGCTTGATCACATCCTTCGTCAAGGCTTTGCGAGCTTCAGCAGACACTAAATCGTGCCATTCCCACTTCCCAGTGACACCTCTGCCCATGGCAGACTGGAACGTGCGCAGCTGAGCGACAGATTGCAGGCCCTTCAACGCAGCCATAGCTTCTTTCAAAAAATCCGCATCAGGGTTCCCATTAGCGGTCTCGCCGTAGATGGCTTCAAGAAGATAAGGGTATTTCTGCAGATGCTCAGAAGGCCGGTTAAGCAATTGCTTGAGATCGAGACGCATGGCTTCTCCGGGACGATGGGGTACTTGTCTTGCGCATTGCTACGAGAAAATGATATAAGTTGAAGCAAGGCAATATCCATATGGTGAATACCTCAAGGAACAGCCGAAACTCTGCATTACTTTCAGTTTCATCTTTCAATCGCTTCTCTGCCAAAGGCAAGTGCCCCACGTATTCAGGGTACGCTAGCCTGAATTCAGTGGCTGCATCCAGGAGGATGTCACCTATCCTCTGTATTACGGGGTGCTGTTCGCGCTGCCTGACATACATCACATCCAATAGTCGCCTGTTGCATTCTCGGAGGTCCAGAATATTGCTGAACACATCGTCGATGAAATCTTCTAAGTCTTGGCGTGGGATTACTGGCGGATTAGAGGCGCGAAGGGGCTTGAGGAAACACTGTCGAAACGGTGAGCACAAACTAACAAGGAAACCTTACAGATGACAGTACGCACAGTGTCAACAGTGTCAAGATCTTGAAGGTACTGTACCTCCTTGCTGATAAGCTTGTGGATGATGCTGAGAGGATCGTTAATAACGTCTTTATCCCTCGAACAGGTGGGACTTACGTTTGCCGATTGACCTCGCTCGGAGGAAGCGCGTCGATCACCTCCGGAGGTACGTTCTCTGGCCAACCCGTTTCTGCGGAGCGGGGTGCGACATCCTCGTCGACGGTGATGTCTACAGTAAATTTACCCTATGAAGGCAACGTTAATCAAGATATTGAAATATTGACGCCTCATATCTCCAACTAACCCTCTTGGGACAAGACCAAGCATAGCATGGACCCTCTCCCGTACACATCGTCGTATAGCATGTGGTGAGGATAGTGATTACTCCTGTTGGAAGTTCCTGCCTGTCTGGAGGAGCGTCTGATGAACCCTCGACATCGTCCAGGAACATGTACACGTCCTCTACCCCGTCTTGTAGGACACGGCTTCCCCACTCAACCTCGTAGAAGAACAGCTGGCTCTGCAGACTGCGAGCAACTTGCAGGGCTGCCCTTCGATCACTGGTGGGGACGTTGTGATTTATAAGTAGTTCACGTTGTATGAGTGATTGGATTGTAGACTATTCGCGTAAAGATAAAGTCAGCGGTGCGGTAGAACTTCAACGTAGAGATCATACATACCACGATGTCTTTGCCAGTGAACGCTCTAGGATAGGGGATGCTTCCTTTCACGTGGGTACCCCTTGGTACCTTGTCGCGCAACTGCATCGCTAAGTTTGAGAGTAAAGAGTACGTGATGAAGCGGCTTTCGTCGCCGTCTTCGGAGTCAGACCACTCGTCTTCAGGTGCATACGCCGACTGTTGTCCGTTAGCGAGGTCCGTTAACAGGTCTGTAGGTCGACGATTTACACCTGGTCCAGTGATCGCGTCCCCGTATGTATAGTAATCTGACGGAGTCTGAGAAACGGCAGAGCCAGCGGAAAGCCCCCTATTCAACGTCGACGTGCTGGCAGGGAAGCCCTTAGGACCAAGCCCGAGATATGTCGTTGGACTCGAAGCGTATCCATTCAAATAAGACGCATCGCGTACTATTGATGGACCCGAGACGTTCCTGTCCATGGGGGGTGGGTCGTCTGGCGGGTTTGACTTAATGGGTTTCGCACGATGTAAATCACGTACAACTCACATTGACCCATGAACGAATTACCAGAGACCGTGTGGTCAGAATAAGTCCTCGTGTGTTCAGAAGTCGAAGCAGTGGGCAGGCTGGGCGGAGGAGGTACAGTTTGATAGTCTCCGTAAACATAACTGTCGTCTGCGTCGCCACCGTAAATGTCATCAATGTCTACCGATCCTCCGGGGATTCTAGGAGCGGAAGTGCCATACGGCCGAGAAGGATCGTAGGGTGAAGGGACAAGATCGTTTGTCCTACCAGTTCCATTTTGATTGTTGTACGAGATATCCAGATTGCTTCCACTTGCGGAGGAGAATCTTGGAAAGTAGGAGGAGTTGCCAGATGATGGGCGGTCTGATGAATTCCCCGCCCAGGGAGGTGCAGGCAATCTTCGTCCACTACCTGTACTACCCGTGGTCACCTTTCGTAAGAGGTCCGAGGACCCATTGGTCGAATCTGCGCTCAAGGGTGAACGCTGCGCACTTGGAGGGTCGTAGTATGGTTCTGGTTCAGGCATGCCATTCATTGGCGAAGAAGCGGACGATGATGTTCCTGGTGGCCGTGGCAAGGGTCTGTAGATTTTAGATGTCTGCCTCGGTTTCTCTACCGGGGTCGAATCTGAAACCCAATTAGACCGTGAAATCAGCTGAAACAGAGGGGTTCCACGCACGCGATGAAGACTGCGCGGGGGATGTAGGCGAAGTGTTTGGCGACGACGCGGTATAGTCGTACGAGTCCACTATGTCAGCATCCTGGTCGCTCTGGAAAGGCTTGAACCCCTCCCAGACCTCGTCGTACAGTTCCTGTAGCTCCTCGTCTCCTGGGGTGTGGGGGCGCACCGGGGGCATCGTCGCAGCCGCTATCGACATAGTGATGGTGGAGGAAGAGTCCAAATCTGGTGTTAGAGTTCGTAATGGTGAGATAAGATTGCGATTGGGTGCAGCAACGTTCGGACAACAAAATCAGGTGCGCGTCGACATGAACAGGCGACGCTGAGGTGCTGGTATGAGTGAGCTAATCAGCCAAAGAGCGCTCATCCGTTGATGCCGAGATGGTTGATAACTCACTGACTGCAGCTGATAACTCACACTTCTGCTGACTCAATTAGTTATCACTTATTTTATTTTATAAAGGAGGCGGTGAAGACAAATAGGGGAATAAATTCTGGAAAATGACGAAAGGAATAACGGCCGTATTCGTGCTACTCGTACCAAAAATGTGATACTGTATGATGGAAAGAACGTTCAAAGTTCAACGTTCAACGCGCAATATTGCAATTATCATCTCAGAATTCAAGAGCTAGCTCCCCTATCATGGGGCGCCTGCAGAAAGAGTCCGGAAAAGGCGATTTACCAGGTGAGTCAAGCAATTTAAGGGTATCGACTCCGAGTCGCAAACATGAGCGAGGCAACTGAAGCGAAATTCGCTCCAAAAACCACATCATCGGTCCATAATATCGGCGAAGACAAACCACCTTTCGGTTCCAGGCAAGTCAGATGAAGTCGGATAAGCGACCGTCGACGATTGATCTTCACCTACTTCCCAGGTTTCTTACTGATGAAGCCCAAGTCTGGTCCCACAACGCTTGGGATCATGTCCCACCCCCAGATGATCAGGCAGAAAAAATTGCCCAGTCTCTCAACAGGCAAAGGGCCGCGCCTGTACCTGCTGAGGAACGATCCAAGTACAACGATAAGCCGGCGCGTCACTGGTATGCGTTGAATCCCTGTGCATGATCGCCTGCGTGGCTGATGGCCACCGTCGCACTAGGGACAATTTCTACAAAGCAAACGCAGGAAATTTCTTCAGGAACCGAAAATGGTACATCCACTTTGACATATGAGTGGTAATTCCTGTCTAATCCTCCTGGAGAAGGCTGTCCAACGAGTTTCCCGAACTGATCGAAGCCACTAAACCTGGAGTGCGCTCTCTCTCGAGGATTTTTCTCAACATTCATAGAAATTAGGCAGGGCCCACCACCATCGTCGAAATCGGATGCGGTGCCGGAAATGCTGTATTCCCACTGTTATCCGTCAATCAAAACCCCCTCCTGAGCATCAGGGCGTACGACTACTCGTCGCACGCGGTCAAAGTTGTACAGGTCAGTAGAATATTTGTCGCTTATGTTCAATCCTAATTCCGATACGCCCGCAGAACCATCCGCTATACACCTCTCCGCCGATGGGGGACATCCATTCCGCCGTGTGGGACCTCACTTCAGCCGCTGGCTTACCCGATGGCTTGATCCCCGGCAGCGTGAATATTGTCACAATGGTGTTCGTCCTCAGCGCCCTCCACCCCGACGAGTGGAACCGAGCATTGCTGAATATTTACACGGTACCCAAACCCACTGTCAGCCTCAATTGATCTGACACTGCACTCTGAAGATGCTGAAACCAGGTGGCCTCGTGTTTTTCCGTGACTATGGCCGCCATGATCTCACGCAACTGCGGTTCAAAACTGGGCGCATGCTTGACGAGAACCTCTACATTCGCGGAGATAAGACACGCGTCTACTTCTTCGAACTAGGTAACTGGCTGATGCGATCAGTGATATTGATGTACTCAAAGATACCATCTTCAGACGAGCTCGCTTTGCTGTTCACAGGACGCCGGTCCGAGGGGGTAGCTCAGAATACCGAAACCACAGAGTACGTCGACGACGTCGATACCGTCGGTGATGGAGCAGAGGTAGCAGGTACGTGCGCAAATTTGCATGGTGTCTGATCTATAGCATCAGCTTATGTGAGCTCTTGCGCAGCTCTGCCTGCGCCTGAAGTTAGCTCCAGACCCACTCCGGCTCTCGTATCACCGACCGATACCCCCTCTCCCACCCCCGGCGAACCCGAGACGACCCAACCGCCCGCTCCATCTGTCGCAGCACCGACGATTCATCCCAATTTGCTATCCCCGTTCCCTAACCTCCCTCCACATCCATTATTTTCAGCTGAACAGCTTGGAGTAGATCGCAGATTGCTAGTTAATCGTAAACGCATGCTAAAAATGTACCGTGTCTGGATGCAGGGCAAGTTCCGCAAGCTGGACGTATTGAGCACTGTACCTGAGGGTGCATAACGCTATTTGCCATTCTAATTTAAGTAATATGTAGCAATAGAGGATGGCTTTGGGTCAGCGGGGTGTTGTTGTATTACAGATTTACAGCAGACTGTCGCAAAATATGTCAAGATATACAATTTTTAGAACAAGAAAGCAGCAATCTTTTCTGACACCGTGGTGGGGGGTACTTCGGGGCTCTCTGTCTCTTCGATAGATGGTACGCCCTTCATTAAATCATTTAGCAACCCTGCTCGTGCAACAAGTCACAGGGTGCAAGGCACGACTCACCGTCCACAAATCCATTTCATGGGCCCTCCAGAACCGCGTACGTCCAATGATCTTGTAACCCAAGAACAGAGCAAAAAATATAGGGATATTAATGTCTGTGGAGTTCATGAGCATCAGACTCGCCGCTCGCCGAGGCCCCGGAAGGATTGGGGTGGCACGTACATGCTGTGACGAAATCGTCGGCTTGGAAGTCGAAAAATACTTCAAACCCATTAATCAAAATGAATATGGTCGTCCAGAAGATGCCCCAATATGCGAGGTAGGGCTGGAGGCGATTGTGATATACGTTCGCAGTAACGTCGTACCCCTGAACCTTCATGGCACGGTCTGTGAAGCACCCAAGCATTGGAACGAGGGAGAAGCTTGAAAGAGAATAATGCTTACTAAATCGAGTATACGTGATGTTTATGGACCACCATAAAAAGAATCCAGCAACCGTAGACAGATTCACGAACCAGCTGGCAGTCATGTTAGTACTGGCCGTCCTCAACTAGTTTGGTATAACAAGTACGTACTTGAATACTGTCTCAGATCCACTGGACACGTTCATGAAAGATAGAAACGCAAATGCTGACTATAAATCCGGTTCCAGTCAGCCTTCGTAGAGGTCGGAACAACCGTTACACACCGATGCAATGACAGCTGCGACGGGTAAGCCATTCTTCGTGCAGTACGCGAGGAACCTTGGTGCTTGTCCACGTAGGGCGAGGCCATACAGCACCCGAGAGGCACAAAAGAGGTAGCTATTTCCAGCGGAGAATGCACTGGTAAACACACAAGCGTTGATGATATGAGGTAACACTGTTACTTTATAAGCAATGTTAATATGATCGAGGGACTATCACTGCAGACCTTTTATTCCGGCTCTGTTGATTGCAATAACGAATGGCGATTCTGCTGCGTTGCCAGTGTCTTCATAGGGGTTTATTAGGGGTCTCCAAAGAGGGGAAGGGCACATCATACCTTGCAACAGCGCAGGATCATCTGAAGAGACGCACATGCCGATGATAAGGATACCAAGTACCTAAAGTTCGTTAGGCATGAGTCTTCAGTCAGCATAGTAAGACTCACATAGAATAAGATGATGCGGTAGAATACACGGCGAACAGCTTTGGCAATGTTTCGTCTGGGATTCTCAGTTTCTGACGCAGCACTGTGAAGACGATGAGAAAATAGCGCAATACAGAAGATGAAAACCTCTACATGGCAACTAGCTCCATCCCCTGAAACGAGAACGCTGCTTGAACAATCACACTGAGTATGGCTAAAAACCGGTCGGTGTGGAGGTTGTCAACGAGACCGGCCCTAGCCAGAGCACCAGGATTCCGCCAGTACTGTATATTTTACGTAGAGTCAAGCCAAGCTACGCTCCGAGGGATAGCAACTTACACGAAAGCCAATACGATCCCGGTTTGGCGCACCGCCGAGATCAATAACGAGACCGCAGATAATAAGACCAGTTATCAACGTAACTGGATCGACTTTGAGTTAGCTTCACCGATTGTAAGGCAAAGAAAAACTCCCTACGCTTGATGATGGAGAACACAAACTCGGCTAAATCAAATTAACACGTATGTGAATACTATCACAAAGTTCGTTTCCAACATTCGGAGAAGACTTACATTCGCCGAAATACTTGACACCGAAGATATTGATAGCACAAACCGCAACACATATGACAGCAGTATATATGGGCAGATGATTCGCCTGTTGACGTTTGTAGGTGCGAAGCAGAAATTTAAGTATTAGTGGTGACGTACATTATCATCCCAAAAGGTTAGCAGGATGGTGGCTGCCGTGATTTCTACCGGTGTCGATATGCTATTGGAGTTTTACTGATGAGCTAAAGGCGTAAATCAATGGTTTCAACGAAACTCCTCACGCGCTAGACCAGAAGTAAACCTAGGACATTGTCAGTTCTCTAAGTTCACTGATAGATAGGTATACAGACCCAGCCGACTGCAAATCCGAAGGCAGGGTCCACCCAGCGGGATGCTATATTTCATGCGTTGAGGATGGGACTGAAACAGCTGCACAGTTGCTAGTTAGGTAACTTACCAAAGTGTGGAAACGTCCCCGATATGGGCGCATGTGTTGACAGCTCCCCAATAGCGCACAATGACCTGGGAAGCGATTAGTGGGTTATCTCAGAATGAGGCTGGTGACTCACGAATAGGCCACTGTTCCGACCAGAGCGTATGCGATAAGTGCCCCGAGTGGACCAGCGCCACGTAAAGCAGCGCCGGACCCAAGAAACAAGCCAGTACCAATGGTGCCTGCTATCTGGGGGCTCTCTCACTCAGCCTCGCCAAAGGCAGGTTCAGCTAGCACCTACCGCAATCCTAGAGAGCAATCAATGATCGAATGGCCAAACCCGAGGTCGGACGTACATTTGCACATGGCGCTGCTTCAGCTTACGCTGTACCTTGTCGTCCGCGGATGCATTTAAGTGGTACTTGTCAATGTTCCGAGCGTCCAGGGGAGATTTATGCTGCGAAACTTCTGGCGAACCGTTATCGAGGCTGCTGCTACTTCGGTTCGCAAGACCCTTTTCGGCCATAGCAGGATCATTTTTGCTGTCCATGAGCCTAATCCCTGTACTTTTGAAGTACGAGCAGGATTAGTGGGAGGATAGTCGCACGAGGGCAAGAAGAAAGAGCAGCTTAGTGGATCCGTCGTTTATTTATAATACGGTATGCCGGCTACGTCGTATCTGATCCAAGGAAGCTTGTTCAAACCATGTGCACGGAGCATTCGAAGCGGGCGGTCGACTCCGTTCCCCAGGTGGTAATTAGTGGTTCGAGGAAGGGCTATTATCAATACCCGGCTTGCCCGTTTGGGACAAAACTTAGCCTTCTTAGGCGATCCCCAGTGTCCTGACAGGGAACCAAATTAGGTGGTGTCCTCTTAGAAGTAGGAAGAATGAGACTGGAGGCACTACCAGTATTAGTTGGCCTTTATCGGGAACGCCGGCAGATGTCGGACATAGTGGGTCGGCCAGGCGGGGTGTTGTGGGATCGCTAAATACCCGGTAGTCTCTGGTGCTTTCCTTTGACGAAGCGGAGTAACGACGTGAAAGCATCAATTAATCCAACATTGGATCCGCGTAACATACAAATATCGGGACAAGCTCGTCAGAATAAGAACGCGGCAATTTTCTCCCAAATGGTCCTTGGAGGGATTTCTGGGCTCTCTGTTTCCTCGATGGAGGGTATGCCCTGGTAGAGATGCCAAAACTCAGCGTTGGAGGATCCTTAGTGAAAACGTAGACGTACAGTGACGAAGTCCATCTCGTGAGCTTTCCAGAAACTGGTGCGTTTGACGATCTTGTAACCGAAGAACAACGCAAAGAAGATTGGAATGTTGAGGTCTATCCCGTGCAGTATTAGTTAATACGTTCTAAAATGCTGTAGGTCCATCAGAGCTTACAGGAGACTAGGAAGTCGTCGGCCTGAAAATCGAAGAATACGGCGAATCCGTTGATAAGGATGAAGAGAACGGTCCAGAATATTCCCCAATATGAAAGATATGGCTGAAGACGGTTGTTGTAGATGTTCTTCCTCAGGTCGAATCCTTGCGCTTTCATACCAGCATCTGTGGGAAGGGTCAGGAACAAACTGACTGATGCAAAGGAAATCACTGACGGAATCGAGCATAAGTGATGTTGATAGCGCACCACGAGAAAAATCCTGCCACAGTAGTCAAGTTGACAAACCAGCTGATGAATGTTGGTCAGCTTTCTTAAATAACATAGTGCACAGACAACATACTTGAACACTGTTTCGGCACCACTTGACACATTCATAAAAGAAAGGAAAGCGAAGGAAGACTAGAAAGAGAAGATTTATGAGATCTAGCCATACTAGACGAAAATAGAACTTACGGATACGAGGACGGCTGCAAGGGGCAGGCCACTCTTCGTGCAGTAGGTTAAGAATCTTGGCGCTTGACCACGGAGCGCAAGACCGTAGAGGATACGCGATGCACAGAAGAGGAAACTGTTTCCGGCGGAGAAGGCACTAGTGAACACGCCGGCATTGATGATGTGAGGGAGCACTACAAGAACCATACAAGTAAGGATTAGGAGATCAGGATCATCTGGCAATTGCCAATATATTGACCTTTGATACCGGCGCGATTGATGGCGATAACAAAAGGCGATTCCGCAGCGTTACCAGTATCTGAGGGAAGGCGGTTTGATCTCGTCGTAATGGGGGAGAGGGAGTTGCATACCTTCGAGGAGTGCCTCATCGTTCGAGGACACGCACATGCCAATGATGAGAAGACCCAGCATCTAGGAACGTCAATATTTATGATCAAATGGGCATGGGCAAGTAGGTCATACATAGAAAATGACGATACGATAGAAGACCCTGCGTACGGCCTTCGCAATATTTCGGCGAGGGTTCTCCGTCTCTGATGCGGCACTAAGGCGTACTGAGTGTGAGCAGCTGCTAGAAAGGGAACTCGCGATAACACGTACATAGCGACAAGCTCCATACCCTGAAAGGAGAAGGCGGCTTGAACAATCACAGAGATGACGGCAAGGAATTTGTCAGTGTTGATATTCGGGACGAGTCCGGCGCGTGCAATTGCTCCAGGGTTCTTCCAGTACTACGGAAAGAAACTCAGGATTGGTCCCAGTACGAATGCGCCTCGTACTCACACGGAAGCCAATACGCTCGTGATTTGGGCCACCTCCAAGATCAATGACAAGACCGCATAGAATTAGGCCAGTAATCATCGAAACTGTTATTTATGATGTTATGACATGCCGACGAATGGGCGCGGGACGTACGCTTGATGAGCGAGAAAAAGAATTCAGCTAACAGGAAAGCTGGCTTGAGCATCGATTGGATAGGAGGATAATAGACCTACATTCTCCAAACCATCTTACACCGAAAATATTGACGGCGCAAACGGCAACACAAATGACCGCAGTGTAAATTGCCATGTGGTTATGCTGCCCGCAGTGTTTTATAACCGCTATGTTAGATGACGCCCAACAAAGGGTAGAATTACGGTACTGACGTTGTCATCCCAAAACGTCAGCAAGATGGTCGCCGCTGTGACTTCGACCGGGACGGATATACTAGGGGAGGGCATTAGAGTCACAATCTATGGCCAGACACATTTGGAGAACCTACGCGTTAGTATAGAAATAGTTCTGAAGGAAGAGTATGTGTCACTAATCACTTTATAAATGTCCTAAGACGTACCCATCCAACGGCGAATCCAAGGGCGGGATCTACCCAGCGACTAGCTACGCATAGGGTTAAGGGAGCGAAGAAGGGATAGAAGTTGCAGAATCCTACCAAAGTGTGGGAATGTACCAGAAACCGGAGCGTGCGTTGTCATCTCCCCAACTGAGCACAGGGACCTTGGCGATGGGCGAACAATCAACCCCGATCCTCCAAGCCCCCAAGCAAATGTTACTTACGAGTATGCAACCGTCCCAACCAAGGCATATGCGATCAGGGCGCCAAGGGGCCCTGCGCCGCGGAGTGCACCTCCAGAACCAAGGAAAAGACCTGTGCCAATGGTACCCGCGATCTATAGAGGTTATGAAGACAAGTCAGACAAGTGCATCGAGTATGATGCGGGCACGCGACCTACAGCAATCCTGTTAAACGGAATTTAGTGGTTAACTAGGAAGGATATGATACGACGAACATTTGTACATGGCGCTGTTTAAGCTTTCGCTGCACTCGATCAAGGTCGGACGCCTCGAAATGGTATTTGTCTGAACCTCGCGCTGGGCGGTCGTCATACTGTATACTCTGGGAATCGTCGAGGCCCTTTTCAGCCAACGCTGGATCCTTGTAGTCCGCCATCTCTGTCTTGTTAGCGATAATAGGCGCTCTTGACAATAGGCACTAGCGGTCAGAGCGGTCAGAGCGCACTAGACGAAGTGCACCGAGAGGGGAAGAGGAAGGTGAATCCTTGAGAAGTTGGACGCCTCTTACCTCTACATATTGTACACGTCCATAGATCCAGATGTAAATTTAGAACATTTCTGGGCAGCAGCGTGCCTGATTTAATCTGGGGAGTCCATATGGTCACCATTGTTGGATTTGGATAAGCGAAAGGGAAGCGCCACAAGTGAGAGGAGTCGCATGGATTATATCGGGAGTACCTGTAAACAAATGACAGCTGGCGCGGGTGTAAAGTGACCTTGCCCAGTGATAGGGAACAAAGAGGAGATTTGGCATCTGGACTCGGATTCAGCCGATATTGGCGTCAATGAGAATGTATACTTGTGCATCGCCCTTCCATGGTTCGTTAATCGATGAGTAGCATGCTACAGCAAACTACAGCCTGGGCTGGAAGTGAGTGGATAACTGCAGAGATATCCCCATGGGGAGAGATACGAGGATTGACCGCTGTGATGCGCCAGGAGCTACCGGGGAAGTAGATTCGCATGGCCAAGCGTTATCTGAGGCATACAATGTGAGAGCACGAGTAGACTTGTGGAAAGGGACGTTACGGTGGGGTTAGAATTGAGAGTGAATATCTTGCTGTTGGGTCGAGGTATGTATTGTGTCGTTTTAGAAACGTTTAGCAGTACCATCGGCCCATATATATGTCGGCGAATCGGAGGTTAGCACTCCGAGCAATTGATGCGTCTGATGTCAAACATATTTTGAATGCGACCTACTCTCGCTGCGTATTTAGATCGTGTCAGAGTCGCGTGATCGCGGACTACAGCCCAATAACCCAGAAATGTTCGGGAAACTCGTGAACTCCCAACATCGCCGGACGTGTCCGACTAGATTCTGTTGATATCTCTGCCACAATCGGAAGTCCCGAGGGGTCGCGGCCGGGACGCCGAAGAAGTCCAGCCTGTGGAATGAGCCAAACTTATAAAGTAGTTTATGGGTACGTTACAGCATACACCAAAAAACACCCTATCGGACGACAGACAGTGACGGATCAACATATACACTCAAGCCTCGCTTTCGGCTAATTTGATAGCACCTCTGTTGCCTATGACGGTAAAGGGTGCATCAGATGGTCCAGCCTTCGCTGCCTCGGCGGTGGCAGGCAGAGCAGAAGACCCCAAACTTCCAGCGATTCTCATGCTCTTAGCAAGTGTCGAAATCTGAACAAATAAAATCAGTATCACTGGAGACTAGCATAAAGACGCCGTACTTCGATTTCCAGACTTGAAGTAAAGTGCGATAAGAAGCCAATGAAGTACCTAAAGCATAACATACGTGAGTTATAGTTACGACAGAAGAAGATGGCGGCGATAGCGCGAGACGAACCCCCCTATAGTTTCGGCTATTCTGGTATCTTCTCTGGCTGCGCCCTTGAGAAATCCTGGTCGAAAGACGATCGTGTCGCTATAACCTAGGGAGGCTAAACCCTCCTCAGTGAGACCTTTACTCCTACAGGAGGATGAGCAGTTTATTTGAAACAGCACCGCGGGAGCTACCTTGTATACAGAGAAGAGGACTTTGGATTTGCCATCGTTGCCTAGAACGACTTTAGGTGCGTTATGTGGGCGTATGGAGAGGATCATGACGTACGGAGCAGTAGACCACCCTTTGCGCATGTACTGGGTCGTCAGACCTGGCAGCCTTTGCAGCTTTCAAGACATATCTGGGTCGATTTCTCAGCCAGTGGTTGCACAACAAGCTGTTGACACCCACTCTCGGTCTATCTTCTCGAACGCGCTTGCGCTTCCCGCCAAAGCGCGGGTAGTTCCCAAACTTCTCGTCGTGTCAACGAATTGTACTTCTCCTTCACAAGGAAAGAAGGACGTACGTGATGAAGACGACGTCCCACTTGCCATCCTTCCACTCTGATTCTTTCAAGCTCTCGAAATCAATGACCTTCTGTTCCAGCTTGTCCTTTCCTACAGAAATATTATCTGCAGAGGTGACTCTACGGCCATATTCGCCAATTCGGGAGAAATCGTTCGACGACAGCAGTTGCTGGAGTAGTTGTCGTCCGGTCTGACCGGTGGCACCAACTAACAAAGCACTCTTGCCAACTAGTATCGGACGTCAGCACGGATTCAAGGACGCTTGAGGTAAATAACATGCCGCTCATGATTTTATGGTGGGTGATGGTGGTGGTGGTGGAGGAAAGAGATGCGAACTTTCCGACGCGTTCATGAGACAAATTGGCTAGCGCAACCGGCCACAGACGGTGGTGTCTATAATTTCATTTGGGGGCTGATAAATGCAGCCGAACCGACACTTAGATTCAGCCGAATTACAGATACCAGAGAGCTACATGTACATACAACGGGCAGAAACTATTTAATGAGGCTTCCTTCATTTACATTCCTAGTACATTAGCAAATTTTGGTCGGTTCGGCACTCTTGATTCATATAGGTTCCAATTATGTCACCCTCGACCTCTTCCACGACCTCTTCCTCTCCCTGGAACGCCTCGAACGAGGCCCCTCGATTCTCCTAGGTTATTACCGCCACGACCACGATGATTGGGATGCGCTGTGCCAAGTACACCAGGGGCTGAAGGGACGATAGGGGAGTTCTGATCAACCTTCATACCAACTCCTCCATTAACTTGCCCTGGTGCAGACCCTCTTCCTCGACCGCGGACACGCATAGCTCCACGGGCTCTCGGGTTGGCGCGCCCTTTCCCACCGTCTGACCCAGAACGACGATCTTGATGTCTGCGCTCGTCTTGTCCATTCTGCTGGGGGCCATGAGCATCGCGGGGTGTATTTGAGCCGTTCAGATGACTGTCCACGGGGTGGACTGTGTGTGCAGTGGAATTATAAGCAAACCCGGTTGTCTTACCGCCTCGACCGAATCGAACCGAAGCTGGGACAAGGGACAACGAAGAAAGGCTATCTGCAATCTTGTCCATGTCAGTGTCGTCGAGTGTTCTCGTGGCCCTCGCGCTGGCTTTGGGAGTTGTGTCGGCGTGGTCATATCCATCCTTCCCATCTACTTCCATTACTTCGCTCCCTTCGGAATCGTCAGACTCGCTGTCGTCGCTATCATCCGCAGATTCGGAGCCTCCTTGAACTCCTTGATCAGTCTTCTTCTCCCTCGGTTTCCATTGACCTCGAATCATGCTGGCGCCGTCCCCCCATTTCCTCAGAAGCCCGCCAATCCCTTTATTAGTTACAGCAAAGAAGTACTCTTTTGGGAAGCCATGGGCTTGGATGAGATGTAAGCGTCGCGTCTTTGGAGTCGAGAATAATCGAGGACACGAGGCAAGGTGGCAAGCGAACTATTCGGGTGGAAATCAGCTTCATTGCGATCAAACGATGAATGCGGTGCACGACGCACAATCTTCTCCCCTCGATCCTTTCGTATAGCAGCGAGTGGATCGTGACATTCCGTTTGATGCTACGATGACAAAACAGATCAAGTCAGCATCTGATCTCAGCCACTTGATTCGTGCCCCCCGGCAGTGCGACGCGCTGCAGCACATAATGCACAAACACGTACCAAAGCTAGCAGTCGGTCATCTGGGAAGACACAACCACACCCTACTTCTGCACATACTTGCGCATGACACCTAGCGTAATGCGCCTCTAAATCCTTCGAGTGAGCGATCGGCGTCGGGCGTCGTTGGCACGTGGGAGGAAGGGTACACAAGAATGGGTGGCTCGAATGAGGGTCGGTGGCTTCGCCATTGGGCGAATGGATCGTTCTAGACGACTTGGGAGGAGGTGAGGTTGTCGTCGTCGAAGATGTAGACGATGAATGCGACGAGGAAAGCGTCCGTGGCCGCTTTGCCGACATCGACATCGTAGAATGGATTCAGGCGTACTCTTTGTGACTTGTTCTTTCACATAAGTACGGTGTGACTGCATCTGTGACGAGTAACGGTATCCATTTGAGTCGGTCACGTGTGACATTGTCAATCCCCTCATTCGAACAGCTCGAGTTCCCTTCCTTAAGAACATGTCGTCCAAACGCAAATGGGACCAGCCAGCCCCAGAAGAGGGTAGCACGAGCGCAAAACCAGACGACACCAAGTCTGCATCCGATGCCGCAGCAGCAGCAGCAGCGATTGCTGCCAAAATTGCAGCACAATTTGCTGGTGGTGGTCTGGGTGGATTGGGCGGAATGAAAGATCCTCACGACGGAGACTTTACGAAGGATATCGACATTAATGATGTCCGGAATAGGTGTGTAGTACTTCGAGCCATAATGAACACACGGACGAGTCATCTCATAACCTCAGGTATATGTTGACAAAAGGATCAACTCAGGCTCAGGTGCGTAGTATCTGACCTCCTCGGACACAATCATGACATCCTTTTTAGATTAACGAAGACACCGGTGCGTCAGTGAGCACGAAGGGAATATGGTACCCGGATCGTAGCAAAGCCACGGACAAAGACCCTCCTTTATACCTGCACATCTCTGCCTCTTCACAAGAAATGTTGGATAACGCAGTAGAAAAGATAAACGAACTTATCGCTGTTGATCTTGGCCCCCTCGTCGAGGATAAGAAAGACCGACTAAGAGAAAAGGTACGTTGAACTCTCCTAAGGACAGTTGACCATACTACGTTTAGCATGGTTTGTAACTGACCACTGACTGTGTTGTCCAATAGCGAAAATGGCCGGAGGAGAAGCTACCCGTGGGCTTGGAATCAATACGGAATTTCAATGTTCGAGCGAAGGTCGTTGGTCCATCCGTATGTATTCCTTCCTGCGTTCCTAGATCTCGCCCTAATGTATACTCTCCAGGGGATGTTTGTGAAGTACATTCAGCAGGAAACTAGCACTCGAGTCCAAATCAAGGGCCTAGGCTCTGGATTTGTCGACCAAGAGGTAATCACACTGCCTTTAATACTCAAAGGTCGAGCGCTCATGAATCATTCCAGACTGGAAAAGAGGCTGAAGAGCCGATGCACATACATATAACGTATGCCTTTCTCATCTTGCGTTGTTAATGTATGTTGAATATTTCCCAGCGGGCCAGATGAAGCGCAGGTCGCCCGTGCTAAAGTCCTGACAGAGGACCTGTTAGAGGTCGTAAGATCGGAGCACGCAAAAATGGCCACAATGGTCAGCCAGCAACAAATGGAGTTGCATCACGCACAAGCTCAATATGCTGTCTACAACACCATGTCGGTGCGTAGGCTCCTCACTGAATCTTGTGCCAACGGTATGTTGATCTTTTCGATGCAGGGATACGCACCTCCGCCGCCATCAAACGCACCCCCACCCCCTCCTCCTGGAGAACAACCCCCGCCACCTCCTGACGGGAGTGCTCAAGCAGGAGCAGAGGGATATGCTGGTGCTCCTCCTCCGCCTGGAAGTGACGCGGCCAGCCATGATGCTTACGCCCAATACTGGTACGTTTTTGTGTTGTCTTGGTTAAGCTACAGTTTAGCGATGCCAACCCGTAACTCAGGGCTGCTTATGGCTACGATGTCAACTCCCCTCAGTTTAAGGAATGGGCCGCTCAGCAGCAACAGCAGTACAGTCAATATTACGCCCAGCAGGGGTATAGTGTCGACCCATCCCAAGCTGGCGCTGCACCAGCTCCTACAGGAGCTGCTCCTCCTCCACCCCCAGCGTGATATGCCTGTAGTTACTATACTTCGCTGTATCTATGTATCCGCTGTGCTATACATATTTCTGCTTCGCCATGTTACCTTAGGGCTTGAATTGAATTACGACTGCCTGGGCGCTTGTCCTGCTTTGTTCCCCTCGGTGACGCGTCGAGGCGACAATCTTCTTTATAACTGGACTCTTGAGAACAACCTCCAGTCAATATGCCTTCCGATAAAGATACTTTGCTGAGCATGGGGTTTGATGCTGCCCGAGTAGAGTGTTGGCATCGTCTTCTCCCTCATCATACCCATTTCACTGATCTCGTTTATCAACATGTTCATGTCCGACCTGGGCCACTGACTGGACTTCCGTAACGCAGGGGCACTCAAAGCAACTGGAAACCGTGGTCTGCAACCAGCGATGGATCATATACTTGAACACGAAGGACAATCAGTACCTGATCTATCTTCAGTATCAGCATCCAGGTCGTCTTCCGCTCAAGCGCACGCAGATGACGACGAAGACGACGAAGACGCCGAGGCATTGAAGAGTCTGGGTGTTGCTGGGAATGCTGTCGAAGCAAAGGCACGCGCGCTCTGTCGCCGAGTACACAAGCAGTTCGTTTGATAATTCTCACTTAGAGCATCAAATGTTCCCTCTGTGGCAAAATATTCAAGAACACCGCACTAGCTAATTTCCATGCGGAGAAGAGTGGGCATGATCAATTCGAAGAGTCTACAGAGGAGGTAGACTCCCCCTTCTTTCTGGGATCCACAAAGAATCCTCACCATTACATAGGTCAAACCATTGACGGAGGAAGAAAGGGTCCAGAAATTAGCTGAACTACGCGAGAAACTTGCTCAGAAGCGTGCTCTGAAAGCCGTAGAGGAGGCGAAAGAGGCGAAAGCTAACGAAGCGTTGCGACGTAAATCAGGAAAGGTACACAGGCCCCTTCTTTGGTGATCCTACGTTTATGTATCCACGCCTCGCAGGAAATGGATCAAATCAAGGAGAATCTCAAAGTCAAGCAGGCGCTGAAAGAGGCTGAAGAGAGGAAGCGAGGTAAGCTTGCTTCTTTCGCTTCTCTGTTACATGTATCAATTGTTCGCCCGTAGATAAAATTGAAGATGCCAAAGCTAGAGCTGCGGTGAAAGCACAGATCGAGGCTGACAGGAAAGCGCGTGCTGAGAAGGCCGCTAGGGAGAAGGCACTCCGCGAGGGCAGGGAGATAGTCGATGCACCAACTGGTCCCGCTCAGGCGGCAGCTAGCTCCTCCAGCGGCGTATCTAGTAAGGACTTCAAAGAAACTAGACTTCAGATACGAATGGCCAGCGGTGGGCAGCCGTATACGACCACCCTGTCGAGCGATGCCCGTACGTACATGGTGCGATCGTACGATTGTCTAACTAAGCTTCTACTAGCTTTACGAGAAGTTGCTGAGTTTTTGGCTGGGCAAACCCTTTCTGTAGACGTGGACTCCGTCTCCTTTGCCCAGCACTTCCCGAGGCAAGCGTTCTCCCGCCATCGAGGATCTCGACCTTGAATCATTTACACATTTCCATCCCATATAGAAAACAATTCACTCGAGCCGATTTTTCTAAGTCACTTCGAGACTTGGGTCTTACTCCTTCCGCTGTAAGTTATCTTACCGTTTTCATCATACAAAATGGTGTTGACAATGATTTTCTAGGTCTTGATCGCTTCCACACCATGAGTAAACATTTGCATAATATCCGTCAGTGTTGTACAATCACTAGCAACGAGCATTAAGCAAGCTCTGCCATCATCGCTTGCAATACACCTAGGTTCTTGTATGTTTCTATCGGACATTTCACCGCTAAGCAATAAGCCCTCTGTTGGGGTTGGGCTATTGATTGCGAGTGTGCCGAGAGGTGAGCATCAGTTTATTTACTGTATTCTTTCTAGAGCCAAGTCACTATTCCTTGTGGCCGGTGATAGTCACATTTCTATCGCGATCTCAACGGTGGTTGCCGACTCCCTTCTTGCGAAGCATCTCCCGCCAGCTTAACGGACTAAAGTCTCAGAAGCATACATAATCCCGTCATCGACGATGCCGACCAGGCTGTCACGTAACGACCCTTTTTGCCTTGGAAGAGTCTGCCCAAGCCGTCTTAGTCGTGTGGTTCTCGTGTTCTCGGGCTTCTACTAGCCTCCTGATATCGCTAAATAATCCCCCGCAAAATTCGTTCCAGGGTTCAGACGCAGTCAGTATTTCCTGTAACTTCCCAAGATAGCGGTAGCCACGTCTACATTCTTGTCGTTTACTCGCAATCCTTATCAAGTACTTTAGCACATCACCAAATGGATGATGAATGGTTATCCCACGAATGCGCCGCTCCATGATAACTTCTATGCGTAGTCGTAGATAGTGATCTTCCCGTTCGAGTGCCCCGTTACTAGTCTCCCTTCCGCTTCGTCGATGGCCAGTCTAACCCAAGTATCTTGTTCATTGAGATCAAACATGGTAGACGCTACCGTGGTTTGTTGTATTTCTGAGGCCCCGATGTCGCTGTCATCTGGGAAATGTTTAAGACAGTAGCCAGCCAGTCTTTGACCACAGTCTGGCGCATAATAGTCTTCCGTATGAGTGTCGATCCAAACCGCCGAGCCGTATTGTCCAAGGACCATATGTGTTATGGAAAACAAGCGGATGGGGGATGCGATGGTCTGTATTATGGCCGGAGGCATAATATATGGAAGGTTGGTTTGGCTGACAACCAGGGAGTTATTGTACGCGGGGTTTGGCGCAAGTTGGATGTGGTGTAGAATGTTTACTGGCCACGGAAACCAGCTTCCGAAGCGAGCGAGTATATAGATGGGGGGCAGACTATTATGTCGTGCCGCGGAATGAGAAACCTGAGGAACGAGACAACCGCTGTCTAGTCGCCATTGCCACTTATGGCATGCTACAGCTTCAAGTGTACGCTGTGGCTCACCCAGCTCTGGGTCTGCGTTTCGGAAAATGAACAGGTCGTATATTTCGAAGGTTTTCCCTCGCAATGCCATTAGGAAATCTGCATGGACGAAGACACTGTGGCATTCGTCAGGCTGGGGCGCATGATCAGGGTCCGCAAGGATAATGTATAGGAATAAATGTGGTACCTGAGGATTTGCGGGATTGAATAACGAGGCCTCTGTGGCAGGGTCATCAACGTTCATGATACCCAGGGACCCGTTGTTGTTGGCTGTGAAAACGACCGTACTACCTGCAAAGGCGAGCAAGCGGCGACGGTGATCGGGGAAGGTTTTTTCTAGCTCCAAAATACCCTCAGCGTCCATGGAGTATATTTCAAGACTGAGTCGGATGAAAATCGGTAGAGCCGCAAAGAAAACTGCACAACTCACTGCGGACGTTGTACTGCCAGAACGAAAGGCTGTTCAGCCTGTGCATTAATAGCCAACCCACTAAACGCATGGGAGGTCAAACAGGACGTTTGAATGGGAGGGTTGGCTAAAAGGTCCCAATTGCGAACAGTGAATACCACCACCTGTCCGCCGATGTGGAGAGCGTGGACGGAAATAAGCCAACGGGCTCCGTGACCTGGGAGGAGGTGTAGGCCGATAACGCGTGGTAAATGATTCCCATCTGTGGTGGGCTGAGACATAATTGTCGTCTTTCGGGCTGCCAGAGGGAACGCCGACGTCCATTTATTTCGCAGCCGTAAACTCCGTATCGTCATGCCCTCCAGATCGTGGGCAGCCATCGACTCAATCGGGCGTTCATTGCTAATTTGTGGTGTAGGAATATCTTGTTCGAGGACATATGTCTGGTAGAGAAGAGACCACACGCTTCGAGATTGGGTCATTGCCTGAAAGTCCTTACATGTCTGTGCCACAAGTTGGACGGTCAGGTGTTTCTGAAATGACACGATATTTTCTCTTACCTGCCGAAGGGCGAGTATGTCTTCAATGCTGAGGTAGAGGAAGATATGCAGGAATATCTCCAAAGGAAGAGTGACGGTGTTCATAGTTGACAGCAAGCGACCTAGGCCAAGGGAGGTGATCGACAGCTGAGTAACGGTGCCTACTAGTCGAGTCAATGCTTCGGCTACGGTGAGGGGTCGGGAGTCTATTTCTTGCGTAGATACCTAGACACCTTTTCAAGGCCCCTCCCAACAGGTTCCGGTCACGACCAGGCGGAGATGAAGCCGAATAATAGCGGTAAATTATTAGAACCCAAGCAATATTCAACGAGAAAGAAATCAAGAAGGTTGTAGAACGAGATCGCCACGACTGCGTCACTGTGGATTCATTAGTAACACGATAGATAATCGTTATCGAAACGCTGACCACGCTGTGGTAATGGCTCGTCCGTGTGCCTCGCACCAGATACTATACAAGAAGGTCACAAAAGAGTCGTGAGTCCAGACGCAATCCTGTACATTGGTGCGTCTTGGTGTGAACGCCAGCTGTTACGGTATGCCTGTAGCACGCGGAGACGAGGAGAAGATGCCGGCCTATAAGACGATTTTATCGGATATTCCTATGCTCGGACCGTTATGTTTCGATGCAATCGCACTTATTGCACCCGCCTAAGAAGTCGTTACGGCGTTAAGAGAGAACGTGTTGCAAAAGCCAATAGAAACGAGAGTATAAAAGCGATCCTCCAAAGAGGAAGCCAATTTAGTGTTTGACACGTGTGAAATTAGGTACACGGCATTGCAGGGCAACGTACAACGATTAACAGCTGCAATTGTTGTTGTATTGCTTGAAGTTTGGGAAAGGAGATCAAGGCGGAAATGCAAAATACGGAGGGGTGGTCAAACCAGACACACTCATGCTTTAAGGAAGACTTACGACCTCCTCGGCGGAGGGCGTTCTTTCCCGCTGCGCTCGTGAGTCCCTCGCAAGTAGTATAGAAATGAGCCAAACTCACAACAAAGCAATGCTCTCTGGGCTTGGATACAGAGCGTGATCTCAAGCGAGAATCTCTTCGTGAGCGCCGTGCTTGTGCAAGCAAAAATACTGTAAGTCAACTCTTTTGCTGCCCCGGAGAGACTTGAACTCTCGATCTTCCGATGTCACAAGAGAAATAACAGTCGGACGCCGTAACCAACTAAGCCACGGGGCATACATCCACGTGCACTATCCTTGCCTTTACAATGTTGTCTAGATGCGAGGTGGCTAACTGCCTCTGCAAAACACCAATATCGTCGAGGCAGCTAAACCCCCACAGAAAACCAAGACCCCAGTGAATACAATTAATCCGTTGAAATGTGCCTGATCTACTACGGGAAGGAATACGCCAGCAGTCGGGGTACCAGCAATATTGGCGACGGCAATGACTAGAAAGACCATCCCTGCGAACAATCAGCAATAATCATTCAACATTGTTCGCATGAGGACGCACCAAGCCGGGCTCCATAGTTTTCTCTGGGGACGATAGTAGCGATATACGCTGGGAGAAGCGATACAAAAGCGCCTAGGATCCACAGTATCAGCAGCCGTTAGAAGTAGAACAATAACACGAGTCACCGGAAAATAGGCCGTAAAGTGCGCTAAAAAGGGTGATGGGCACTGCACCGCGGGATGGCAGCCACATTCCTAGGACCAAGATCCCGGATATGTAGGTGGCGGGGATAAGAACGTTTAGGCTAAAGGTGATGATGAGTAACGGAGGGGGGCTTCATACGGATGGAACGCACGGGCCCACGCGATCGGCCAACAAACCAGGAATTATTCGTGCGGGCATACCACAGGCATTCAGGATCGCTAGCAGGTTTCTTGATAGCGTGCGATCAACCCCGTGGTAGTTTGCGTAGGTCTCAATGTAGAAATACGGAATGAATAGCGCATAGAATAATCTATAAGCCAATGACATCAGCCACTTCATTCTGGGAGCGGATATGCAATACCCACAAAAATGCCGCTGCGCAGATGAGGGTATATTTAGGATCCTTGAAACCTCTCAAGTCAACTGCAGATGATAACGACATATTGCCAAGTAGCGGCAGCCTTGTACGCATCGTCAAACATGATACCGAAAGACATGTCAGTGTCACAAAGCCAGCGATACGCATTGCCCAGGGAAATCCTGTCTTGCGTATAAGATTCTGGAATATCAGTGGGTAGACTACCCCGCCCAAAGAAGACCCGGATGAAATGATGCCAATCAGAAGGGATCTCCTCCTGCGGAACCAGTGGGACACTATAGCTAGCGATGGCGTAAATCTATTCCAAAATTAAATACAGCAGTTCAAGCGGAAATGAAGTCGACTCACACCAACGCGTTTCCGACGCCAAAAAGTAAGCTTTGTGTTAGAAAGTACTGATACGGCTGCTCAGGTTGGCAGAGAGATGTCATCATCATGGAGAAGACGGTGAGAAAGGACCCTAGTGGTAAGATGATCTAGAGACGTGATCAATGTATACCATTTGACGAAGAATTGCGACATACCTCAATTCCGTAGGCGTCAAATATGCGACCAACGAAGGGGCTAAGTCCATACAGAAGAAACAACTGCAAGGCTCCGATGAGCGAGATTGTCGAAGACGATGATTTCGTGAGCAATGTCGTTTGGTAGTACTCTTGGAAGACGCCCTGAGAAGAAGGTTGATGAGTGACTGGGTCTAATTCCTTGCCGTTGACTCACGAAGGAGTTTACCACGCCGAAAGTGGAGAAGAGAGCTAGAAACGATCCTAGTGCAACCGACCACGCTTGGTAGCCTCCTTCAGGAAATGTCTCCAGAGATTTAATCGAAGCAGTAGAGGGAGTTTTTGCAAAGATTGTCGCGCTGGCAGTAGGATCGGCGGATGCATACTCGCCTAGCTCTTGAGGGGAAGTGTCACGTCCACTACTCATAGCTCGGCGTTCGAAGGGGACTCAGAGAAAAAGAGATGATCATGAGTAAGGCAACGACTAGCCGATTTTATGGCGAAATCGTGGTGAATCCTTTTAGACCGCGTAGAACGTCGACCATCTATTTCCATCAAAGACGGATGACTAAAGATCACTCCGGAATTGGAACGGGAACAGAAACCGGGGCTTCTCAATTAACGCGGAAAACGCGTTGGTCGTGGCTCCAGTTCCTATGCTATCGCAGTGATAGTAGTCATACGCGACGTAGAGCCGGACGTATTCCTCAATCATCACAGGGTATCGCGTTGCTTTTCGCCAGCCTTGGTAGTGTAGTGTTCTCCAAGTCGTTAGTGAGTCTTTCTCCTTTAATATGTGGACAGAGCGCCGAATACCGAGCAAAGCTGAGATGGGGTACCTAGTCTGGAACGTTGGGAGGTAGGCTCAAAATAAATCGACAAGGTCAAGAGAAGGTACGATGAGGAGGCCCGAGGTCCGATCTTTGTCGCCTCATATCACGTGCGCGTTCAACTCCCGCGATTCAGACTCCGCTCGATTGTCATCAAGTTCAAATGTTCAAGGTCGCAAAGTTGTATTTCTTCTAAGAGTATGGACTGTTTATCGGTTCTTATCATTGACTTCGCTTGAGGACAGAACTGGAACTGAAACCGTGTTTGGCTGTTCTGCGTTATAGGTCTACTCTATTTACGTGCGCTTCACTCGGTCCGTCGCTCCTCAAATCTCCATGCATTGATGATATGAGACAGTCAGCGTTGTGGTCGCGAGCGTACTACCCCATGCAGTTGATTCTTACGCGGAGTCCGTGTTGCGCTGAATCTGACCTGCGTGCCGTGACGACAACTCCTTACTATTTATTATTTGAGGTTTCAGGCAGCCCGTTAGCGAAGTGCGTATCCGGCCAGAGATAAAACCTGAATCCTGGGCCTCGGCTAGCCCCTCTGCGCCATAGCTATTCCATAACCTATGGCTCATATACCATCGCTTGTACGAAGCGAAGTACACTTTATAGCCATACCAATGCGGCTCCGATAGTTGATAAATCGGTACGCCATCCCTTACTTCGGATTTCGTTTCCTAATATTACTTTCAGATGATCTCAACTCTATATAAACCGAACGTCATCAGGATATTCTACACCCCTCTCCATCGTAATAGAACTCGATCACATGTACAGTATGGCACAAACGTGGGTATCAGGCGTCATGGAATCTCTCTCTGGGACTAACAATATCAGCAGGCATTCTCCTCGTCAGGTAGCCATCGTCGGAGGCGGAATAGCTGGCCTTTATGCTGGCCTCCTTCTCCAATCCAAAGGGGTAGCTGTCCACATTTTCGAGGCCAATGATAGGGTTGGCGGCCGAGTCTGGACTTACAGATTCAACGATGACAAGGAACAATTCTTCGAGGCTGGCGCAATGCGTATTCCTAAATCTCCCATTCACCGACCAGTTCTTGACATAATCTCGTTTGTCAACTCGCGACTTGGATCTAAACATGTTGAAACCGTGCCCTATATTCTCCACTCGACGGGCAATCGTGTATACGTCAATGATCGACGCCGAGACGACGGCAGCAATTTCTCCTTGTCGGACCTCAATTCCCTGACCGCACACCGGCTGGGGTTCGACTTGCCGCAACCATATACTAATATGACTGCCACTGGGCTCTTGGAACCCATTATACAGCCCTTCGTCAAGGCCCTTCAGAACGATTTCACGATTGGTTATAACGAGATCATGAAATACGACGACCTGTCCTTCCGTATGTACCTCAGGTCCGCCGCTCAATGGCCCCCAGAAGTCATCGACTTCGTTGAGCTTATGCTCTCCCAAAGCAACCAGTACTCCTTAGGCTTTACCGAAGTAATTCTTCAGAACATGGACTTCTCCACGCGAGAGTGGTTTACCATCAAAGACGGCATGGACAGGCTTCCTAACGCCATGGCACGAATAATTGGGCCCCAGAACATCACACTCAACGCCAGAGTCCGCGGCTTCGCTGAACTTCCTAGCGGTGGTATAACTATAAATTTCGACAGCTCCGCCGCCGCCAACCCCATGGATACAGTCTTCGACAACGTCATCCTGGCACTTCCACCTGCAGCAATCCGTAGCATGCTTACTCACCGGCCGAGATGGTCGCCTACCAAAGAGGCCGCTATACGTGCCGTTCATTTTGAACCACTGTTCAAACTCGGACTTCGCTTCAAAACGCGCTTTTGGGAGCGCGTTCACCGCCCGTCGTTTGGGGGACAATCCATCACGGACCTTCCTAGCCGCTGGGTCGTCTACCCTTCCAATGGGATGGGCACTCAGGGGCCCGGCGTACTGTTGACCTACTCGTGGATGACAGACGCGAATACATGGCTACCACTGTCGGATGAGGACCGGATTGATTTGGCGTTGAGGGATCTTGCCAAACTCTACCTCAAAGAAATCAACGTCTACGACGAGTTCATTGAGGGAAAGGCGATATGCTGGTCGAGCAACTGGTCCTGTGGGGATGCCATGTTTCTTCCTGGGCAACATACAGCGTATGCAAGGGTTCTAGCAACGCATGAGCGTGGCGTTTACTTTGCTGGTGAACATCTCTCTCGCCATCACACATGGATAGTTGGGGCGATTGACTCGGCTTTGAACACTGTCCGTGATATGTTGAATGACCAAAGCTTGTCTTTTTTGTCGTAGAATGTATTTATGTTCATTCTAGGCGCCATTTCAACCAGTAAAGGCTGCTCAATGCAGCCAGTTCACTGCCACCATTACTCACAGAAGTAAATATGCTTATTTATGCATGTCAAGATACAATGTGGGATGTATATATATATATGTGCGTGTTAGGATGATGAAGTGGTAATGTACTATATGAATATGTCCATATGGCGAAGATTATTGTATGTCATATAACTCCGTACTTTGCTTTCATGCAGGCAAGGTTGTCCAGCCATCTTTTCCGCAGTATTGTGCAATCCTCATTGGGGTCCACGTAGTATTCGCCAGCTCGTGCTTTAGTTGTCATAAAGTCACGCAGAGAGCGATGAACCACATGGATCGGTTCAGTGTCGTTGGAAGGGATGGACAAGATAGATTGTAGCCACTGGAGGGTAACATGGGCCTCGCCGTCTATCAGGTTGAGGAGATTCTGTAGGTCGTTTTCCGAAACAGGCTCGGGGGAAAGTATTATGGTGCCCACGATGGCACATACGCGGTCGACGTTGGGGTCTCGACCCAGAGTCTGCTTGTACATTCGATCGACACTACTGAAGACCACGCCCACATTCGGGTTATCAGGCGTCGTATCCAAGACGTCGCGGAGCTGCTTTGGAGGGTATTGGCGTATGTCGCTGATGTAGTGTAAGATGGCCGACGCCTGGATAAACGACCCGCTGGACCGCTCAACAAGAGTTGCCAATGCTTCGGGTCCTGGCCATGGCGATTGTCGAGACCTGAAGCATTCCGGATGATCTTGGTAGACCTGATCCAGACCCTGCTTGAGGTACCTTTCAATGTCACTCTGCACATCTGCCTCTTCGTCAAGATTGTGTTCCCAGTAGACCTTCTCTCTGGGCTCCGGGACGCGCTCGAACGCCTGGCGAATATAAAGCTCTTGTCTGCTTGATAGTAGGAATTTTAGGATGGGGCGACCGTTGTGCATGAGGGGATAGTTGAAGAGAAGAGATAGTATAGTCGCGATGTCTTTGGGGTTATGACATTCGTCTAACGCGTCGATGATTATGACCATAGGAAATAGGAACGCGGGAATCTTTGCCTCCAATGCGGCGAGGGGGCGAGTAATCAGTTCGGCGTAATGTTCGTCAAGGACCGCACAAGTAAGCTTGGGGTTGAGCCCCAGGATTTCGGATAGAATAGGTATAAGCCGATTGTCGAAATCACAAAGCTGCAAGGCCAGCGTGCTGAACAAACTGCAACCCGCGTGACGCGAAAGCAGGTCTCTGGAGAAGAAAAAGGAGCCCGCTAAATATCCTTGCTCGTGGCATTCTTCAGCAACGGTCTGCAAGATTGTCGATTTGCCGCTGCCGATTGTCCCTCTCAACCAGAATACTGGGGGGCCATTTTCATCGAACATCCAGTCGTTGATTCGCTTCCTGACTTGTACCCGTGTGCTTTCCATGCAAGTCACTGCGAATTTGTCTCGAACTGCCGAATTGAAGGCAACCCCCTGCACATTAGGAAGTCTATCCACGTGGAGGCGCTGACCTAGGTCAAGTCGTGATGAGACCATGGATGGCTAACGGTGGAATTGATACTCACTGATTTCTAGTGACCCACTTATCTATTCCGTGTGTTAGTTTCGACTGATTTGGTACGGCTATGGGCCCTCACCGTCACTGATGTAAAGGATGCTGTTGGGATCTGAAAGACTAGTGAGTAAGTCACTGGCTCAGTGGCTGTTGCACAATGCTGTGATTACCTGGAACCGAGACAGAGCGTTATTTATAACCCTGACCTGCTTTGTAAACAGTCCCGCATCATCAGTGCTCTCCCAAATGCGACGTGTGCGACAATGCGCGACGATTCTTGCGATCACTTGGCAAGACTCGTCGATCTCCCTGGTGATTCATATTAGCACGAAGACCCAAGTTTACTGAGGACGCAGAACGTACTTGGTCAGAGTTGCAATCGCTTCTTTCAGCGCTGGTGGAAGATTTGGGGACTTGTAGCTTTCGAACAAAGACTCGTACGAAGCTAAGCAGTCGCCAAACGCCTTGAAATCTTCTAGATTCTGGGATGCTCGCTGTTCCAAATGTTAATGCTCGCCGCCCCTTAGAGGTAGACTGTGGGCTTACATCGACGTTGTCCAAAATGAATAGGACGCCTTTGATGGCACCTTGCAAACCCGGTGCAGGAACACCATCCAGAGTATCTGCCACACCTCGTAGAACCATCCTCACATGGTTCATCACTTTGCTCGATTTCTTCGATTTGCCAGTGACTTTATTGACCAGGCGTTGGTACCACTCTGGAGGGGTGAATTTGATTTGGACATGCATGACGGTAGACGGGGTGAGGGACAGACGAGAACAAAGGATGAAGTGGCGAGCATTGCCTGGTGCTTTCAGATACCTCCGGATCGCTTACAGCATTTGTGCAGGAACAGCCTTGTAAACAACTCGGACCCACAAATATTGCCCATCTCGGAAACCCTTGTAAATAGTCGTGGCTCGTCGTGCAGAAGTAGAGCGCTCACGGACTTTGAAATACGGACACACAGCGCGCCTACGGTGTTTATTGTTGTAATTTACTTCCCGTTGCTACCAAGTAAGTTGAGGACGTATAAGTAAGTTGAGGACGTATTTGTAACTGGACAGTGGCAGAATCATTACTTGCTATAACATATGTAACGATGGAGGGCTCAGCGTGGCAGCAAACGGGCCATACTTGATTGTGAAGTTGCCAGGGCTTCGGATAATTCTCGACTGTCGGGACTCAGTACTCATCAATGAGCCTCTACGAGTCTCGAGAGACTCGAAAACACCTTTAACTCCGTAGGGACATATCTACCATCTCCCCTACCCTCAGTACCATATCATCCGATCCCCATTGCCCTACGATAGTGACACCGATTGGCCACTCATGGCTGTCCCTAATCGAGGACTCACTACGAATAGACAGCGCTGGTAACCCAGCAAGCGATGCGGGGACGGTCAACACGTCCTGGACGTATGCGTCCAAGCCTTGCTTGGTATTGTCATCTATCAGTGGCGCAGGTTGAATAGCGGTGGGATGCACAATGATGTCGACGCCATGCTGATCAGCAGCAGGAGCTGGAGGAGACACCATGAATCGTACATCAGGCGAACGAAACGTTTTGTTGAAGTCGTCACGAACAAGCTGGCGCACTCGCAGCGCTTGTTGGAAATAATTGTCGAACGCACTGGTCAAATGGCAATCAACGAAGGCCAGTGTGGGATGGGCTCAACGACTTACTCAGCGCGGAGTGCATAGGTTCCTAGTAATATTCGTTTACGGACTTCTGGTCCAAATCCTTGCGTCCGCGTCGCGGCATAACTGCGCATAGCCGTGTCGCCAGATCGCGTTCTTTGTACCGTGACGTTGAGACCTGGGAAAAATTAGAAGAAGAGTTTACATCAAGGAAACTACTGACCATATTCTACGCCGTCGTAACGAGCCAAATTGCTGCTTGCTTCAGCACACGCAATGACGTAGTACGCACTTAATGCATAGGGTGTTGAGGGCAGACTGACTGAGACAATGGTGGCACCAAGTGATTGGAACGCAGACAGAACGCGTCTTGTGGGCGTGATCACGGATGTTGCCAGTTCTGAGGGGAAATACTCCTACGTGGCGGAATGAGTGATGCACTGACTATGGCTGCTAGTACCTACCGCAGGAACGCCAACTCGCAAACCATCCAGACGTGTAGCACTTAGACGGGGAGAATGGGAACTAGCGTTACTTCGTAGCGCGTGCGAAGCAGACGTGGGGTCTCGAGCGTCAGGAACCATAATTACCTCTTCGTCATAGAGGATGAGAGAAGAGTGACGCGAATTACGCGATTCCACTTACCAGCGACCGCTCGGACCCGTTTTGTGGTCTTAGCAATAACTCCAACGCAATCCAAACTATCTGCAAACGAGACAACACCATATCTACGGGAAGTGAGCGGGGGATCAGATTTGGATGTTCGTGTCTGCTGACCTGCTGATGAGCCCATAAGACGGTTTGAATCCAGTCACACCACAGTAGGATGCCGGGAGTCGAATAGAGCCGCCTGTATCTGTTCCTAGCGCGCTACGAAGAGTAGGTCACTTCCCGGTCAGGTCGGTATCATTCTGGGGAGCATACGCATAGCACATGTCGGCAGCGACCGCAGCTGCACTTCCTCCAGAACTTCCACCTGCAGATCGTTGTTCTCTGCTCTCCCAAGACGAATCTTCATTCGGAAGTTGGAACGGGTTGACGACTGGGCCGTGGATTGAATAAGTATTCAAGGAGCTAGACAAATTGAGTTTCTCTCAACAACAGAAACGAGCGAACGCACCCCATCCCGAATTCGTCCAAGTTAGTTTTTCCAACCAAGTCGGCGCCTGCCTCCTTCAATAGTCGGACAACGGTTGCATCGTACGGGGACCTGAAATCTACACAGCACTTTTGTGTTAGGTGAGGAAAAAGAAAGAAACTGAGTTTGTTTTGACCTTTGAGCATAGCGGAGCTACAAGTCGTTGGCATTGATTTCGTACATATATTGTCCTTGACTGCGATCGCGACCTTTTGCAGAGGACCGTTTGCTAGGGCTTCCGACGCGTCCTCTGATGCTACATGGACGATCGCGTTTATGGAGTCATTCTTACGGATTATTGCTTGGCGCCACAGAGAATCAGTAGCCTTTGGCCCCAGAGTAGAGGCGTGTCTTCTAATGGGGGTGGTGGAGAGGCATCTAGAGAGCATGTGCAAGTAGTGGAGGAAGGAAACGTCTCCGAGCCCCGGGCCAGCTCCGATCGCTAGATTTGTCAACAACCTCCGATATAAACAAATCATCCGATCGTTTCTCAACCCAGCCACAAAATTTAAAATTCCAAATTTCATCTCAGAATGGCCAAACTCACATCCAAGAAAAGCGACACGCACTCGAATAAGCGAGCTCGCATTGAAGTCTCAAAAGCAGCGAAGAGAGATGCTCCGACTTCTCGCCCTCAAGCTGAACAAATAATTACTGTTGAGGCAACCTCGAAACCTCAGAAACCTTCCAAGTCAAAGGGAAAGGAGAAGGCAGCAGACTCTATAACTGATGGAGGATCTCTAGCCGATGAATCTACTACTCCACCAAGAACATTCAAAATCGTCGCTGGCTCGTACGAGAAGTTGCTCTACGGTTTGGAGGGTTCTACTACGGTCTCTGATGGTGAATTTGGTTACGAAATTCACATAAAACCGATATTCGCGTTCCCCGCCCACGTATCATGCATAAAAGCTGTTGCAGCATCCCCCAACGGTGGCAAATGGTTGGCCACAGGAAGCACGGATGAAATAATAAAAGTCTGGGATCTAAGGAGGAAGAAAGAAATCGGAGGATTGATGCACCATGAAGGTGAGTCATTCTGGAGCATTCAGTGTTTCAACATACTGATTCTCTGCATGGACTAGGGTCGATAACGCATCTGAATTTCCCTTCACGATCACATCTATTATCTGCGTCTGAGGATGGAACACTATGTCTATTTCGAGCGCGCGACTGGACAGTCCTTCGGTCGTTAAAAGGTCACAAGGGGAGAGTTAATTCAGTCGCAGTCCATCCTTCCGGCAAAGTTGCCCTCAGTGTTGGTAAAGACAGAATGCTACGGATGTGGGATTTGATGAGAGGAAGGGGATCTGCTAGTACAAAACTCGGGAAAGGTACGTCGTATGAACAACTCATCCGCATATTCCCCGTTTACGGACGTACCTCTGTTAGAGGGAGAACTTGTCAGATGGTCAATTGATGGGTCGCTATTCGTCGTGCAAGCTCAGTCGACGATAGATATCTACGATACGGTAAGTTATCCTCTCACATTTACGATGTATTGACTCCAACGCGAACATCAGACAATGTCCTTGATCCGCACTATAAATCACCCGTCGCGACTGCACGATGTTCGCTTTTGTAAACGAATTAACGGGGAAGGCGAGGTCCTGCTTGCCTGTGCTGAGGACAAAAAGACCTCGATCTACGAAGTAACAAAAAACGACGTTCCCTCAAGGATAGTGGGGATCATGACTGGACATACCAATCGGTATGTATAACTTACATTTCGATTTTCGTACGAACACAATTTTGACAGACCTTAGTGTTAAAGCAGTCGATACCTTGGCCATATCCTTGCCTGGATCGACGCCGAGCGGTAGATTAACTACCACGATTGTCACTACAGTATCTTCAGATGGCAATGTTCACGTATACGATATGGCCGCCCTCCCCTTGGACTCGACTTCCAAGGAGGTTTTGGAAATCAAACCAGCGGCATCATACAGCACCAAGGGCACCCGACTTACGTGCGTAACACTCGCAGACGGAGAAGTCTTGACAAGTGCAGTTGACTTGGCCAAGAAGCGCAAGCATGATGAAGAAGTTGAAAGTGATGACAGTGAAAATGACGATGAGTGGGCTGTGGAGGAGGAGGAGGAGGAGGAGGAGGAGGAGGAGGAGGAGAGAGAGGAGGACTGAAGTATCGATAAGACTTTGTCGTACCAAAAATGCTTCCGTACCACAACCGTAGAAACAACAAGCAGAGTGAATGAGATACAAGTAAATTATGTTGTACGTGCGCGGCATGCTACAAGAAATCAACGGCTTTTTTCCTTCCTTTCATGGACCGAGCATTGCCATCTGCATCGCTGGGCTGTACGGGATTAGTGTTCGGGACCTTTGAGGGTAGACTCTCGACGACTTCTGGCGGGGGTTTATCATCCTGCATATCTTCGTCCCCTTCCTTCTTGCCGCCCTTCTCTTTACCCTTCTCTTTGTCGCGCTTTTTCTTCTTCTTTGGCCTCTCCTTGACCGGTGTAGTACTTTCTTCTCCCTGATCCTCGTCCATCGCGAAAGATACCATGCCAGCTTTCTTCTCTTTCTCTTTCTTCCTCTTCTCCTTTTTCTCTTTCTTTTCGTCACCTTTCGACTTGGATTCTCTAGGAACGAATACAGGCTTAAAGGTGGCCAGGTCGACAGGTTCAGAGTTCTTCGCCGTAGGAGCAGGTGAAGGGCCGTTCATGTCTGGTGGTTTCGCTTCATCAACGTCCATAGCATCTGGTGAATCCTCCTCGTTGTCACTATCTTCGTCATCGCTAGCAAATATTGCCTTGAATATGTCCATAGCGGGTTTCGTATAGGTCAGGATATCCCTGCCCTGCGTTTCATCATCGCCCAAGCCAATATTCGCGAGGTCTCGCCTCCCGCTGTACCCTTTCTCAGTGATGCCCAAAGCAGCCGCGGACACTGGGTCTACAACCGTAGACTGATCCCCTTCCATATCTCCGCCAGCTGTCGTTGGATGGTGTGCAGCACTTTCGGGTGCCTTGGTCTCAACTTCAGGGTCCTTCACCCCAAACCGCTTGCACAACAATTTGGCAGGTACCCAAGGCTTCACGTCGCGAGTCAATGGCCCATACATACCTAACCGAGCAGCATGGACCTTCGGGCTGACCTTCTCTTCTGCTAGCTTCTTCGCTTCTGCCTCCTTCGCCTCAATCTCTTCCTTCGTCGGCATGTGTAGGCCCTCGTTGACTTTGGGCGCGTGCTCGACTACTGCGGCGCTAGTGAACCGCCCTGCCATAGCGCCAGATATTGGTTTAAAAATCTGGGCAGCCTTTGCGTAATCAGAGAGTTCCTTGTTAAACTCGGATATATTTTGGTCTGGTAGCGGAACCAGTTCGACAGTGGATTCCGGTGATATCTGTGTTTGTAGATAGGCATTATACCGAGCCTGCTTCACAGGATCGGTGGTGAAGGGCTGGAAGCCACTGAGAGCAGCTTGAGCGATATGCGGATCTAATCGAGTGATGTTGATTTCGTCTCGGGCTGCAGTAGGTGCGCCTGACGGAGCTGCGGCTTTGCCTGTGACCATGTTTTTCAAGCGTTCGGCATCCTTCTGGGACATATAGTCGAAGACTGATTTGGGCGCTGAAGGCAATGGCGTTTCACCTAGTATCGTACCGCGCTACCAGAGGACGTCAGTATTGAACGTCAATTCGTAGATGCGCGACCTTACGGCATCTGCTGATATTGTCGACTTCCACTTTCCGGGCCCTGCTGGCGGAGGTGGGGCCTGGACGCCTGGGCGATTCTCTTTATCCTTATCCCAGACGCGTTTGGGGTCAGGGCGCCATCCCGGCGGGGGATCAGGTAATGGAAACCTGACGATTGTGAGGACGGCTGAAGTAGAACAACAATATAAACGTACCATCTATCTTCGGCTACAGGTTTATCTGAGAGAATGAATCCAGGTAAAACGGGTTTGCCATCTTCGAAGGTTTGAAATCCTGTAGTCTTCCTCTTGAAGAGGTTAGGAAAGTGAGTATAACCAGATGAAAGAGAACTAACAGATGCATCATGGCTCCTCTGACTAACGGAAGTCTTGTCTTCATCGTTTCGATCCAGTGCGTCATAAGCTGTGCGTCGTTTGGAATGGTTGATAGTTGATTCATATATGTCAAGATCATCTTCGTCTGCATCATTTAGCGCTCCAAGACCAAACCCGGCTATTAAAACAGGACTCAGTCCGGTATATGAATAGGCTCGTGAGCTCCATACCAGCCAATCTAGGTCCAGAAGATGGCCCGGCGCCGTTGTCTCCCAAACTTTCGTTCAAACTCATACCGGGGCGATAGCCAAGTCCATGGGAGTTATCCTTTCTAGTGATAGCCAGTACAGTTGTATCACGACGAGCAAAGGAATGTTTGCTAGCTTCTTCGTCATCTTCAGGTATCGATGTGCTTCGACCACCATTGTAAGCTGCCTGAGCATCTTGTTGCTTTCTGTCTCGCCACGAGACTCTCGGCCCGATGCCTTGGCCAATCTTCCAGCCCATTTTCTTCAAAATTCGTGCACCAGCGGAGTCCTGCGGTGTGGGTAACATAGAAGCTTCCAATGCACCAGCAATGGAACTATAGAAATGAACATAGCCTCGTTTCGTGCAAGCGATTGGATGGAACAGACGTACTCAGTTTCAAGTTCGTCCTTACTTGCCCGCAATCCCGCCGTCAAGTCCATCTCATCTGTAGTATCGACAATCTTTTTGGAGTCTCGTATTTCCTGAAGGTCCTCCTCGTCCATAAAGTCTTCGGGCCGAGCTGCCTTGGCTTTGGCCCGTTCATTTCTTGACGACACAAATGTTGCAGGAGTCCATCCTTCCTTCGAGCCAACCGTGTTAAAATATCCCGCTGAGAAGCCACCAGTGAAGGCGCCATGCAATCGTTTGCGACCTTTCTCGTCGCGTACCTGTTCGCGTGTCCGATGAGCAGCAATAGTATCAACGGGTTTCAAGTATGCATACTTCTTGTTTCCATAGAGGAACAAATTCACCAGTATCCTTAGACTTCTCAAGTGGAGGTAGGGGTGTACCGATCTACAGACTGCATCAGAATTAGGGTGCATACCCAACCACCCGCGTGCGTACCAAGCAAAATGACTCATTAGCTCTTCTGCTAGAGGTGTCAACACCAAGGTCCCCTAGTTTCCGTTTGAGACGATTGCTCATTAGTCCTTCGAGCTGAGACAAGGCAACCGGTTGCCGCTCCTACCCAGTGGCAAGTGTGGTGTGAGTGTCGAGGTAATGAGAGTATATGGGCGCTTAATTGCATGGCGCGCCGAGGGAAGGTATACTAATACTTGATAGAGGACAAATCACGTTCTACGACGGATCTACAACTTAGTTCAGCGCAGTCCAGAAACCACCATTTTTACAGATTTTTTTATATCTGCTATTATAACGAGATCTTGCTGTACTGTGAGGTTCGTATAATAGTACTTAGGTTGAAATGACAACGAGTTTGAACTGAATAGAAGGGTAGTTCCGAAGAACAAAGGAATCCCGTTAGATTAGGCCAGCAATCGGTAAAGAGCCCAACGTGGAACCACGAAAGCTGCGCTAGGCCGTTTGATTGCATCGGTTGACCAGCAGCTTTCCGGGAGACTCCAGACGGCATCACCCAACCCGGGGCCTCCGTGATCCTTTCGCAAGGGTTTCTCCCCTTGTAAGAGGCGGTAGCATATACATTTATCCCACCGTCACATTCCAATGTTTCTTTCCCACAGAGTATCTTTTCCCTTCGTTGATATAACTCCAAGATCAATCGCATCACACAAAGTGCGACAAACGCGAAGGCGTAGATATCGCCTTCCTTGGAAGCATAGACGGGAACCTTGTCGGAAGGTCTTGCGATCTCATGAGGGGTGTACCTATACGATCCGTTTTTGCTACTCAAGGGTCCGAGGCATTGCCTATAATTCTGGCCCACGAGAAACCACAAAGTACGGCCTTGACACCTCCCCTGTGGTTCGTCACAGAAACGTTTGCCTGTTCAGAGATCACGAGAGAAATGCCTAGAGGGCCAATGTGTGCACTCACCGGCTTGAGATGACCATGGATGGTTTGTTTTCATGGTGATACTCAGAGCACGAGCAATGTCAAGCACCTTATTGTCAGCGACCACCAGTGATACAACTTGTAAGTAGACATGGTGAGACGTTGACACTTAGGTGTATACCTTATGTAGCTCGGCAATCCGCCCTATCACATAATGGAAGATTGGTTATGTCCGTGGGTACCCCAAGGCCACCCCGAGGTAGTTCACAACGTTGGGATGTTTCAGTCGTCGTAGCACCTTGGCTTTTCTGGAAATTTTCTGCCATTTATTCACCAATAAAAGGATAGACATTCAGAACCAATATGCAGACATACCCCAGCAAATTCCTCCAGCATCTTGTCGACTGTTTGCTCCAAAGTAACGCTCTTTCGCGGCAACCTGAAGCAATCATCGCAATGTACAGTCTTCCTTAGAACTTACGACGTATCTGGTTCTTTCAAAATCAATACAACGGCTGCCAACCTTCTATTCCTTGAGCGAGAGCTGGATGGGTTGGGGTCTGCTTCAAAGAAGGCGGTCAAGTTCTGGTGGACAGGCGTGCACTTAGCCTAGAGTCAAATTAGGGGCGTATGAAGCACACCTCAGGTAGACCTTCGATTTCTTCTCGACCGCCGAAAATAGGATTGGTAGGGTTGTTGACGGGTCCAACCTAAGAGAGGGTTAAAAAACATAAGGCCGTGACCAGCCAGGTCCTCTGTGGAGATGGCTGCACGATGAGTAGTAGACATTGTACTTGTCTTGGGGAGGAATGGATAGATAGAGCGTAATTTGTAAGACAGTTACACTTGTGAGGTATCCATTGTTACAAATGCCACCTTTGCCTATTCAAACAAAAGACTGAACGGCACCAGACATGATCATAGCCGCCGAACGCTCGCCCTGGCCACAAAAAAGGGAGTGGCCTAAATCGCGACGCGAAGTGTTTTTTTCCTTACATGGGAGCTCAGGCTGTACATTTCATAATCGCGGAGATTTAAATTACTTGTAGTGGACCCTGTTGGGTTTGGTTGTTGGGTGCATGACGAATCGTTACATGGATCCCGTTCTTTATCCTGCCAGTAATCACTCTCAGGGTGTTGTATTCAAGGGTTAAGACAGATAATGGACAGATAATGAATATTCCCTCGAATATCAAGCTCCACAAGTGTGCTTTTGGACACCGCTGTTTACGTTTCTGGGGGCTCAACTGGGGCGCCTGGAATACAGTGCCATCAACGGCTGTTCAAAGGACAACGATGAGGATCAAATACTTCTGGTGCTGGTTCGAACTTGGACCAATACTTGTGAACAAAGGAAAATGGGAGCCGCAGACTCGTAGGAACCAGACCCAAGCACACCATAAGGTCCTCTGTCATACCTAAGTTCCCCACTCCCCTTTCTGAGGTTTGGACAGTTCCGGGTGAATATCCCTTGCGCCAGTGACGACAGCTAGTGTTTAATGTACCCAATTATTTGCTCATAATACTGAATATAAACATTAAGCCCGTTGAGAAGCTGTGATGGAATACTGCGTGACACTGGAAGCACGGTCGCTGTGAATTCAGTCTAACCGAGGATGTCAATCTCCGACTACGGTGCTGCGGGTCAGCGTTCATATGCAGAAAATTTCACTCCCCGGAGTCCCGTTTTCTTTGTTCTAAGGCTAGAAAACAATAGGTAAACCACATTGGGTCGCCCTCGATTGTCCGTTTTGCGGCTAGCACATATACAGCCCAGTTCCTTTTGAACTCAAGCTTTTGGGGACCGGAAGCGACATAGTACTTGGCTTCTCCGGTTGGCTCTTAGTGTGTAGTCATTTAGGAGGTCTACCTGCAGGTTCGTGCCTATTCCTGGCTGCATCTACGATCGTCGGCGGGAATTGCCTTTTACGGACTAAAGGTAACTGTGTCGGAGTCTGAGTTTGGCTACAGGCTCGGTATTTCCCGTCACTACCTGCATTCTGTCCGAGTCATTGGGGCGTTCCAATGCACAATAGAGCGATATGCAAATTGTGGCATCGCAACCTGTATCGCTGTGTTAGCGGACTTGTTCCACTAAATTGGTGGCCACCTCAAAAATACTTAAATAGAATGGCGTTTCATATCTCATCTGCATCGTTCAGTTGTTTCAATGCCCACTGTAATCCCTTCACCTTCTTGGTCGAATGCTGAACTATCAGCAGCGGACATCGCCTCCCTCCCTTACTCCAAGTGGATTCAGGAAGATCTTGCTCGACCCCTCGTTGCTTTGGTAAAGTCTGATTTTGAAAAATACCTCTCGGATACTGCTAATGCATGCCTTTAGTCGTTCAAAGGAAAGATCAGGCTCACAGGCCACTACGTCAAGCTAGGCAAAGGGTCCTGCTCCCTCGTTTTTCCTGGAGAGATAATCCAAGCTGGCCAAGTTCATCAGGTTTGACCATTCCTTGGCCTCGCGTTGTACACGTATCTAAGTTCTCCTGCCTAGGTCGCGGTGAAAGTCTATCAAACTGATATAGCTGACGCACAGGTGAGTAGTTCAGACACTCAAGATATACCCCAACTATATGTAACCTTGCACAGATGATGGCGAGAGAGATCAAAGTACTGCGGATGTCGAGGCATCCCAATATTGTATATTTCCATGGTGTTGTTGCTACGCCTCATCCAACATCTTCCGACCTATCCGATTTTCGGATCGTGACCAGCCTATGCGAGGGAGGAGACATATTGAGTTATCTTGCCAGAAACCAGAATGCTCATCGCATGTCTCTGGTAAGTCGTAAATACAAGTTTCGCCGCATTTTCTGAATACAACCTAGATTCATGACATGGTTGCTGGCATGTCTTATCTGCATGGTAACAATATAGCCCACGGTCGCATCGAACCTGTGAGTAGTTTGCAGTGCTTCTGGAGCTCTGTGTTGACAACACATTGTAGAAAAAGGTGCTCGTCAGGCTCGTTGATGGCCGAGCGTGTGCGGTCCTCTCAAGTTTTGCATCCGCTCGAATCCTCGGTGACATCACGTCGTCCGATTGGTACGAAGGGATATATATCTATACTCCACCTGAAAATGCTCCCTCCAAGTCCTCCACGCCATTGGCGACCAAGGAAGCAGACATCTATGCGTTTGGGTTTACAGCTCTTAAAGTAAGCACCACTCGGTGTCTGTGGTTCATTGGTACTCATCGACCTTCACGTGCAGGTTTTGAGCACCTTAGAAGTTACCTATTCCACAGACGAGGCTGGGGCCGCCACCGCTGCATTCTTCTGGGCAGGAAATCGCCCGTCGCGCCAGGCTCACGCTGGACCGGAACTCACTCTCGAAGTGTGGCAATTGATTGAGGAATGTTGGAATGCTGAACCAAAGAACCGACCCATTGTGGAAGAAGTCATTGCACGGGTAGCCGGACTCGCCAATAAGAACTGCATATAAAAAACTCGAATGCATACGTTACCCATACAGTGTCTGTTGTCCAAATTGTCTTATCTAGCGCCATCTCCTTATGTAATATATAGTGACCCTTTATTACTTTTGGGAGTTACCATCAGTTTCCGTGTGGTCTGGCGTGGGTCCTTTTCAACGTGCCTTGGTGCTCTATCGAAGGGGATGGCGCCAGATCGCTTACGCCCTTCGCCCCTTCCTAGCCGTCGTCGGGATTGGCACTAGACAGTGGGCGAATCTCCGCGATCCTCGTATTCAAGGCGGCGCTCAATGACTAGCGCTAGCAACTCGCAGAAGTGGTATCGGAAAGTCTTCAAGAAATTCCAGAAGAAAAATAAACAGCCCGGTCCCCATCCGAAGACCGAGCAGAATGAAGCCGCCAAGTTGGCCATGAATGGGGCCAAGTTAGTGATTCGGGGGGCCACTGACACACTCGAGGGAGTTCCCGCACCGGGGCTACAGGGTGCTCTCAGAGGTGTCCTGTTCATTATTGATAATATCGATGTAGGGAAATCTTACTAAGATCTATCCCTATTCACTTCCTTATGGTTTTCTAGCGTGCTAGGCAGAATGCCGATGATTTCAAGCAGTTAACAGAGCATCTTGGAGCTTGCCAAAATGTTTTCGTTCGATATCAGTCAGGAACCATCCCTCCCCCTTTGAAAGAGGCCATCACCACGCTGAATGAGTCAGCGACGACTAAAATTTGCGTTCTACAAGACTGATTCTGACGTTCCACAGATCAATTCAAGCATCTTGCGCTGCCATAAATCAGGTGGTTAGTCACGGCCGTGCACGACGGATAATAGAAAGCAGCGAGGATGCTCAGCTTTTTCTATTCCATATTCGTATCATAAGTAATGCCTTATCCCGCTTTCAGGTACGCAAACCACCAAGTACGAAGATAAATAATAATGGGTCATTCGGTGACAGCTCGCAACGAGCACCTTCATGAGTGCAGAGGTGAATCTAATATCCGTCATCGATATGCGATATGTATCTTACTGTCGTATACAGACGCACGAATCCCTATCTATCAGTGAGTTTCAGTCTGAGGATAGATCCTCCGTCTAACGAAGGCAACGATTTAGACAGAAAACTTCTGGTTGACAAACTCCCCACTGCCAAGGGAACCTCTTATAATTCCGCAGAACGTTCTCATGTCGTTCCGTGCCTGGACAATACAAGGACTAACCTGAGACGGCGGATTGTTAATTGGCTTCTTGACCCCAATGCGCCCGCTGTCTTTTGGTTGAAAGGGATGGCGGGGACAGGTAAATCGACGGTCGCGCAAAGTATCGCAGAACTTTGTGCGGAGGAAAACTACCTTGCCGCCAACTACTTTTTCGCTCGGGATAAAGCTCTTCATCAGACGATGCAATATTTCTTCCCCACATTGGCCCACCAACTTAGCGAATTTGACATACGCCTTATACCCTTCCTTGCTCAAGTGGTGCAAACACAGTCCCGGCTAAATGACCTCAACTATTCGGCACAATTCAGACCTCTCATAACGCAGCCTTTGGAAGACCTCCGGCGAATTGTCCCCTCGCTTTTTTTTCCGATGGCCATCGTTGTCGACGCTATCGACGAATGCGAGAACAGTAGAGACGCTAAAGGGGTCCTTAGTCTACTCTTGAGCGGTAAAATACAGGGCCCCAAACGACCCGACCTCAAGATTTTCATCACTAGTCGCCCGGAGCCTCATATCCAGGCCACCTTCGACGCAGCGGCCTCCACCAACTTACAACGTTTCGTCGCGCACGATATAGATTCCGAAGAGGACGTAAAAAACGACATAGCAATGTATCTCCAGCAAGGGTTTAAGAATATTCAGGCGGAGAACCCAAGGTGCTTCAGAACCCGTAAAGCGCCATGGCCTACGCAGTTCGAGATGAAAAAGCTTCTTCAGAGATCAGGGCAGTTATTCATCTACGCGGCGCTGGTCCTTAAATTTGTTGGAGATCCCCGTTTGCATCCAATGGAGCAACTCAGGATAGTTTTAGACGCCCATCGGGAAGGCCAATCTCAGGTCTACGCAGACCTAGATGATCTCTATCGCCAAATCATCCTCCAGGACCCCAAATTGGACCGTGTACACGCTGTCATCGGAACTATCCTACTTGTTTTCGAACCACTTTCATCCATGGAACTCGAGATTCTCCTCGAGCTTGAGGATGGAAACGCTGACAAGACTCTGCAGTGGCTACAATCCGTTCTAGCCATCCCGTCTGATGAAGAACAGCCTATCAGGCTATACCACCCTTCTTTTCACGATTTTTTGACCAACAAGGACCGAGCTGGTGATCTCTACCTCGATCCTGCTGTGCAGCACGGAAGACTGGCTCGTGCTTGTTCCAGAATTATTCAAATCGGCTGGCCCACTTGGCAGACCGAGGAAGGTGTTACGAATGCCCACCTACGACTTTTCCGCTACGCATGTACTCGGTGGGCGTACCACCTTTGTCGTTCGGATACATCCGACCCTACCCTTCCTCAATATCTGAACAATTTCCTGCAATCGTCGATTCGTAAATGGTTCGATGCCTTGATTCGGCTCGAGTTGTTGAATACACTTGTAATGTCTGTGGCAGAGATTTTTCGTTCGGTGGGTATTGCCTCCGTGCTGGAGAGGCCCTCCTACTAACCTCCTGCCGCCAGACACTCCCTGCCAATGATCACAGGCTTTCCCGTTTCCTGTGTTACGAATTAGACCGCCTCGGAGTGTTAATCTCCCAGCGACACGAATACATCCGTTATACCGTTCCATTGAATATCGCTGAAGGGCTCCATGAAATGGCTATTGGTCACTATCCGGAGCGGCCGCGTCCTTCGTATTTCCATTTTCATCTTGGCTCTGTCCGCAGAAGGTTCTATTATTGGCATCGTTCCAGAGATCATATTGTAGAAGCAATCAAGGCTTATGAGGCAGCAATCGCAGAGCTGGATCACCCCCCAGATCGCCCCCTTTATTTGATGGAGCTAGCAATATGCCGACGCCTCCTCTCTCGATCAGGCAACGATCGCGAGGCGATACAAGAAAGCATCTCGCTGTTGCAGGAAGCCTTTCCCTGTATTCCTTGCGAGTCCCCAAATAAATCGGTTTGTTGCAACAGCCTCGCACTCTCGTACCTTACGCTGTATGGCGCATCTGCCGAGAGATCAGACCTTGACCACGCCATCAGCCACCTCCGCGAGGCTACGGGGATGCCTGTGTCCTGCCCTTCCCTGACCGCAGTCTTTACCAATAACCTAGCATCAGCCCTCCAAACACGACACGAAAAATACGGTGACAAGCCCGATCTATTGGCGGCTATTGCTCTCTTTACTGCCGCATCGCATCATAACGCTTCCCCTCCTTCCATTTCCTTCCAAGCTGCTTGGAGCCGCGCGAAATGCGTCAAGATGCTTAACGAACAACCAGCACTTCCTCTATTTCAAGAGGCCTTAAGAATGGCTCAACGAATCATGTGGTCGGCTCTTCGCGATTACGCTGCTCAAAGTCTTATTCTGGATGTAATCACCTGCGCACACATGGCCGCGAGTGAAGCTCTTATTGCAGGCGATATCTGGACCGCCATAGAGTGCTTCGAACAAGGCTGCTCCACGTACTGGGTCGACGGATTGACCATTCGCTCGCTGTTCTTCCCCGTCGATGCAGAAGTAGTCCGCGCTAAGGAGTCCGCTCAAGCCTTGGAGGTATTTGGACTTCCCGAACCCATAGGTACCATATCTTTCGATGAAGATATAATCACCTTCCCATCCGATGTGGTTGGGCAAATAAAAGACTACGACACCGTCATGGCTCCCATGCTCAAGCAAAAGGCCACATGGAAGTCGAAAGCCGAAGCCGCCTGTCGATCCACTGGGATCTTCGGTCAACTCGACGGACGGGTGGTCATGATCAATGCCTCACCTACCAGCTGTGACGCCATCCTCATACAGCCAAACTCAGAAAAACTTACCTCTGTTGTACATCTTCCCATTGAATATTCGACTCTTTACGAACTCGCCACAGCCACAAGGCTTGAATGGGGGTCAACTGAGGATTCCAAAATCAAAGCGATTTGTCAGAACATCTGGGATGGTATAGCTCTGCCTGTTGTCACCGCCCTTCAGTTGACGGTGGGTAGAAATTATTTACCATTGTTTCGCCACTGATGTGTCTTGATGTTCTTAGGAGGCGGATGATCCTCCACGCATTTGGTGGTGTTCGCCGGGACCGATATGTGATCTTCCAATCCATGCTGCAGCAGATTATACTGCTGATCCGCCTAGGTATCTCACCAGTTACCTTGTTTCCTCGTACATCCCCTTCTTGAGTATGTATTCGGAGCCCGTGCAACAGACCAGAGATCTCCCTCCAAAAGTCGTATTTCTCCAACCTCCACGAAGTTTATTCGACCGACCAGCGGAAAAGGAGATCGACTCGGTCAGGAGCACCATCCCTGAACAAAACTTTCATTTAGTGCCGCCAGCGACATTGCCTGACATAATCTCCGAGCTGCGAAATTGTACCGGCATACATATCACTTCTCGTGCAGAACAGAGACACACAGATCCAGCGGATTGCCGTTATGTACTCCCTGGCGATGTTCACCTACGCCTGTCAGATCTCCTTGCTGAGACAACGGTACCTCCATTCGCATTTCTCTCTGCACATCCTGAATGTATGTAGTTTCGTCCCTCTGCTCCTAAGCGAATTCTGACGAAGTTTCGGCAGCGAACTATTATCCGAAACCCACATGTCGACTACCTCAGGACATGTTGACCGTCGGGTTTGCTTCCACCGTAGCGGCTTACGGGCCTATCTCTGACGAGGAAGCTCCAATCGTCTCGTCTCGCTTCTATTCGGAGCTCCTCAAACTCGGAGGTCTTGACTTCCGGTTTGCCGCAAAAGCACTCCATAGAACAATGATCGCCTTAAGAGAGTCGGGTGAGGTAAGCATGAGTGCATGGTCAATGAATATGCATGCTGGGCTGTAGGTATCTAGACACATATGGTACATCCTGTACAATGTACGCGTAACGAAATTTTGATGACTACGAGAAGTAATCACTCCAACAACTGCGCAAGCACTTCTGCCATAGCTGGGCGAGCCTCTGGAGAGTGTTGCCAACACGGAGAAATGATATCCCATTTACACTTGGGGATTGTAGAGTAGTCCTCAAGACGCGGCTCACTCCTGGCCAGAGCCCCAGGGTGGTCTGAAAGTGGAAGTTGCCTTGCATATATCTGAATAGTGTCAGTGCATTGCTGTCGGACTCTTGTCCTGATGCTTACGAAAAGAGCGATGAGGCCAAATGAATAGATGTCCGCCTCTTTCGTGGGCTTCGCACTGCCAGATTGTTGTAATTCCGGAGCCGAGAACCTGGCATCTGCAGGGCTCCTAGTGGTCTGCCCGCGATGCCCCCCGAACTTCGAGCGGCAGAAGTCGCTCAATGCAGCTTCGCCGTTGTCGAGTACCATGACATTATGCTGGCAACAGAGTTAGATCGGGGTTGTGCAGGACAAGTTCGATGCATACAGGACGCAGATTACCATGAACAATACCTTTTTCATGCAGGTAATGGAGGCCTCGAGCTAAGCCAACAACCTTCCAAAACCGTCAGACGAGTGAAAATAGGTAAATGGAGGGCGTACCAACGTGTGGACATCTGCATCTGCATGTGACGGTAGATATCTTACAATAGAACCATTGGGGCAACGCAGAAAAACCAGTGCTGGCTGAGGATCAACGGTCTCATCAGTAATCTCAGACATGCCGAAGCATGGAATGATATTTGGATGATTGCTATCCATCCATATCTCGGCTTCCCGTTGTACCCGCTACGAGATGCGTCAAGCAGTTCTCCGAACAATCACTGACCGAATACTCACAGACAACGATGCAGCGACCTGTTCCCGAGATTGATTTGCACTAATTGGGTATGTTTTGATACAAATGGCCTTTGAGGAGGTGTCAGTGTCAGTCCCACTCCTGCATGTGGGCTCACCGTATTCTTGGTCTTGTCTTCGTTGTTCTGAGCATACGTCCCATCGATAATCATGGCGCCATCAGTCCAGCGAACATTCAGGTGCGCAGGATCAACTTCTATGCTTGAAGTGATGTCGGGGACGTGCATTTCGAGGACGTTTCATGAAAGCATCACTTTCGAAGGCTTTATGAACCTCTAGAGATCTGAGATGACGGAACCTCGATGATCCTGGCCATTGTCCCTCAGGCGCGGAGTTGGAAGGTACAATGCAACAACCCGAACAAACGGTAGTAGTGATGATATTAGATGAGGTAAGTGGTCGTGCACGAGTTCTGAAAGTTTCTTGTTGAGACCCACTCTCCAATGCAGGGCCCAATCTTCTAGACCTTGTTTACAACAAAGTACCCATGGACCCACAAGGGTATACATATACAAATGAACCTGGATTCGGATTGACTGTCAAGGGTCAATCTATCCTATGAATAAATTGTGTGTGAATGGTTTATACATGCACCGTGCTCCTTGGTGATCGATCTGTGAGTTGTGACTCGTACTGACATCAGATGAACACCGTTCTGGAAATTCAACAGCCAGCGAGTTGGAGTCGAGGTCGAGTGATTTAATTAAGCTGTGATTAGGGTTCTGAGGTACAGAACGCGATCCCAGCGGCGATACCATAGTACTAATGATATAATCAGCAAGTGCCGTATCGCCCTTTCTGACCCATCTTACTCACAGTCAAATGTGAAGAACCGATGCCAAGGAACGGAATGGACGCTGAGCAAGTAGGATCTTCGCCATTGGTGGTTGAGCACTGCTTGACATTGACTGGAGTTGCTGGATCTGGGTTTTGCCAGTACTCTACTCCTACAATCGCTACATCAGCCAGTACCAACACAGGTAATTGGGCTAGATGAACCATGGTGGCGATAACCGAGAACCGTAGAGATCGAACTCGCCGCTCTAAAAAATCCCATTAAAAGCCAAGCTCAACGTAGTGACTGCCTGGACGGACCCGTCGATGGTATGCACGGCTAGATCAGGAAAGCGTTCTAAATATCAGTTGCCGTCGCAAAAGCAGATCTGTACGTACACCGGAACGCATTTGCACCAAATTGAGAATTGATGAACTGGGCAGAGATGGGGTTGAAGGTTCGGGGTTGGCCGTATGTATACATCCTAATTGGTCTTATATATTTTGTGTAAGTCTTTAAGCTTTAAGCCTCGATGTGTGGTCAGCGTCCGTACACTTTCGGGAAGTTCTGCTTCAACGAGATAGCTGCAAGGCTTGACAGGGAGCCGCCCAGAGAATGACCAGTAGTGACCAGCGAGTATCCAGGATGCGCGTTGAGTTGAGCTCGCACAATCGAGATGACCTGGAGCGCGATGGAGTTCCACCTGTGGACCAAGAAATTTTGTAAAGGTTTTTAGAGTGCAAATTAGGCGGCGCTTACGCGGTAACGAAGCCTGTGTGTACGAGCGACCCAACTACCCCCACACGATATTGAGAATACGGAGAAGGAAATAGAAAGAGACAAACGTGGTGGCGAGACCCCCGGGGTTATGAACGGTACGAGGAAGAGCTCATTGTCGAGCAAGAAGTCGGTTGGGGACGTGCTTTGGAGTTTAAATAGTCAGGCAAACACCCTTGAGTCCAAGGCTGGCATGTTTTTTGTAGTCGCACCTGCCACGCAAAGCAACAACGATTTCTTTGCGGCCGTCATCTCGTACAATGAAGCCTTGTGTGTCGGTCAACAGTTGGTCGATCTGCCATCCCTTTGTAAGCGGCAAAGGATAATGGGTGTCGAGTGGGATGAAATTACGCGTTGGACCAACGTATTCCCATTCGGTTGCGCGCACACGTCGTTGTATGCTGATGATGCATACTGGAAGTAAAACACAAGATCATCGAAGACCTGCTGGGAAATAGCGCGCTTCTGCAGCACTGTCGAGTTCGTATCTGCAGGAGTCGAGCAAGCGACGGCGACGACGAAGGTAAACCAAGACAAGAGGTAAAGAGACGTCATGGCTCTTCGGGACGGAGTTGAGGGTATGGTTTCTACTCTATATCGAAGCACCATGAGAAATCGCGAATTTAACAGCACGGAAACGCTGCCAGGCCTGTCATACTGAGTCCTAGTGCATGTGGAAATTTAGATTGTGGAAGGATTGTAAACTCAGCCCCTGGTCGGAGAAGCGATCGAAGCTGAAGAGAGTGTGTCATGGGGTGCTTAGCCATCGTGGAGTTGATGGATCCTACGCATTGCAACTGTGTTCCGGCGCGTCGTTGAAGTAAACAGCAGGCAGGCTCAACACCAGATCAACGAATCCACGCATCCCATATGTGACTATCTGACATACCGGGATGTACTTGAGCCGGAAGGTAAATTGATCTCAAGGACCGCATACTGGTTCTGCATCGAATCCCCACAGCATCCTGATCTTCCAGACGGACCCGTCAATCTTCGACCAATGGAGGGCGTTACAAAGCGACGTACGTTCTGAACTAGAGCTCCCTGCTCCTATTTCACGTCTGCAGAGGCTTGATGCTAGATTGAGTAGAGGATCTTGGTAGACAGGGGGTCTATTCCATAAGGCGGGATGCCACTGGCCGAAGAAACCGATGGTAGGGTAAACGCAAGCAGCGTAGTTCAAGTACAGTCAAGCGTAATATACATACACACAAGCAAGTATCAGAGAGCAATTCGTGTCCGGGAAAAAATACAGAGCAAGGTTCTAGGCAATTAGATTAGATGGCAGCCGCTGAGTGGAATATTTGGGTAGAAATCGAGCTGATACACACCATAATCATTATAATAAACATCATCGTCAGATTTCCTCTCCGAAGAACACACTTTGCGAATATGCATCCTTGTCCTTGTACTCCTTGTTTGTCAGGATTTCGTATACCTGCGGAAGAATGAGTCACTTCTCGTGCAAAACAAGTAGATACATGCGCCATACCTCTTGAGGAGGGTTCAGACCCATCTTGTTCGCACGTTCCCAACGCTGTATGCGAGGGACACCTACACAAGGTCCATATTCATACGACCTGAAGGACAGTCATGAAATGAGTCGCAATTATAAGAGGATGACATACAGATCAAACACCCGCAAAATGTGATGGATCGGTGTCTCATTCTCGGCGTGGACTACGAAATTGATGAATATACGCGCATACAAGAAATACGGTGATCCAAATAACTCACTAGGTTGGAGGCCGCCCATCTTTTGCCTCGCTACGCCATAGTGCTTGCGCCAGGCCTCCGATAGTCCAGGCTCTGCCACTTTCTTGAGCCCAGGGCGCTTACGAGGAGAAGAGTCCAGCGAATTCCGAGAACGGAACATGCCATTGTCCGCAACGATGTCCTTGTTCTCTGCCTTGGTTTTGGCGACACCAGATATACGTGCACTCCTCCGAGTGACCGGCGTACTGATAGCGTCATCTTCTGTTATTCGTTCTTCCTCGATTTCATCCGCAGAGGCCGAGGAGGAAGAATCAGAGTCTTCTATCGTATCTTCGGGGCTTTCAGATCGACTCTTTGTCACTGCGGCGACATTGGCGCGGACAGGAGCGGAATTGGTGCGTTGGACGTTCTTCTTTCCAGCGACATGCCCCGTCGCGGTTCGCTTCAATGAAGCAAAGCCGAGTAACACTTGTTTTGTAGATGCTGTACCCTGTAACTTTCGTTTGTTGGTTGTATTGGAAGACGGCATGATGGTAAGATGAAAGAGTGTTAGCCCCTGCCCGCCCCCGAATCGAAGGCTTATTCAGGGGCGGTTCATAAACGTGGGAGTCCCGCCTCCGCCCAATCGTGGTTCCATAATTGGGTGTAAAGGCGCCCCGCTATAACTGGGTCACGGTTTTGTAAGTAAGAACACTGGAAGGACCGTGTAGCACATCATCGTATAATCGGGGACGCAACTAGCGACCAGGGAATGATTTTGAGATTGTTTGTGTTCCGGAACCGTACCTCACGTTTCGTCGGCCGACTAGCTCAGCTGGTTAGAGCGTCGTGCTAATAACGCGAAGGTCTTGGGTTCGATCCCCACGTTGGCCAACATGTCCTTTTTTGCGAAATTTCTCGCGTCGTCTTTGCAGCGATCTCGCATCGTTGGGCGCAAGAATCTCATGGCTTTCCCGCTCGTCCCGTTGCGCATTCTTCGACCCTGGCGGCATCACCCATATCCTGGAGCCGTATCACTGGCGATGATGGGTCCTAGCTCTGAACGGCCGTCCGTATGGTTAGCATTATCCGTGCTAGCTGGCTTGCCCTTAGCATTGTGGGCATACAAAGTGGCTAGACACTACTGCACTACGATCGGATAGGACTAACGCCCTATTTTCATAGTGCTTGATGCTCGTAATATTTCAACGCAAGATAATCTACATGGGTGAATATCCCGTACACACATCTACATCGCATCGTCGAACTTGCACAATGGTGTAGGGTATGCCCCAATCGGCGCCAGAGACGAGGACCTTGCGGACGTTCCAAAGGACCAGCTGAAAGGCCTTGTCTGCGAAGAAATCAACATCGCGAACGGAAGAACTAGCTCACTGTCGGGTATCGTCGTTCGCTCGAAGACAGACTCAAATCCTAAAGTTGCCATCATATATTTCCAAGGTACATCTTCCCTCATCCTCACCATTTGCGTAAACGAGCTCACGCACATAAGGAAACGCCGGGAACCCTCTTCACCGCCTCCCCGTTTTCCAGACTCTGCTTTCAACTCCTAGCCCTACCCGAGTACCACTGCACATCATATCTGTCGCCCCTCGATCATACTGGAAATCCACACCTCGAAGGCCGACGCAAGCCGGCATCCTCTCTGATTATCGCCACGTTCTTGACTACGCGCTTACACGATACCCCTCGATACCCATCATCCTATACGGACATTCCTTGGGTGGCGCTATCGCCGTGTGCTTGACCTCACAGCTATCAGACTCAAAGAATCCGAAGCACAGAAGTATCTCATATTACTCGGATCCTCGGTACCAGCAGATCAAAGGCCTTATCTTGGAGAACCCCTTCACATCGGTCCCAGATATGGTTCAGGCACTGTATCCAGAGCGATGGGTTCCGTACCGCTACCTTGCGCCTCTAGTGTTCGACAAATGGAACGCACATTCCGCCATGACTCGAGCAAGCAATCGCCAGCCCGGTGCCCCAGAGACGGTCTTAGATAGACTACGACGCGACTCGCTCATTCTGGTCAGTGAGAAGGATGAAGTTGTTCCCCCACAAATGAGTCTCCGCCTCGCTGCAGCCGCCAGAAACCCTGCAGACCTATCAAATGCCCCCAAAGCAAAGATACTTGAAGGTGCTCTCCACGAGAACGCCTGGCAGACACGCACATGGAGAATAGAGATCACTCGATATATTAGCGAAATCTCAAGAACCTGGTAGATGTAATGTAAACCGTACTTTCTACATTCACCACAAGACATATTACAACGATTAATCATAAAATACACATGCGGATTCACGATGACATCCTGAATGGTTCAACTGAGCTGATATGTTTTATGCCAGCCCCGTGTTTAAGCTACAACTTGTATGTGTGCGTAACGTTCATGCCTCGACGTCATCCTTGGGGGCTCGACAGTCAGGCAAAGAATCTGACCTTCGCATGGAATGCGAGCGAGCCGAGAGGAGTCGCTATGTCGTCGAGGAGCATCATGCAGGCGGAATGTTGGCTTCTATCTCTTCTAAGAGTTCTTGGGCGATTTTGGCATTAGACACCTAGGTATAAAGTATTTAGATTCGTGTGAAGGTTGCCAGGCTAAACTTACACGAAGATTGTAATGCGTCGTCATACCGGCCTCGATGACACTGAATCTCAGATATCGGGGATCTTGGGCCAATGTGCAGCGCATGCCGTGGAAGAGAGTGACGTTGAGCAGTACAGTATACACGGCCTCCTTGCGCATAACTAAAGCAAAGTCAGCCTTCCGAAGACCACTAGAATAACGGGGGGACGAACCTAGGCGAGCCCCACCGCCGTCCGATCTCCTCACGTTCAATCTTAAAAGGCCAGTGCCCTTCTCCTTCCATTGATTAGTGTCTCCAAGCGTAAACAGCTTCCCTCTAACTTGGTGCAAGGTTTCTTCATCCTCTTCTCCCGTTAGTACTGGCAGACGACACAACGTGAGATATGAGCAGGCTGAACGTTTGAAGAGCTTACCATCTTGCTCTGTTAGTACAATCTTAGCATCCTCCTCTTCACTCTTGGTGTCCTCTCCGTTGTCTTTGCTTGCGCGCAGCTTTTCGCCAAAGGTTAACTGCCTGTCATCTCTCTCATCCTCGTTCCCACTGCTCTCTACACCCAAGCTCTCCTTCGTGGCCGATCTTTCTAACGAACTTCGTGAAGAACTACTAGCACCGTTGGGGGAAGTAGCTCTCGCGCGTTTGGGAGTCGGCGCGGAGAACGCTGTTATCCCAGTCGTGGCGTAAGAAGAGAAAGCGTTAATATTCGTTGGATTAGCGCGTCGCGAGGGTGATTTATTTCGGTTCAGTTTCGAAGACGAGCCTAGACCAGGTGACTTGGACCTCGCCACGGAAGCAAAGGGAGAGGCCGAGGAAGCGAACGCCTCGAATCCAGAACGTTTGGTGGGAGATGTCAGCGTGGAGGTAGAGGAGAAGGAGGAGAAAGGAGATGGCGTGGGGCTTGCCACGGAGGCAGGGGGTGTCGAGGATTTGCTAGAGGTAGAAAAGATACTCTTGCCTTTTACAGCAGCGAAAGGTGAGCTGGCGGATGCGTAAGACATGAATCCCCCCTAGGAGATAGATTTGAACAGGCATGACCGGTTGTAGATATATTGAAACTCACAAATTTGGGTGCCGGGCTCGCGGCAGGCTCTGGCTGAGTCTGTTCCTTCTCGGGGGGAGGCGAGGGTCGTTTGGTTTCTCTAGGATTATCGTCCTTATCATTGTCATCTCGCGGGCGCTTCGCAGGTTCAGCAATGGCGGCACTTGAAGACGATGTGCCGTTCTCCTGAGGTCCTTGGCTGGTGCCCCGCTGGAAGAACTTGCGTTTAACACCTTTAGAGTCCTCGGTCCCATCGCTCTCAGACCCCCTCCGAACAGATTCCTGCTGCTGGGTCGGAGTATCTTCAACTCCGGTGTCGTTGGGGGTGCCAGCTACCGTGAGGCGGGAGCTATCTTGAGGTTCCGGAGTAGACTGCGCCTGCGAAGGAGGTGTATGGTTCGTGAGTCCGTTCGCAGCAGCCGCGCCAGTAGTGATGGGCTGAGTGTCGTCAGCGACGTTACCGGCCGATGCCTCTTGCTCCATGTCCGCCTCTTCATCCTCCGCCATGGGCTTCATATTGCGCCAATTGAGGTCCTCCACGCCCTGCGAGATTTGTCGCACCTTCATCTTTATTTCTTGTGGGGGTGAAGTTCCCAGCAATGACGGCGACGGCGATCGCGATCGCGATGCGTCCTCCTCCTCTCGAGTAGAGTCCAGGTGTCTACGGTTTTTCTTCGCAGGCGTCCTAGCCATTTCGTGCCGTATGGAATCACCATCCTAAATATTCGCAGACATTCCCGTCAAATCAGCTCACACGCGCATCGTGCACAGGTGGAGAAGGAATACATTCTGCAATCTTGGTGTTGTGACCGGTTCAAGTGAAACCTCTCGTTCTCTCTTCTTGGGTAACTTGACCTCTGGTCCGATAGTAAATTGAGTGTATATTCGGATTACAAGCTGAGCCCGACGATAAATACGGACCTGAATCATTGCCCTCTGGTGGTGAGGGAGGAGTGGCAGGGGGGGACCCTCTGGCAGAATTCATGGTTGTAACAGATGGCTTTGGGGAAGGTGGATTTGAGTTTCGTTGCGCCATTGGTTGGGAGAACGTCGTGGCTAGGATCCAAGGAACACTTCACGCCTGTAGCCTCAAGCGACACGGGGCCGTTTGCCTCATTCGGCTAAAGCCGACAATTAGCTATCGCGTTCTCACTCGCCACAGTTGGGCCACAGTTCTGGATCAAGGCAACATTCACGTTCCCAAACACGAACAAGGATGGAAAGAGGTCAGGTAATAACGTTATGCTCGAGTCTGTGCTAGTTGGTGCATAAGGATTGTACATTGCGATGCTCTAAACGAACCCCCCATGAAAGCTGACCAAACCCGTATATAAAGGCCAGAAATAACGCATCAGGATGCCGAAGATGATATAGTAGATTCGGTGTTCAACCAAAGCAAAGGAAACGAAAGATTGTCCACCAGAGCCCAAAGAAGAAAATATCAACACAAGTGATCCCGTATCAGCCATTGAGATAGAAGGTTATAGTGGTGTATCGTCCGTGGTGTTTGAGGGGTTACCTCTTTTTCGTCGCTCATCAGCGATAACAAGTACGTCTTTGAGACTTCGTTCAAGCACTGGCTTCGTGAGGACTCTACGGGCACAACGTCAGAGGAAATAGAGTCTTTGTACCAAAGGGCGTACCGATCCACGCCAGCTTCAAGGTATTCTTGTTGGTCTAAAAGCCTTATCAAGACGCGGACAGCAATGTTGATTTCATAGCTACTTACCAGTCAAAAGTGCGTTGCCTATCAAACATCGGTTAGAAACGGTGTTCTCAAAACTAATCATCACAAACCTGTCACTCCTACGACAAAATCTTTTCTGTCCATCTCCCGCAACTTTGTGACAAGTTCGAGTCCCGACATGACAGGCATGGAATTGTCGAGGAACACCACGGCGTACTTGGTGTCTTGACTCTGTGGAGGCCGCTCCTGTTCCAAGATCGGGCCATTGCTATGTGACCCATCGCTTGAGGGTGTCTGTCCAGCTGGAGCGAGGATCATCTCCAAAGCGACTTCACCGTTCTCTGCGGTGGAAACGGAGCAGCCTAACCTCGTTAAAATGCGTTTCATGAGCGTACGCGTCAATGGATCATCGTCAACAACCAGCACGTTCAGGCCGGATTCGAAAGGCAGGGTGTGATTCGAGCAATTGTTGACGACACGGTTGCTATCGAAGGTGCTCATGCCGGGGGAGGTGGGCGGTGACGTTCCTGACCGACCCGACATGTTGGTGGACGGAGTAACTGTATTGGGGTCCGCTACAAACGATATGTGACTAGGCATCTGGACGAATTTCGGTCGAGTAGGTAAGACGACGTTGGTGTTGTCTACCGGGAAGGAACCTTGGGTAGGAGATTCGTCAGAGGCGCCAGACAAGTCAAATTGAGTGCCTGTGGAGGAGTCGCCAATGGTTCGCGTAGGCACTGAATGTGCATCGTCCAAAGATATCTCTACCCGCCCGCCTGAATGTCAAAAAGATTAGAATCGAATTGACTTTAATTTGGCGAGCTCCGCACCTTGATCCATTAGACCCTGAAGGGCAGCAGTCGACCGAACTGTACCAGCACTCGTATGGGACGCAGACATCATGCTTCCAAGACCAGGTGAGGGAAGGTTGCCGTTGGGAGTGTCGTCGCCCGATTTATCGGCTCTCCATAATTGATGCAAACGCCCAAAGTCGCTCGCTTCTATAGGCTCTGCCCCAAGAACGGGGACAGCCCCGGAATCGAAGGTCTTCAGACCAACACCCAAAGCTGCAACACAAAATGATAAAGTGTGCTCGATTGAAGATGTCTGAATTCACTCACGTAGTTCTACCCAAAATGTTGACCCTTCATTGACCTTGGATTTCACGCCCAGCCGCCCGCCACTCAGCTTAACAATCGAGCGGACGAGGGCCAAACCAAGTCCTGTACCTTTCCCACCTACGGTGAAGGTGCATCAGCAAAATCAGTATCGTACTCACACGTCTGAACGATACCTTGTTGTCGCCCCTGTTCTGTCTGATTGAAGGCAGCTACATTGTCGCGGTCAATACAGATTAATATCGCATTGACCCGAAGACGTACAAAATAGCTTGCTTTCGGTCATATCGCGGCGCCGAATACCGCAACCTTATGCATAAGTGAGTATACGAAGTGATTCCAGGGATTTGCAGACCGACCCGTATCGGAAACTTCTATTCTTACAACAATCCACTCAAGTGGAGGAGCATCGGTATGGTGCCTATTGTGTTGAGACAGATGTGAGGTCGACAGCGAGTGGTGAGTCTGGTTTTCCATCGAGGGTCGAGTAGTCGTTGACTCCGAGGGCACTTCACCAGTCGCATAGTCAGGCGGGGAAGTTGGAAGCATAAGTCGCGTCGTTATGGTCAAAGTTCCTCCGGAGGGCGTAAACTTGCATGCATTACTGAAAAGGAGGTGAGCTACGAGCCCTGAAGCTATGTGCTTTGGTAATCACCTCGCGAGATTGGTGATAATCTGCCGGAGGCGAGTTTCGTCTCCCACTACAATGCCATCCAAATCAGGGTACTCGCTAAGAATCTTCCTCGTGTCTTCGGGGGAATATTTCATGGCTTCGTATGCTGCGCAGCGCGCAGCCTGCGGCAAGTAAGCAGTCCATTAGAGAGGCAATCGTCAAACCACGAACCAGGTCAATGTTGGGATCAAGGTTTATGACCAATTCCAAACCTCGGGCATCAGTAGCCAGGCGAAGGGGGATAAGGAGCGAACGCATGGCTTGGTGGAAGGAATAGGGCTAATGCATTGATCAGAACGACGCATCGACGACGTGATTTGTGAAACGGGGTACTGCTTACTCTAGGCGCCGATTCGAACCTGCCACTATCCATTCGATTACTAAAGGAGTACAGCTGTAAGCTTCGTGCGAAGCGTGTACTGCAGGCGACGTACAAATCAAGAACATCATTAAGCACTGCCCAGAGGAAGGGTTAGTAAGTAAATGGTTCATGTATATGAAACACACCTTTGCTCATCATGGACAGGGAACCTTCCAGAGCCTTGAACTCGATTTCTTGGGTTTTAGCGATCGTGCCAGATGCGTCCATATTTTGAACAGCAAGCACTGAATATAAAAACATACATCAAGCCACGTATGTTTATGAAGGGTGAGACATACGTGCGGTATTCAACGGCACTCGGACCTGTAAATACGCTAAGATGTAAATTAGGGGTATTGCGCGATGAGGTTTTGACTTATCATGGAACACATATCTTAAAGAAAGTGAGCATGTAGAGTAGAGTAAGTTGCAGACACGTACGAGGTAAGGCGACGCTTCGATTCCCCTGCTTTACGTTCATTGACCTGCGCTTTCTGGGCTGATTTGCGTCCTTAATACGAACCGAATTCTGGAGGGGATACCGACTCACTGGCTTTGAATTGTACCTTCAGCTGATCGCGCATGATGAAGACCCGACGTTCAGCCTAGAAGAAGTGAGCAGGGGCTGATTGCATTGGGGTTAAATCGACTTACCGATTCTCGCTTATAGTGTACATAGATCATGAAAATGTGAAATATCTAGCAAAGCATGGTGTTTGTGGTCAAGCGACACAGTTGTCATGTTGCGACGTACAGCAAAGTTTATCATCGCTAACGGAACATTGAAACCGTGAGGCCTCACGACTGGATTCCGAGGAAAGGAGGAAACTTACTTCGTGTCCATGCTAGGCGGTCAGGAATTATGGCAGCACACGAGCTACAACAATCGTGAGAATGGGCTAGGGACTGTAGGAAATATGCCTACAAAATGAAGAAAACTGTTGCTCCAACTGTAGCCGCTAATCGATCCAGTTTCAAACCAAAGATAGCGATGGTTTGGAGTGCCTATTGTTTATATAAATGAGAGCATGTCAGATAGGGGATGTATCTACTCACTGTTGTATAGTACATTACACCAACAAAATCTCTGGTCCCACAGTCGAAGAGAGCCCGTTCTTTGTTATATGTGCCGCATAAATACCTGAGACAATGTCAGAATGAGAGAGTATTAAGGATGAACGATCCATACATAAATAGAACCTGGTATGTAGCCCTATGCAAAGGTGTTAGCAGAAGGATGTTAAGCGGGAAAAGATGGACTTCATTACCACATCCATACCGACGCCGCAACGAAACATTGATAAAGCACTGGCCTATCGCGGGGCCAGTCGTAAAGTGCCAAGAAGCTATAGATAACAGGGGTTAATTCGTGTCCCAAAGAAATGAAAGTGATCAACGCACAAGACGGGGAAACTCAGAGCAGGAGCGACCTAGCGATAGTGTAAATCAATGCAACGGCTAGATACCAGAACGGACCCACCCCCCAGTAGAATATCTTGTCCATCAGAACAAATGGCTTGGGAACAAATCCGCAGCCGAGAGCCCAATTTACAGCCAACCAGACTGAGGACCAAAGTGCCAGACGCTGAGAGCAAGTTATGACAACTATGAGCGGTACGACGGACGCCAACTTTATAGAGGCGCACCTTGCTGTGGAACCAATTCTCCTGTACATAGTGTTGCTCAGACTTCTCGTCGGTGAACTTCGAGTCGAAGAAGTCCTTCACTGCTGGCCAGACTCTCCATCTAAGAATGATAAGGGCCGTCGAGCTAGCCCAAAAGCCGCCGTGAGGAACGATACTCTCGTGATCGCTAACTGCTGTCTGAGGATGACTGTCACCCGATTTCTCAGGAGAAACACCATTCTCCGAGTGTGAGACCGACGACTTGAGCTCCTCTGACCATATCCGGTCCACAACCACATCATCTACATCTATATCCTCATCCTCATATCTGTAGCAATGTGTCGGCTGGAGGATACTGCTATCAGCAGCACTCTCGTTTAGAATGGAGCTCGTTGAAGGTGCTGTCCCGGTCCCTATGCGCCGCCTGAACTTCTCCCAATGAACCGAGAAGCTCACGCCGACGCGTGCGGACTTCCTCTTGCGACTTGCGCCACCATTTCCATTCGAAAGAGCCGGAGGCGGCAATGTCGGTCCATCGCTCGGGGTCGTCGTCTTGACGGAAGTATCGAGAGCCTTCTCCGCACACTGGAGCGCAACATCCTCTGTCCATTTGGTAGAGGCGACGCTCGAGACAGTTGAACGAGTCCAAAAGGGCATTCGTTGATGCCTCTTACGACGGCGACGAGCTCAGCGCGGCTCCGGGGAGGATGGTGAGCAGCGGAGTGGTGCAGGGACAAGCCAAGAAAGCGTTTGGCTGGCGCCAGATTTCCCAAATGCGTCACTTCCTTTTGCGTATTCGCGGGGTTGGATCATGTTCCTGAAGGGAATGCTGAGTCAGCAACCCTGATTGAATTACCTCCGCGATATCCTGAAACCCCTTTTCGTAATAATCCTCTACTTTGTAACTTACTGCTAATTAAGATCCACGATCAGAGTTGTGCATGTATGTTTATTCTAGCTTTTATGTTGGCGGTGATCTGAACGTAAGTTATTCACTTTAGCGAAACCATCTGCGGTGGGTTGGCGCAGTGACTGTGAGTGGAAGTACAACGCCGCGGTTTGACAGCCGAAGAGAAGCTGAGAGCTTATACAGGCCTTGACCCACTCCCATCAAGTCCGTCAGGCATATCGCTCAGATCAGTAATCAGAAACTGCTGTTTACAATTCAGTAGTACGCACATCCGGTGGCGCACCAGAAGGATGGGACAGAGCACATTGGCAGAGCCTTCTGCCAATGTATTTACTGATGAGTGGACACGAACCAGTGAGATGCCGGGATTTGGGGGCGATGCTAGTGTCAGCTTTCTGTGAAACCTACAAGGCATGGTGTGGGAATGACAGGTCAAATTCTCATTCATAACGCTTACACGGAAAAGCAAATAGTTCTTCTTCGACCGATTGTGATAATCAGGAAATGCCCTTTTAACTTCGCATCTTCCTTCGCGGGTCATGTGCAAGCGCGTACGGAACTTGACTTGTGGATGGGAATCGATTTGGGCACACATCAGCAATGATGAATAAGGTGGTCGGCGGAGAGAATGAATTCCTCACTCGAGCTTCAAGCTTAAGCTTCAAACTCCATCAATACTAATGGCCTTCACGGTAAACCAGGTTGCAGGACCCTTGATAATCCAGCTCACTGGCCAAGCATTTATACTCAGGTAGACCTACGCGACAATGCTCGAAATATACTGCCTACAGACGAATATCGGAGGCACACCTGGAGGACTTTGTTGATTGACAATGAATCTGAAAGTCAATCAGATTATATTATATATTCAATAGGCTTCAAAAACTTAACAACGTTCGTCGTGCTGGTGTGGAAGATATTGCAGTCTCGACATTCGGATAATCCCCATTTAAGTGCAAGTCCACGCGGCCACTTGACCAATTTCGAGGATGTTCAGGGGGAGCTCCTGAGGCCCCTAGCCCTATGAGGATTTCGAGCACATATTCTCCTCCAACTGACAATAAAACACTGTACATTTTGGACTGTTCTGAGGCTTTTTGCGGAGGCCTACGACCGCATTCGTACACTTTGGGAGGCCCGAAGACTCCAAAATCGTCTATGTCCCCGCCGACTTCTAGGCCAAATAGGTAAGTACACGGAGATAATGCATTTGCGGCATTGTCGCGGGTCCTGGTAAACCACCGCGGTGGCTTCTATTCAGTGGTGAGACGATGCCGATAATTGATCTTGTATTGTAGGCCTCACATTATGGTGTAGCGATATCTTACCCTCGCGAATTGCTGATCGTCCTGATCGGACACGCTTCGTCCTTGCGGCAGTAGAAGGAAAGAGGGTAACGATGGCGCAACATCCGGAAGGGTACGAGCACAGTTCATGCCGTCGAATGCATGCAATGCTAAAAGTTGGGCCCTAAACAAACCTAGTTGGGCTTAGTTTATGGGACATGGAGGTGGCTTGGCAGAAATAAAAAGCAGGCCCACCTGGCAGTCTCAGACTCCACACTTCAATGGGTAATTAGGCGAAACGGGACACCTCACAGATAAGGCTAGGATGGGAGAATGGCGACAGGCATGATCTCATGTCATCTATCCACAGATTACGTGTACGCCGGAGAAAGGGAGGCCCAACATTTATATACATGACCTGGAGGGCTGGGTTCGTCTGGGGTTTGTTGTTAAGGGTGGAATTCCGGTATCTTGATCCCGGGGTCTAATCCAAGTGCATGATGCACACATGTGGCAAGTCGAGGTGGTAAATGAGTCGAGTTCGAAAGGCTCACAGCCCCCAAAACTGGGCCAACCACATCGGTGCGCTGTCCAGCTGCGGGTAATCACAGTAACTTGTAGCCACGAATGCGATAACCAAAATGAAAGCTCACCACCATTGAGATTTCCTTCCCCGTGAGCCGGGAGATCAACTTTCTGGAAAACCGCAAAGATGTACAAATCGAACACGAATGATTAATCGTCCTATACATTGTCCTATACATATAAGTATCTCGCCCTCGACAGCCTCCGGGTCCGAGAGCGCTGTTCCGTTCGAAGCGACGTCGCCGGCAGCGCTGTCTGAATATAGACATACCCTTCCAGTTGCTGCGCTGCAACTTCAGCCGCTATCATTCACCGTTGCCCTTCAAATTCCGCCGGGATACACGTACTTTGCCTGAGTGCACCCTTGTGCAGAGACGGGGGACTTGATTATCTGGTTTTACGACTCGCGAGAAAAGACGGCGTTGGTAGGATCGCCAGCCGGCGCTAGCTTGATTGCTGTGTCGGAGAATGAAATTTCGCCCACCTTTTCTTGTTTCCTTCCTCCCGCCACCAGACTTCAATCAATTCCGTAGCCCTCCCCCCTCGTACCTCTTACCCTTTCTACTATCATTTCTGTAAACATAGGCTCCCTACGACGTTTTAATTTGTGGATTTCTTTTCAGGTTCAAGCCCAGCATTCTTGCGCGGATTCGTAATGTCCTTCCCCGTCTTCCTCAAAACTGGCGACCAGGTAAAGGTCAATGGTAAATTACAAACGCTTTCGATTCGCATTCTACGAACAACATGCTGACATATTTTGCAAGACCATGTTTATTGCTCGCCGAGTTGGTCGGTTCGAGACGGCACCCCTTATTCCATAGCACGAATCATGGAGTTTCTCCCTCCAGAAGGAACCCCCAAGGGCGCGGGAAGTAACTCCCAGCCGTACCTCTACACACGGGTGCGCCTGGCCTGGTATTATCGTCCCAGTGATGTAAGTGATCGCGCGGTCAGCGACTCTCGCCTGCTGCTGGCCGCAATATACTCCGAAGTGTGCGACATCAATCAACTGCGTGCCAAATGCCACGTTGTGCACCGGGACAAAATAACTGACCTCGCTGGATGGAAGAAACGCCCGGATCGCTTTTATTTTAATCGGCTTTTTGATCCTTACATCAAAAAGGAATTTGAGGTCATCCAGGCAACAGACGTCCGGAATTGTGCGTAGTTTCCTTTTTGGGCTATGACCCTGGCGCTTATTGCCCGTTATAGTACCCGAGAACATTCGAGAGACTCTTATCTCCCGCTACGAATATGTCGTCGCAGAGAAGGAGGTCGTCCCCGAACTCACAGACGCCATCCGGCTCTGCGACACATGTAACGAGTGGTGTGAAAGGTATGTATCGTATGTTTGCTCTATTGCATCCGGCCACTTATTCTTGGCGCAGTCCCGAAACGGTGCAGTGCGATCGGTGCAAGAAGTACTTCCACATGCGATGCGTTCAGCCACCTTTGTTGGGGAAACCATCGCGTGGATACGGTTGGACGTGCGCCCCCTGTTCCAAACAGCACGAAGAAGAGGTTGATAGTCACGATGTCCGCCATCCCACCCCAACGATCACAAAGCCCAAGTCCAATGCTCCTCCAGTGCGAGGGAGGGGCCGGCCGCGCAAGGACAGGGGACAAGCTGAGCGGGAGGAGAACCTCCCTGTTAAGCACTTTAATATGTGGCCCTTCCGATACTTCGGGTAAGCGGCTCATTCATTATCAACGTTCAATCATACAACCGACCCTCTTCAGGCAATACACCAATGCGAAAGATACCCTAGGTCGGCTTTCAGTTCTTCCCATTAGAACCTACTTCTAATTATTGCGTGTATAGATCCGGATGATCTGATCTTCCCTAGGACTGCTACTCGTCAAGGGCCCAAATATCAGGCCAATGTACCATTAGCTCCAGACCCAAATGCTATAATGAGCACTGGTGAGTGAATAGCACTATGGACATCATGTCCGATTGACCACCCTTGCTGGACAGACCCCGACGAGCGTGGCGGCGATAGCACGATTCAAATCCTCAGTGTTATAAATACGCTTACAGATGCCGAAGGTGTGAATGTCGTTAATGATTTAATTGTTCGTTGCTAACTTTCGCGGCTGGTTGTTCTAGTGGATGAGAGTGAGAAACTTCTTCGTCATATAACGTGTTTCAAACTAATCTAATCACTCTGCAGTGGAATCATACAAGGATCATCTCAGCTCGAACGAGGAGCTAAAGCATGGGGTCGACTGGTTGACAGAAGTAATACGTAGATATTCTGACGCCATCATGACCTCGCGACCTCTTTCGACGGTGAACATGACGTCCCCCCTTCGCTACGAAAAGGTATGTTTGTTCACTCATGACGTTACTTGGTCCTACAATGGTTGCCTGTAGTGGAAGAAGAACGAGACTCGTTATACTGACAAAGAGTGGAGTAAAGAGGAGAAGTATGCTTTCGAGGAAGGCATATTCTCGTACGGGGCCGAGCTTCGGGCAGTTCGAGATGAGGTCGGCACGCGGCAGATGCCTGAAGTGGTCCGATACTATGGGCATTGGAAGAAGTACGCCCATGCAACCCCCCTTGTTGAGGTCCTAACATTCTCCATAGCTCGAAACTGGGTGAGGAGAACCGTCGCATTCTCCGCCAGGGCCAGCCCTCGAAACCCCCAAGCGAGCGGTACAAGAGCATATCGGATGCGAACAACGGCCAGCGCGTGGGCTTGCCTGACGACGACGCATCGATCATCGAGTCTTCCGCGACGCTTGTCTGTGGCGCATGCCGTACACGTGAGTCCGAGACCTGGTGGAAGGCCCCCAAGCATATCTCCGCGAACGCTCTCTGCGAGAGTTGCGGCATGAACTGGCGCAAGTACGCAGATCTGAATGTCAGGCCGTCCAGAGAGGAGTCTTTGCCGGTGACCAAGACCAAAGCGTCTACAGAGAAGCGCGAGGGGACGCCCTTACAAGGTCCGTCAGCGAAGAGATCAAAGGTTTGTTTAGATATTCGCGATGCTTTGACGACGTTCTTATACCCTATCAAGACTTCGGCGTCAGCACATTCTACCCCTCCTCCCATCCAGTCCAACGTACCACAGCTAAGATGCATGTGCTGTCAGCAGAGTGGCCCTCTTGGTAAGGTCCTGAAATGCAAGAAGTGCCAATTACGCGTCCACACAGGTACGTTTCCGATCAGTAGAAACCTGCTGCCCTCATTTACCGGAGACCAGGCTGTTATGGTGCAATTGTGGATTCAGATAGTTTGGACTCATGGAAATGCGACCTGTGTCGGAATGAAGAAACTATGGAGGCCTCTGTGGTTCGTACATCTCATTTCTCGATGTCAAGTACCTGACCTCTCGTTGAAGTATTCCGACTGTCTTCTGTGTCCGCGAACACGCAAGAACAACAAAGCCGCACCCAGTGATAACTTCTTACGCGCTTTCAAGCCTACAGAAGGGCAGGGATGGGCACATGCCCTATGCGCGGTATTCACGAACGATCTCACCTTCACGGATGCTTCTCGCTTGCGATTGGTGGAAGGTATGAATACCATGAACCCCCGTCGATTCTCGTCCGTAAGTTGTCTTACTAGTCCTCTGCCGATTGTCAACGCTAACATCTATGTGCAGAAATGCCATCTTTGTGGATCATCGGACGGGGCTGTCGTTCGATGTAACGATTGCCCGAAGGAGTATCATATCTCCTGCGCATGGAAGCATGGTCTCAAGTTTGGGTTTGAGATACAACCAGTGAGTACCTTTCGCTCGCTGCTCTGGCGCACGCTCACGTTCTTTCAAGGTCAAAAACAATCGCCGCGAAGTCACGAGCTTCAAAGGCGAGACGGGCTCCATGGTTGCACTCATTCTATGCAAGGACCATGATAAATCAAGACGAGACATCTATGATATTTGTGAAGCAGACGACACTGGCGAGGTTCGTTCTCTCTTGCAAACATTCCGTAGACTTGTTGCTAATTCTTTCCCAGACGGCGTTGCAGGCCTACTGTCGTACCTACAAGCAGGCACCTGTGTCTCAAGCGCACGGTCTCTTGCGCAAGGCCCGTCGTCTAGACCAGATTATCAACTTGCCGGATAATCTTGTCAATCCTGACCCAGGGAGCAAGGAGCCCAAATGCTACGAGTGCAAGACTGAATTTGCGCCCGCCTTTTACTCGTATGTCCCGCCTAAACAGCAAAACAAAGTTTGGCTGTGCCATCGCTGTTCGCTCGGATCACCACACAAGCGGGAAGCCATCCACGGATCCATGCCGGACTCTACATAACCAATTGTATCATTAAACTAGTACTACACTTTCCATTGGGGCATTGCGGGGAGGGTATTGAATACAGAAGATTGACATCGACAAATAGAATGATAAGAACCACGAATGTCGTAAATATGCAAACAAACGGACATAGATTAGAATATGCAGTAACTTATGCTTTGACTCGCTTGTAAAATAGGACATATGCTTTCTGGTTCTGTGATGGGGGGAAATAAGCATAGCCGCGAAAGGAAGTAGCCAAAGGACGTACGACAACTTGCTTAGGATCCGCCGGCCGGACGCTACTGTCGTCACAAGACATCCAACCTCCTCGTGAAGCGATGTAGGCCGTATCTAACGCCAAGTATCAGTAAGGTGGTCTACACTTAGACTACAGGAGAACGCACAGTGACCGCTACTAAGATTGCCATAATGATTAGTTACGCCGTATAGGTCGTATCTGTAAGGCGGTAATTGCGTTCGCGGGTCGCTTGGATCTATGCTAACTTGGCCTTTGTCTGCCCCAGAAGGGAGCGGAGGAGGCATAAAATTTGTCAGGTCGAGCCCCTTTAACGGGTACTCGACGAAGGTGTCAATCTTATCCGAGAATCGTCCCCGAGTTTCGAAGCGTTTGAGATGGATCAAGAGGATGGGAGGTAGTCGGGCCAGCGAAAGCTGTTTGGTAGCCTTGCGCTTCGTTTTACATCGTGGACAATCCCTGTCGGAGGAACAAGGATTACCAAACAGTAGGGGAGATATGAAATAATGGGACAGACCACGCATCGTCCTTCTCCATGACCTCGTGGTTGAAGAAGGCGTCCAAACACTTCTGCAGATGTATCTTACCGCTTCTACTGGGTACAGGAAGTTGCAGCATGGAGAACACATTGTACGTTGTTGACGTCTATGGGGAACGTTGAGATCTTGCATTGGCTAGTATGAAAAGCTCATCCTTACCTGATGGCAGGTCATGCACTCCAGGCGATTCCTTAGCTGGCCCTGGAAGTAGTCGACGATCAAACTATCATTCCTCATCTTCCACGCCTTCCACTCTTGATCACTAGCAATCTGTGGGGGCAACCTCTCCAGCTCCGCTTCTTGCTCCGGAGTCGTCTTCCATGCTGGCTTCGTGAAGACCCGGTTCAAATCCTCGTGTATGATGTCCAGCAAAAAGCTCAGGAACTCTTGAGAATCGTGCTGATCGCAGCCACTATATTGCTGGTTGAGCGAGACCACCATTTTCTGGAGACGAGTGATAAGAAAACAGGGCAATAGGAACATCCCAAGCACCTACCCGAAAGTCGATTGGCGTTATATAGGGGAGGTCACCTTGCCACATGCTCCGTAGAAGAGATGCAAACGATTGGACGAGCTTCCCTTGAGAACCCATCTTGTTTAGCATGTTAATTGCGTCCCGCCATCTCCCGTCTTCACAAGAAGGGCTAAGTGAACATCAAAGTATCGGAAATCAAAATGAACCTACTAGTAAAGAACTGGGCGAATGGCACGGTTGCACTCAAGCACTGTATCGGTGCGTTCATGTAGCACGTATTCCCCATATTCTTCAACCCACTCGTTCCGATCTGCGTATCGTACCAATATACAACAGAGTAGTCCTGCTTAAGCCTTGGCGGTAGAGGAGCCATTGCGGACGGCTGTGGCATTGCAATGGAGCGATTATGATTATCCTGCCGATCTAGAGCAATAGCGGGAGCAGCGACTGGCGCCGGTCGCGAGATCTGGGTCGACAGTTCTGGGTAGTCGATAGGGCCCCGAGAAGCGATCCCGGACCCAGACAGAGCTTCTTGAGTCTGGTCAATGTAGTCGCTCCGCCTTCGGGGGAAAGAAGGGTTGATAGAAGCTTGCGGCGGAGATGCGATGTTGTCGTAGTGAGCGGGCGGAGAGACGAATGGGGAGCCGGAGAGTGAGCCAGTGGTGTTGGGAGTGACGCGAGAAGGGAATTGAGGGTATGTGATTGAAGACGAGCTGTTGACCAGAGGCTGCATCATGCTGGGGCCGGATAACTAACGATTCCGTTGAGTTACTGTCTCAACGCATTCTATTGCAGAACCTACATTATTAGGATATGCCGATGATGTCGAGACTGGTCCTCGGGATATCGCAGGTCGGCGTGCGAGTGCGCTTCCGGGGGGCGAATGATAGAATGAAGGGCTAGTTTCCGCGGGATGCCTTCTGACCTTAGCGTGTGACTATACCACGTAGCTATGCAACGCACCTAGAATGAGATATTTGATCCACAGACATCGTCGACCGGTGCTCGCCGTGACCTTGTCCGAATGTTAGACTAGCTGGTGTCCGTTGTTCCAACGGTGGCGAAGTAGCAGAGTTGTCATATCTTTCTCTAGGCGAGGACCACTGTTGCCGAGGGTCAATTAGTCTGGGGGAGGTAGCAGGGCTTGTTATCGACACCGGTGGCGGAGACGTGGCCCCATTGAGCGTAGGAGACATCAGCCCATTCATCAGTGCCCCTGAGGATGGAGCTGAGCCTTGACCGTGTGTAGTCACAATCGCGCCAGCTCGGAAGGGATTTGTATCTTGATACGCGGGCGAATGCTTTCCGTCTACTAACCGCCGCACAGAATCGTCCCCCATCACCCTCTTCCATCTATCCAGGCCGCCGAGTAGAAGCATCGGCACTCGTCGTAGCATCTTTTGTATTGCGCCTTCATATATGGCCATCACCAGAACATTGATAGGAGAAGTCTGCGGCCCAAAGGTTTCGGAATTTTGGTCGTACAGCACTATCAAGTCGAATTTTTCTCGATTCGAGAAGACGACGCCTTCGTTGGTGGGTGCGACAACTAGAGCGTCCTCCAAACTTTGACCTGTAACACTTTTAGGTTATATACAACCGTTAGAACGTCAAGATATCAGTGACTTTGACCAGTCGTGGATATTTACCTTTCGCGCATCAATATGCTGGGTTCCACACATACTATGGGCTTGTGACTGATATGTTCACGGTCGAAATCTGCTCTGTGCCTCACGTCCAGAAGCAATACTTTATAGTGTTGCATGTATTGCGCTAATTCGCTTGGTGTCGTAGAGTTGCTGTTTGGGATAGGCGGTTTATCTACCGTCGGCGTTTGTGGCGTGGTGGAACCAGACGATGCGGGGCGCGACGAACCCAGACCGAGCCCACTCAACCCAACCGACGAAGGCTTGGTGGCAAGTGGAGGGGGGGCTGGAGAGCGAGTTGGTGAGGCGGGTTGACTGCCGAATGAATTGGCGATGGGAGTCAACGGGGTGCTGGACGGCCTGTCAACGGGCACGTTATACTCGGCGAATCCGTTGATCGAGTGCTTGTGTTTGACATTGGCGGTAGTGGCGGGCGGACTGGTGGGTACTGAGGGAAGGCTGAGGCTGGTCGCTTCGTCGAGTTCGTCGATGGTGGGGAAGTTCTGGGCGAATTCGAAGAGGCTCAGAGACTCGCGTTCAGGAATCACTGGCGACGTTGATGCTGGCGACGGGGGACCGAGGGTGGACGGTGATACGAAGGAAGTTGGCAGAGGAGGCGGAGAGGGGAGCACCGATGATAAGGATGAGGGGATATGTGACAACGACGACGGCGAAGATACCGAGAAAGACGGAGAAGTTGCCGGCGGAGAGGTGGGAAGCTCGCGAGACATTCGTTTATTCGTTGTGAGGACAAGACCATTATCCTGCAAGGACTTGAGACGATCAGCAATGGTCTTCCTAGGGGGGTCGTCGCTTGGACTGGCTGGAAAATCAGTAAAAGCAACAGGTGATACAGGCAACGCACCTCTTCTCAAAGGCCTTGAGCTTGTCTTCCACAGCGTTCTTCCTTTCGGCTAGATCACTTCCTTCGTGCTGCGGTCCAGTCGTGAGCGTCGATGAGGTGGGATGAAATGTGGACAATCACCTCAAAAAAGTCGTTGAATTCTTTCTTGAGACCACCACCTTTCTTCATCTCTGGATGATCCAAGGTCACTTTAGCCAGAGCAGCGGCTTGCGTGTATGCGGCTAAAGCACTCTTGAGATCCCCTCGAAGTTCATAGTCCTTCCCCTGCTGCACCTGGCGCCGCGCAGTCTTGATCATCGACATGGGCGTCGCCCCGCGAGTCTCCCGATTCACCGCATCCTTCGCTGACGATGTGATTTCCGATATGTTCATCTCATCGTACACACGGGAAGAACCATTGACTTTATTCGATGCCACCACGGTCAGACTTTGCAGAGAAACTGGACTTTCCACGTACCAGAGGAATTCAAATTATTATTCGGTGATAAAACTGTGACTCCGGGCATGAGGTCCCAGGATTAAGGTAGGTTTTGGAGAAAGAACGATGATGAGCTGCTGGAAGACATTCCTTAACTGCCTGCGGAACGCCAAAACAAGAGATTATGTCATTGCAGTATGACTTATCCACCCCTGAGAACCTCGTGTGTTAGCATAGTGTGCTAAGTCAGACAGTGGAAATTATTCCATCCGTCCAAAACTAATCGAGACTATCGAGAACAAATGCATTAGGAGATAAACTATACACTAGATACCGTCCTGGTGGTGAATCTGATTTTGCATTGAAGTCGAGCTCTCACACCGCCTTACAGTACCCACTGCAATTAGCTTACCGCGTACCTACATTTGTAAACGAAACGGGTGTGCGACTACCCACACCACCGTGCCAGTTCCACGATGTTCACAGAAGTGGAAATACGTACGGGGTGTATGTGCTACGTGGAGAGCACCACATGCGGAAGTCGCTCAGAGACAGCGCACATCACGCGTCATGGCCAATGAGATAGCGTTAGCGTCAGAATTTGGAGGATACCGCTAGCGTTGAAGTGTCTCCGGAAAAAAATATTGAGCGCCCAGTTGGTTGAGCATATTCATCGCAGAGAAGATTTCACAATCTCTAATTGTTAAGCAAGCGCAAGGAGAGCTCAGGCAGAGAGCGAGCGAATAATTTGGCTATTTCTCCTACCTCCTGAATATAGCCCCTTGAGCGACTCCTTTCTTTGTGCTCTTCTCACGGCCCGTCGTCGTGGCAGTCGCGTCGCCATCCAGATGATCCACTACTGTGTAAAGACCTGGTATGTTGTTTTCTTTCTTTCGAAGACTGGTTTCTGAGGCTCGACCATGCAGAATGCTCCTCCAACCTTGATCGCTTTCCGTATTGCTATTTCCTTCAATGGACCACCCACTGTTATACGGGTTTCTGTCGCTGCTTGCCGTGGGTGTTGTATGTGTGAGTCACGGGTCTCCGTTGTCTTCGTACTGTGATGAACACCCTTTCATCCTTGTTCTTCGAGCTGTGGGTCATTCCTAGAGTGAACGCCAGGGCGAGGACGACAAAACCTGGGTCGAGGGACAATCCCCTTGAGCTGAATCATATATGTCCTCAAACCTCTTGGTAATGCCTACTAATAGTCTATTTCCCCAGGTGTACCTAGCTCTTCTTTTCTGGTCGCCGCCGCCGATAATAACCCGTCCTTCAGAGAAGAACTACCGATCGCGTTTATCTCCCAAAAAACCCATACCGCTACCATCACTCAGCGGACCGAGCGAAGTCGACCTGACGGTCGTGATCCCGGCGTACAATGAGACATCGCGGCTTCCGTCGATGCTCTCGACGACGATAGACCACCTTACCTCCGTCTCTGCGAAATCTAAGCGCACGTATGAGATCCTGGTCGTCGATGACGGCTCTTCGGACGATACGACGGCGCTCTCTTTGACACTTGCGGGCCAGTATCCGAAGAGCGATATACGGGTCGTGACGCTCGAGAAGAATTTGGGCAAGGGAGGCGCTGTGAGGCATGGGATGTTGCATGGACGGGGAAAGCGGCTGCTGATGGTGGATGCTGACGGGGCGAGTCGGTTTGAGGATTTGGAGTTGCTGTGGAAAGCTATGGATGACCTTGCTCCTGGAGATGGACCGTCATTCGTCGTAGGAAGTAGGGCGCATCTGGTCAAGACTGAGGCGGTCGTGAAGGTAAGTCGCTTTCCATTTAATCCCCCTAGTCTCTCAACATCACTCCCAACTCACAGCGCTCGGTACTACGCAACATCCTCATGTACGGGCTGCACACGATCCTGCGCATCGTCGGCGTCGGGCACATCCGTGATACGCAATGCGGATTCAAGCTCTTCTCGCGCGCCGCAGCACAGCAGATCTTCCCCGCGCAGCATCTACCGACGTGGATATTCGACGTGGAGTTGCTGCTGCTGGCGAAGGAGCTGGGGATACCTGTAGCTGAGGTGCCGGTGGAGTGGCATGAAGTTGCGGGGAGCAAGTTGAATGTAGTGACTGCGTCGTTGGAAATGCTGAGAGACCTGCTGATCCTGAGGGCAAACCATGTCCTCGGACGGTGGGGTCCCAGCAGGAGCAAGACACAATAAACAAGAGCTCTATCTCACCCATGGGACTACAATAGTGTACGGCTCGCCTAGTAATGCATCTGTTATCTCGACTTCAACGCGGAATCAGATCCAAGCCTTCACGTGATGAACCCAAGACTTTGGGTCCGTGTGCTCTCCGAAATGCCGAGAGATGTGCCGGGGTCGGCATTTCCTGAACTCTAATTGCTCTCCTCTACGCTGGGTCGTCCGATGTACTGAGCTCGACAGCGAACCGTTCTTTAATCGTGACCACCATCATCATCACTATCACCATCGTCCTCCACATTCGAAGCTGCAATTCTGCCCATGTCAGTCTCGGGCTAAATACCTAGCTATAAGCATTGCACCGCTTGGCAAGAAGGTCCGTGCGCCTATAAATAACAAGCCCAGGAAGTCTTACTTCGACGCCCTCCCCTCTCGTCTCCTACCTTGAGGCTCAGACGGACAAATAACTCAGCATCCCGCAGAAATTGCGGTTCTCGACAAGCCGACAGAGCGGTAATCAGGTATTCGAATATTCATTCAGTCAGCAGTATCCATTGTTTTGGGTCCGCTCCCATTGATCGCTTGGTTGGAACACTCCTGGCCGCCACGATGGCTCCTGATCTCCCAGGCAACAGTACCGCAGATCCCGAGCGCGCGTCGGCGTCGACGGGGCTAAGCATCGTGCACCCCGACCCGTACCAGTTCAGCGATGGGCTGAAGACGCAAGACGAGCTCGCCGAGCTGCGCAGACGCAAGCAGGGGAAGAAAGTGGAGAAATTCCACCGCAGGCAGAATGATGTGTGTACTCGGTATTACGCAAATGTGTAACCCGAAGGTGCTGATAGGACGCCGCAGTTGATTACGTCGTTGCTGAAGCCTATCGAGGATCATGGAGAGGAGGCCAGAGTCGAGGAGGACGCTAACCGAGTGCCGGTGAAAATTGCGATCTGGGCGAGTTTGCTGTCGAATTTCTGCTTAGCAGGGCTCCAACGTGCGTCTGTCTTTTTCAGGCGGCACTTTTCAGACTCACGTTGTTGGGCATCCAGTGTACGCTGCTATCTCATCGGGATCGCTATCCCTCCTCGCTACCTGCATCGACTCGATCTTTGACCCAGGGAGCAACCTCCTTCTCTACTGGCTTCACAAGAAGTCCAAGAAACTCAATCTCGATCAGTGGCCTGTCGGTGGGGCAAGGCTCGAGACGATAGGCAACATCATATATGGTGAGTACTGTCCCCCACTTCCACGACTGTGCTCATCGTCTCCTACAGGCTTTCTGTATGTCGTTGTTTCAGCTTTTTGCCAGGGGCTGTTCGCTGATTGAATCTGTTAGAATGGGGTCGGTGAACCTCATCGTCGTAGTGGAGTCCGTGCGGGACCTTATCACCAAGGCCGACGACTCACTCGAAGCCTTCCATGTCCCCTCCATCATCGCCGTCGGTGTCGCCCTCGGTACGTCATCCTCTAACTCCGTACACCCGATGTCGGGCTGAAAAACACGTAGGTATCAAGTTTTTGCTATTTCTGTACTGTTATTCTCTCCGCAACAAGTCAAGCCAAGTCCGTGTTCTATGGGAGGATCATCGAAATGACCTTTTCATCAATGGATTCGGTGAGATCGTTTACTCACGTTTCCCTTCGACGAATCTCATACGCTGGCAGGTATTCTCATGTCGACTGGAGGCAGCAAACTCGCTTGGTGTATGTATCTCCTATCTTCCGCCCATTCCCTCCTCACCTTAGCGCTTCGCTACTTATAGTCCTCGATCCAATGGGCGCGCTCATCGTTCGTCCCCTTTCCCCCAAAAGCACTCTGCCGCTGACGCTGGTGTTATGATCGTTTTAGATCACCATCGGCGTGCTGATCTCGTGGGGCGTGACTATATACCGACAATTTGAGCTTTTGGCAGGGAAATCGGCCCCGCATGAATTTTTGCAGTTGGTGATATACAAGGCCGCGACGTTCAGCGACCAGATTCTGATGGTTGACACTGCGAGAGCGTATCATGTGAGTAATCTGTAAATCATGGTATCGCGAGGAACACGCGTCTCTGACTCATGCTGAATTTCTCGCTAGAGTGGCCCGGTACGTAGTGCGATGCTTTCGGGGTCTCTAAGGCACTCACGTCGCGCCCATAGGATTATTTCGTTGAAGTCGACATTGTGATGGAAGCGAGCACGCCCTTGTGGCAGGCGCATGACCTCGCGCAGCAGCTCCAAGATAAAATTGAGGTGCTACCCAACGTCGAGAGGGCGTTCGTGCATGTTGATCACGAGACGACACATACACCTGTGAGTCGCTATTACAGCCATACATTCCTCGACAATCATCTATTCTTCGATTCGACGACTGACGATTGATTACAATCCTGGTTTCTAGGAGCATCGCAAAGTCGCCTAATACTAATATACTCAACTTAGTGTTCAGCTGACAGTAGATATAAACAACCCTCATCTTTCGTTCATCTTTGTGACATCTTTTGGATACGGATAGAACATTGTGCATTCGCATTCACAGTACTCACATTTGCAAATAGCTTACCTGCATTTGTAAACTAAACCCTACATATCTACTCTCGAACGGGCGCGCGACCGCTTCACTGGAATTATTGCTCCGTTTCGAAGCTTCAAGCCATTCTCCTTCCGATATAAGAAGACACGATCCGTTCGTTGTCTCGCGTTCATTCCATTACTATGTAACCTTTTCGATGTCTACACGGGTTGACGGACTGGTACAGCAAGCTACAGCAAGTGTTCTAGCTTTCCTGCTCCGAGGTACTGCTTAGCTTCCTGGTGCGTCGTGCCTGGCATGGACTCCCAATTAGCTGACAAGAATCTTCATGTCTTTGTTGGGTATTGGACCTGTCCGCCAGTCGCAGATGAAGCTTTTGAAGGTCGAACGAATGGCGTCCCTGTTGTCCAATGGCAGTTTCTCCTAGCTGGACTAGGTTGCTTACCCTGCTCGCGTGGCATGCTTGTTCGAGTCCGGTTCCATGATTGACTTCAGATACAAATACTGCAAATACCTTCATCATCGCGTGGTAGGTGTGATATACTACCTCCGGTAAGAATCTTGCTTCGCCTATTCTACACGACGGCCTGACCAATCGCACCGAAGGTCGTGCATGAATTCTTTCCATCTTTGGGTCGAAGCACAATGGAGATCGGATTGATCAAAACGGCGATTTTCCTTTTTCCTGCTTTGCGTGCCCATCGAATCCCATGTGTTCGCAACGCCGCAATGCCAAAGGACTGTTGCTGAATTGTTTCTCCAGGCTTTCCCTCGCAATCCCGCGCTCTGCCATTGGAAGCTGGTCACCTTATCCCTTTACGCTAGGCGAGAACGTGAAATTGACATCACCTCGCTAGCGAAAGAGGACCGTGTTGCTTGTGCCATCGCTTTTGGAAAGGCCCGGCTATTTGTGGGGGTTCTCGGTCGTTGATTCGTGCTAGCGAGAGGTAATCATTCTCTATAAGCAGCGAACTACGCTCGGAACAAACCTGCTGTACAGTGGGCCCTCCCTTCAAAGGGTAACTTGTCCCCACAACGTGGAGATTCGTCCAAGCAATCACCGTCCGCGACGGTCCTGAATGGGGGTCGTAGGCTGCTACCGTTATGGTATAAAATGGATACAAGCAACCGTATCCTATCTTATCCGCCTCCTCTTACATTCTCCACTCTACAAGCGTTTGGCCGGTCATAACCCTCCTCCATTCACCATCCATTATGCCGACGTCTTTAGTGAAGGAGTCAGATGTAGATGTGCTTGTTATAGGCGCAGGGCCAGCAGGGCTCATGTGTGCCAATGGTTTAGCCAAGGCTGGCATCAAAGTGAGAATTGTTGATCAGCGGTACGTTCTATTCGCCTGCGTTACGGATCCAGGAGGCTTTCATCTGACTATCGACGCTTGTAGACCGGGCGATTTACTGGCAGGCAGAGCTGATGGTCTACAGCCGCGCACTCTAGGTATGTCGTCTGCACATAGTTGGTTAATGAACCCCACTGATCACTTGATGGTTCGACACAGAGGTATTGCAGGTGAGCGGGTCTTTGTTCGGATAATTTGTTAAAGCGAACGTATGGTCTACCAGAGTTATGGCCTTGCTGAGCGGGTCTTCAAAGAAGCCAACCAGATGCACATGGCCGTAAGGAGCTTCCATTCACTCCTTCCAAGTTCTGAACACTCAACGCATGTCCTAATAGGCGTTCTACAATCCCAGCCCTAACGGTGGAATCGAGGTGTGTGTTTTTTCCGTCAGACCGATAACCACGACTAAACCAAGAGGTTGGAAGCTCACTGATCGGGCCCCGGATGTGACAGCTCCAACTGCACGCTATCCCTTTGAGGTAAGGGATGTCGACAAGGCTCCAGTCCGTGCGCTGTTATTGATCCCCCAGTTATAGTGCACGCTGCACCAGGGAGCCATAGAAGCTATCTTTCATGACTCCATGCGCTCGATGGGTGTGCAAGTGGACAGACCAACCATACCGGAGTCAATCCAGATATCGCAGGACGGAGACGTGTTGAAGGACCCCGAGGCTTATCCCGTCCGAGTACGTGTGTAACACCCTAACGGATGTGGAGATCATCTTCAATGACGACAATTTGGCGTAGGTCGTGCTAAAACACTTACGAACGGCAGATGGGGAGATAGATACAGAAGTGGTTCATGCCAAATTCGTGGTCGGTGCTGATGGTGAGCACACGCCGCGGAATATTCTCAATTATAGAACTTGACGCCTTCTCTGATTTACAGGTGCCCACTCATGGGTTCGGAAGTCCCTGGGGATTCAGATGGAAGGAGAACAAACCGGTGAGCGGCCATTCAAACCTCCTTCTGATAGCACGTACAAGATATTTATAGCTCACCCCTACGTAGATTTCGTCTGGGGTGTTGTGGATCTAGTCCCAGACACCGACTTTCCTGATATCCGCAATAGATGCGCCATTCATTCGAATAACGGCTCTTGCATGATCATCCCAAGGGAAGGGGATAAAGTCAGGCTTTACATACAGCTCGGCCACACCGATGCTGTGGACTCTACAAATGGAAGAGTTGATATGAGCAAGACCAGTCCGTACAAATTGATGGAGGTAATGTCCCTTAGCTAGCCACCTCCTAAACCTCACCCCTGACCCTAAGATAGGTTGCGAAGACATCATTGCAGCCATTTTATATCAGAAACACTGGCGACATCGACTGGTGGACGATATACATCAGTTAGTGCTAAGCCATGTACTCCCAATCATCACTGACTTCTCATTCAGTCGGTCAACGCGTCGCTTCAAGATTCTCTGTCAATAACCGTGTGTTCATCGCTGGAGATGCTTGCCATACGCATTCACCAAAGGCCGGTCAAGGCATGAATGCTAGTATGAACGATACTCATAATCTAGGTGATTTTATTTTCCGCATGCTTGCATCCGCATCTATCAATTAAATTGACCGGATCAATAGTTTGGAAACTGACATATGTTCTACGTGGCTGGGCTGACATGTCCCTCTTGGATACCGTGAGTGCTCCTCCTACTGTTCTGATTAGCAAATCTGATGAATGAGGTCAAAGTACGAATTCGAACGGCGTAAATACGCCCAAGATTTGATCAACTTCGATAAGAAATTTTCTGCCCTGTTCTCTGGAAAGCCGCGAACGCAGGAATATCAAGATGGCGTCTCCCACGAGGAATTTAAGAAGTAAGTAGACTGGTCATTCAAGATCTTGCTCCTCACCTCACGCACATCACAGAGCGTTCCAAACGTTCGGTGGATTCACCAGCGGCATCGGCATCAGATACGCGGAATCCTTGATCACGAATTGCAAATACCAGGACTATGCGAGCAATCTGAAGATTGGCCGACGCATGCCCCCGCAAGTTCTGCTTCGTGCTGCCGACTCGCGGCCGGTCGAGCTCCAGGATCTCTTGCCGTCAGATACTCGCTTCAAATTCTTGCTGTTCACCGGAGATATATCTTCTCCTCTGCAGCAAGGCAAACTTTCCGAGCTCTCGCAGCGACTTGGCAGACCTGAGGGGCTCCTTGACCCTACCCTTGTAGGAAGTCGCCGTTCGATGCTGGAGGTCCTTACCATCGGCGTAGGAAGTAAGTGGACGGTGAGGTACACCGACGTACCACCTTTATTCCGCTCGCACTGGTCGAAGTATGCCTTTTACCATCTTGGACGTGTTATATTTTCTGACCATCCACCCTAGAGTACTCATAGATGACTCAGACCCCCATGAACGATCGGGAGGCAAGGCATATACTTCCTTTGGTATTAATCCTTCCGGAGCAATAGTCATCGTACGACCCGATGGCTACGTCGGAATGGTGGCGCCGTTCATTGCTGTCGATGATATCGAACAATACTTTGACTCTTTCGCAGCAAAGGAGTGAAGAGACTGGCGCCAAAGTTGACACCACAACGACATGGGGGGCAGACTACAAATACAACTCTGGTACTAATGCAAAGAGGGAATATGGAAGGGCATGCGATAATGGTAATATAAATATCTACGAAACGAGTGACGCTTTCCAATGTACATAATGTATAACACAAATATTTCAACGGTTCAAAATCAACTCTTTCTACTCTTTGCCATGGGCGGCGCTTCGGCACTGTCGATAAGCACCCGTCGAGGCCCAGTACTTCGTCCTCCGGCGACCGGTCGTACTTGAGACACGGTCCGTGATGATGAGGACGCCTTCTTGGAGTCCGCGGCATTGGTCCTTGCAGATGTAAAGCCTGAAGGCATTGCTGCAACCTTCTTCACGATATCAGGTCTTGAGACGCTGGGAGTAGACTTCGTGACCTTCACTACTTTTGTAGGCCGTTCAGTGTCTGTTCCAGGTGGGCCAGCTGGTGCGCGCTTCTTGTCTTTTAAACGTGCCTTCGACGATTCAGCAGTGTTTTTGTTTTCCTTCTCTTTTTCGACGGTCCTTCTGGTTGTTGTTACTGTGGCCACACCCTTACCCTTGTCTACTCTTGATCGTTGGGGGTTGGGGGGAAGCGCAACCTTTTTCTTGGTAGGAGGATGCGAGTCAACTTGCATGTCCATCAGCGGGCTTTCTCGGCCCATCCTTGTTTTCTCCTCTTCTTCATCGCTCTCTGTGATACCCAGTTCAGCTGCTAAGCTCATTTGGGGCTGAGGCGCAGGGTCGATCCTGGGGAACAAGTCGTCCTCTTCGTCCTCTTCCACCACAACACCAAGCTGCCCACTTGAATCAGAGCTAGAGATAGCCTGACCCGGACTTGTAGGACTTCCTGGCGAGTCAGCAAGTGACAATATACGGCTCAGGGGACTGGGTTTTGCTGGTGAATATGCATGGATCATCCGCTTAGCGAAGGGTTTTGCTATGGGGTAGGGGAATGAGGGGGCTGAGAGCTGCGAAGTCGATTGCGATGAGCTGTCGGGCGGCGTTTTCAAGATAGGGTTTGATGAAGAGGAAGGAAGGTTGGAGTCTTCCATAGACGTCGGCTGTGTCTCGCCGAGGTCGAATTGATCTGACTCGTTGATATCGATCGAGGGCGGTGCGATGACAGGGGAGGCTGGTAACAAGGCATTCGGGGAGGGTGGAGGTAAGACGAAGGAGGTTGGTAGCAGGGATGAGCCTAGTGGCGGAGGAGCCAGAAAGGATGATACACCTTTCGACGAGGGAATCACTTCGGTTTCTGAAGCCAACTCTACTACTTTCCCTCTCGTCTTCTTCGGGGGTGGTGTCAACCCAACGGAGGATCTCCGAGCATTGCGTGGCTTTCGTGGACTGATATTCGTGGATTTAGCAGGAGACTTTCGTGGGGATTTGCCAGGTTTCTTGGGAGATGGTGCTTTTTTCGGCGATGGGAGAGATGTTGTGGCTGGAGGAGTGGGAGGAAGTTCAGCAAGGATCTTTTCGACTTGCCACGATCGTTTCTCTTCCAGGAAGCGTAGTCGTTCAGCCTCCATGGTTGCCCGCTCTTTGCCTAACTTTACCGCAGCTTCTGTGAACTTCTGCCTCTCGTTGTCCAACTCTCGTTTCATCGCCTCCAGCCTTTCGAGCTCAACGTCCTTCGCAGGTACAGACATCAACTCCATGCTGACTTCAGCAACATCACGGTGGGTAGCGTTACGGGTAGCCAGCTGGTCAAATAGCTCCTGCGTTTTTGCTGCAGTTGCCTTACATTCCTTTCGGGCTTGTTCTACGGGATCTGTTTAGTTGGGGAAACTGAGAATAGATAATGGACATACCCAGCTCGGAGCGCAGCTGTTCTATAATGCCATTAAGCCGCGGTATATCTTCATCTGGAGGTTGTAAGGAGGTAGAAGTAGTTGGCTCTACTTGCGGCTGTTGATTGGCGATACCATCACGTAGGGATGTAAACAGCGAGCTTAGTTTGTCAGTCGCAGCGGTCTTCGGATGCAGCGGGAAAAGGCTCGACATCGTGCAAGGATCTACCTCATCTTCATCCTCTCCCCTCATACGAGCCAATACTCCCTGCATCTCATTAACCGCACTGGTCACCATCCGCCTCAACCTCAAATTATCCGCATCCAACCTCGCCCGCGCTTCGTCTGCTTGTTCTAGCGCAACCTCCATGAACGACTTCCCCCTGCCAGCGTTCTCACTCCCGTATGCCACCGAAGCATTACCGCATGTAAGCGTCAGTCCACTGGGTGTCCTCGTCAGCTGTCCCTGTGCGTCTGCCAATTTTGACCACTTTTCTTGCATCCGTTCCACCTGTGTATCTCGCTTCTTCAGTTCAGCTACGTGGGTTTGTCGTAGTGATTGGACCATGGAGCGTGTTCGAGTGAGCTCAGCTGTCGTTTGCTTGTGTGCGTTCTCGATTGACTGAATGGTTCGGGTGGCGGCACTACTCACTCATGGGCATGGGAATGTAGTAACACAAGGTTGTTTGTTGCTTACGCTAATTTCGATTTGAAGACGTTCATTTCACGTTCGGCATTGGCTGCTTGCTCTTTCGCAGTACGGTGCATATTCAACAGTCGCTCATGGTCGTATGAAATTGTCCTGTACTTCGTCGTAAGGTCCTCCGTGCGACTCATATCGTCCTGCACTTTCCGTGAACATAGTACATGTGTAACGGCATCTCAACTCACCATGCGTTGTCCAAGCATTCCGAGCAAGCATTTTATCACCCGCTCTGCGTCAGTTGCTGCCATACCATCGAGCGAGAGCCCTGGTGATGGGGCGAAGCCATGAGCGACAAGTTGAGCATTGAGGTACTGAAGACTCGAGGCAGATATCTCCGACGTAGACGACGCCGTGGAGAAAGGTGAGCCGAAGTCCGACATCGAGACGTCGAGTGCCCAGTGCACGCTGGGCTTCCGGGGAGTCGTCGCCATCGTCGAAGAAGAGTGAATTGTCGGAGGTAGAGAAAAGGTGTTCGCGTAAAACTCGCCACAGTTGAAAGTCGCGTCGATCACGTGCGCGCGAAGCTTCACCAAAACTAACCAAGGAAGCGTAGCTTGCTTTGTTTGTCAAAATGGTTATCCCAAGCAACGAGAACCTTTCAAAACGCCGTTTCACTGTCTACGCTGCCTTATTGAGAAGAGATATGGAAGATGGCCCACCATGAAGAGGAGGAAAGTCAAATCAGGGGCGGCGGTCAGGCCTCAGTGCAATGCAGACAGCAGAACGAAAATGCATAGCGAGTGTAGAGAACAAGGGAACGTAATGCGAGGTATATAGTATATGCAAAACACTAGCGAATGTTGCTTCGATGGGACTAAAATTGTGATGCGAGAGGGAAAGATTATATCCACGATGAAGGAAATGTGAATCTGACTAGCAGTGTGGTCCGCACTATTTGCAAGGGGATAAAGCAGAGAAGGGGAGAGTAATGGATCTATCAGGGAGGTATATCTTCTGGTTCAAGTCCAGTCGAAATGTACTGCGTGCTGGACCTTCTATATGTCTGCATGAGCCGGCGTAGGCGAGCAAGTTCGCTGGCCAATTCCCTAAAATTGAGGTTAGTGATATATTGGAAAGGACAGGGCACGATGCGTACTTGGCCGTATTTCCAGCTTCTTCACTACCTTTCGAGTGCTTCTCCACCTCTGCCTTCATCCGATTCACCTCTTCCGTCCACATCGCCTCCACCTCCTTCTCTTTCTTTATGTCCTCGTCCCTCAGCTCATTCAGTTCCGCACGTGTTTTCTCGGCGTTCTTCACCTCTTCCAGCAACTGCTGATACTTCTTCCCCACACTCTCCGCATCCCCACGCAGCTTCTCTTCCCGCTTCCGCATCTCCTCTCTCAACTTCTCCGTGTCCGATTTGAACCCAGAGACAAGCCCTTTGATGCTGTCCCGGAGTGTGATGTACTCTCGCTCGGACTTTTGCGACAGAGCGGTGGATTCCGAGAGCGCGGATTCCATCTCACGGATGGTCTTCTTTGACGTGGATGTTTCTGACTTGAGCTGCGATTTTAATTGCGTGGCTTCCGCTTCGGCTTTCCGTGCGCGCTCTAGGACTTCCTGCAGTAGTCTCTCTTTTCTCGCGACCACGTTATTAAGCCCCTCGTTCTCCAGCCGCAGCCTTTCCCGGGCCTCTTTTAGATCCTCAGTCTGCCGTGTCAATTGTGCCACGGTTCGTTGTGATAAACGAAGCTGTGACTTGGTGTTCTCAAGAGCGGTGCGCGCATTGACGACCCCTGCCTGTAGGTCAGCCAGGACTTTCGTCGTGCCGGCAGGGGTGAACGAGGCACGTCGGTTCGGTGATGGAGGTTGGAGTGAAGAAGTTGACGCAAATAGGTCGCTCTCAGCGATGGGGGATGTTTTGCTGGCGGTGGAGGATGATAATCGTTGACCTTCGTCGGCTAACGCCCGCGCATTACCTAGGAATGAGTTAAGACGCCACTAGACACAAAAAGAGAGACAGAACCAACCTACTGCAGCAACCGGTATTCCTTATAGACGGTGAGATTAGGACGCCCTCCGTCAACGTTGAAACATTACTCACGACTAAGGGTGCGCATTGGACTCGATGCACGTTTAAATGAGGTAGGACTGCTAGGGCCAACGCCGAATGACATCGGAACGCCTTCTTGGATCCCGTTCTCCTCTGCATCCCGTCGAGGCAAGGGTAGACTAGACTCTGGGCCTGCAATGCCTTGAAGAACATCATAACTCGACCGACGCTTGACTTTCGTTGCCGTCGGAACCGGAGAAAATGAGGAAGGTGGAGGTGGTGAAGAAAGCATTATGTCGGAAGTATCTGGGGGCAACGGTCTAGGTCCACGAAGTACGATATTCTCCAAATTATGTAGCTGTGCTTGTTGCTGTCTGATAGAGTGTTTCAGCGTGGACATTTGGTTCCGTAGAGCAACTGTAAAGGCAATATACTTTTGTGTTCACAGAAGGAGCTGATTTCTGAGTTCTTTACCTGGATTCGCTTCTAGTGATTGTTGCGAAGGACTTGGTGCGCGTCCCGAGCGTATTGAACCACGCGACGACGGCCGTGAAAGTGAACGGTCGCGATTGTGTTTCGGAGGAGACAAAGAACGACCGTAAGGAGGAGAAAGTGGTGAGTGTGAGCTAGGACCGGGGCTCGAAGACATGTAATAGGGCGTCAGACGTTCTGCAATAAAATATTTGGTCGCTGTTGATGCGCCCGTCACCACATATAAGTGCTGTGGTGGTTCGTTGGAAGCATCCACACTTCCACTTTGGGGTTCCACGGAAGCAGTGCCCCACGTGATGAGGAGGTGAAGCGTGGGAAGGTATGGGTCTCCAGGTCGGTCGCTGAACATGTCATCTATATTATTAAAACACAATGGTCCATAATGTTATGTAATCAAATTTAATGTTACATAATCAAAAAAGAGCGCTCACCTCAGAGCCACACAGGGGGACAGGGGATGAATAGGGAATAGGGAACAAGGACTACCAGACTGAAACTCTGGACTGTCATTGCTACCAGATTATGATAAGGGTAGCCAAAAGGCATCATGTCTTCTCTCCCTCTGCATAACATACTTTAACAAATAAGCTTCAAGTACTCAGATTAAGCAATTCATCAAAACATGGATATCAACAAAATGTAGACTGTAGGATTATGCAGTTAGGATTCAATTGAAGCTTTGATCATTTATTTACAGCTGTGGTTAATGTCTGAGATTGAACTTTGAGGTATCTTAGTTGTTAGTTTTTAGCCAAAAGTCTGTACCTATGGGAGTAGCAAACTAAGCTATACAGGACTACAAGTAAGAGATATGACTAATAAGATGGAAGAGAGCCCGAAGGCAAAACACTCAGAGATAACGTTCGAGGTGAAAGGTTCAAACGCGGGGGTGATATTCGTACGAAGATGGGAGTTGGGGTACAAGCTGGAAGTAAGTAAGTAATCTCAGGGACGCGCGTATATATATGGATGAACACGTGGTCCAGGGGTCAGGGGAATTAGGAGATAGGTAAGCGCGCAGGCTTACACTCGCCCACCCTCCAAGATTTGGGCGACACGTGGGGAGCGACGGCGTAATGTCGTGGCCGTTTGTCGAGCGGACGTAGACGTGAGTGTCTCGGGCTCCTTCGATGCGAGCCAAACATCCAGAGCCTCGAGCTCGTCGACATCGCACAGTGGTAACCACCGGTCTTCTTCGGCACCGTATCCACGGTATCTAACCAAGAACTCTTTACCTCTTCGACCACGCTTCTCATCCAGGATCCTTTCCACCAGCCACTCCTCTCCGTCGTTCGTCTCTACACTTTCAGGCCGTTCCAGTTCGCGCGAGGGGAAGAGGGAAGCGTCGTTAGGCATGAATCGCCGAAGTTGCGAGGCGTGGAAGGTAGGGAATATGTTCGGGGAGTTTGGCATAAACAGCGTGTACATAGATTTCTCCGGGAAGGCCTTCGTGATTTCATATGGTCTGTCGAAACGAGGCATGAATTTAGCGACTCGACCGTCACCTCCGTGCGTGTATTCTTTGCGACGATTGGAAGTAGAGAGGTATACAAAGTCGCCAACCTTGAAACCAGCGTCCTGTCGACGTGACACGTTAGCATAGATTGACTGAGCGATTTTTGCAGCGAGGAGGGAGTCCTTAGCGTCAGATGTGTAACCTTCCATGATCTCCGCCAGACGTGTGGCGTCGATGTTCTCAGCAAGGTTACCTTCGACCAGGGGGGGCATCGTTCGAGGGGAGCATCCGAGACGCAATTGGAAAGGCGAGAATCCCGTGGAGGCGTTAACAGTGTTCATGTAGCAGAAACGGACGTAGGGCAGCGCTTTAACCCATCCCTTCTGATTGCGGTCGACGAAGTAACGGAGGGATTGTATGATGGTCTTGTTCGTCCGCTCGCTTGAACCATCCGTTTGTGGGTGGAAGGAAGAAGACAGCTTCAATTTGATACCCGTCAGCTTATGAAGAGCGGACCAAAACTGAGAAACGAAGAGCTTATTGCGGTCGGAAACAATCTCCTTGGGCAAACCGTTCTCACAGTACCAGTAGTCGAAGAAAAGGGTCGCAGCTCGTTCCGCGCTAAGATCGGTCCTGCAAGGGATAAGGCGGATGTCAGCGCCCATACGATCGGTGATAGTCAATAGGTAATTATAGCCCTCATCTTCAGGCAAGGGTCCGACAAAGTCTAAGGCGACGTTCTGGAAGCGAGCGTCGGGTACGTCGAGGGAATGAAGGGGCCCGACAGGTTTAGAAGTCGGGGATTTGTTGCGCTGACACTCGACACACCCTGGGATGTACGATTCTTCGAGATCGCGACGCATATGCGGCCAATAGAACGACTCGCGAAGAGCAGCGTAGGACTTGGCGGATCCGAAGTGACCGAGACAGTCGTGAGCCATCTGAAACAAACGCTCGCGGACGTCAGCGACACGGGGAACAACGAGACGATCCGCGACGTATAGCAAGCCGTTTCGTTTGGATACACCAGCCACACCGATGCCCTTGTTCAGTAGCTTCTGGCACCACACGTCCTCGGCGTAGCCGCTCTTGATCTTCTCCAGGAACTCCAGGTCTGCACCGATAGCCAGCACGGGCGCCACAATGGTCGGGACTGTAAGGGCAACCTCAAGATGGCCAACAGCGCAAGCCTAGCAGAGGGAGAATCCAAAGAAATGAATAAGACTAACTACAATACATGAGAGAGCTGCTCACCTAGCAGAGGGAGAATCCAAAGAGAACAGGATGGGGATTCTCCATGCTAGGAAGCGAAGTATATACTGTAGTAGCGTGGGAGGAATGAAGGGTAACTGTACAGTACACCAGCCACAGGTACGAACGAATATCACAAGGTACGAGGGGGCATGTGATAATGAAGTGGAAGGGGAATGTACAGGAGCTGTGCCAGCGACCTGGGGGAGTGGGGACAAGGAATAACGAAGTGGGAAAGGAAGATGGAGGTAGCCCGGACGAGCCCCGAAGTGTATCTATGAGTCCGAGCGAGTCCGAGCGAGTCCGAGGCGTCCGGAGCGCGGGAAGACTTCGGAGTCACCGGACGAGGCTCGGATGTGGAGGGGGTGAACGGAAGGGAAGCGGAAAGGAAAGGGGACGGAAGGAAAGGAAAGGGAAAGAAAGAAAGAGGAAAGGGACGAGGAGGAAGGGGACGGGACAGGGGGAAAAGGGGAAAATAGGAGTGTCCCCTTACATCACCCCCCTTTCAAGGTTGCGGCGACCCGACGCAAAGATTCCTGCCTGCCGCGCCATGAATTCACCAACCCCGAAACTCCGGATTGCTGCGAGAAGATGTCGAAGTACGATTGCGCGGAGCCCGGAGCCTTCCGACTACGCCAACGCTCCCAGGACTGGTCCAGTGCTGCAGGAGTCATCTGGAGCGGTAGAGCAGTCGTCGGATTCATCGGACTCGTCCGGAGTACGCGTACTGCATCTGGATGACGATCATGGAAGTCCTTGACCTTCCGGGCAGCATGCTGGAGGTTGCTCGCGGGCTCCCAGGAGTCGTGCTCAATGCCATAGCCTCGCCAACGCACCAGATACTTCAGGACCCGACCGAACCGTCTGCTATTTCGGACTTCTTCTACCTCATGCTCCTCTTCTCCGTCAACGAGCTGCGGAGGTGGCGGAGCGACAGGGTGTCTACCTGGGATGGGGTCCGGAACGAAGGGAGAGAGTTTGACCACCGGGAAGACGGGATGGAGACGGGATAAGCCCGGAGGGAGCTGGAGCCGGTACGCTGCCTTGCCAACCTTCCGGACGACCTTGTAAGGACCAAGTCGTGCGTGTCCGAGTTTCCGGGAGGGTCGGGCAAGGTTGATGTCCGACGAGTCCAGCCAGACCTTGTCACCCGGTTGGTACTCCGGAGCAGGAGTCCGACGCTGATCGTAGTAGCGCTTCATGTCGTCCTGAGCCTTGACCAATGCGGAATGAGCCTCGTCGACTGCGGACTTCATCCGGTCTACGAACTCGTTTGCGGACTCCATCCGAGACGGTGGTTGGTGAGGTTCGAACCCGAGACGAGGATGACGGCCGGTATCCAGGAGGAAGGGTGACTGCTGAGTGGACGCATGGACCCGGTTGTTGTACGCGAACTCCGCCATAGGCAGGAGGCGAGCCCAGTCGTCCTGACGCTCTCCGACAAAGATCCGGAGATAGGACTCGAGTTCCTGGTTGGTCCGTTCCGTCTGTCCGTCGGACTGAGGGTGGTACGCAGTGGAGGCAGCCAGCTTGATTCCGAGCATCCGGTAGACTTCTCGGGTGAACTCTGCGACAAATTGTGGACCCCGGTCGGACACAACGGACCGAGGGAGTCCGTGCAGCTTCCAGACGTTCTGCAGGTACAAGTTTGCGGATCCGAGGGCAGACACTGTGGTGTGAGTCGGAATGAAGTGGGCGCGTTTGCTTACGGAGTCGACCACATTCATGACAGCATCAAACCCATCGGACTCCGGAAGCTCGACGATGAAGTCAACACTCAGGCGATCCCAGTGTTCATCCGGAATGGGGAGCGGATGGAGTTCACCCATGGGCGGATGCCTTTGGGCCTTCGTCCGGAGACAGAGGTCGCAATGGCGGGTGTAGGATCCGACGTACCGGGACATGTTGGGCCACCAGTAGCTGCGCGAAACGAGCTCGAGGGTCTTCCACCTGCCGGCGTGTCCTGCGACCTTGGTGTCGTGGTGCTGAGCTACAATGGTCCGACGCAAGTCCGGTGAGTCCGGAACGTAGATCTTACCCCGGAACATCAGGAGTCCGTCCGATTGAGACCATTCCGCGCTTCGGACTGTCTTGCGACTGCCCTGGGCCTTCTTCAACTCCTCTGCCGCCTTTGCCACTGCATCTTCAAACTTCGCATTCCGCACTCCAGTCCGGATAGCCGTGAGGATATCCTTCTCCTC